CCACATTGTTGGATCAAATTTTACGAAAATAGTCTTATTTTCACGAAACAACATTTGGGAGTACTATTGGCCCATAAAATTATATATTTATTAGCATATCTTCAAGTTTTAAGAAAAAAATTGGGAGATCAAATGGTTTCTACGGCAATAGGTGAAGTAAAATGGGCCGAGTTTTAACTTTGTTTGTATTTGATTAATCTCATCATTAGAACACATTTTATCAATAGCAAATTATTAGAATTAGTTTTTTGTAACTTTTAAATATACTTGCATTCTTTAGCTGTGAAAGGTATCGGCATTATCCATTAGAAAAATCGTGAGGCGTAGAACCTTTTACACAACAATACGGGTTATTACCCATAAATCCATCGGATTAATCGGCTTTCCGGTGGCCACGTCATTTCATTGGCTGTTATATAGACTCTACTAGAGTTGCGAATCTCTTGTATTATACGTCTCTGATGAAACTTGAAACCACTTCTCTGCCATATTGTTATTTCATAACAACTCTGCCCTTGACCATGTTGACCGATGTAATTGATATTCATTCTTTAACCATATATCATAGTCAGTTAGTTTTTGATTTTGCACTCCCACACCACCTTTCAGGCCAAATGTCTGTCTCCATTTAAGTTAATGACATTGAACAATCATGGTATTAAACACAATTTCAATAGTGATAATGCTGTTCTAGTAGGTCACCATATATTCAACTTGGGTAGCATTCCAGTTATTGAAATTTGTGTCAGATTAGAACAATGATCTAGACCTTTAGGAATGGATCTTACAATTTAATATGGAGCCATAGTATGGGACCCCTACACGGTAACAAAAAAAAATAAGCTTGAAAGGATACAACGTCAAGCGGCAAAATCTATCACCAGAAATTACAAGTCAAGAGAGGATGGACGGGATAAGTCTCTAAAATGCTTGCCTAACTGGAACTACAACAAGATCTCCAGACAAGACGAACAAGGAGTTGAAGCCAGAAGTTAATATTTATGTAAAAAGTAGTTGAGGGGCTGATTCCCGCTATTGAACCATACTGTCATTCTATAATATTATTGCGTAAGTATTTCTGTATTGTCCTTGTTATTGGTCCATGTCTTGGTGTACTGGTCTGAGGCGAAGCCGAAGGCCAATACTGCTGGCCGAGGACCAACAATAAGGCCAATACAGAAATACATGTAATAGTATCTTTATTAATTAACTGCAGTGTTACAATATTTTTTTATTTCATTTCACAAGAGATAAACATTTTTACCTTGAAGTGGAACTATCCAAATCTCAGTTTCTTTTTATAAGATGCAATATCTAATGATTTGGTGCCGTTTCCATGTATCTTCAGCCTTTTCTCATCTGATGAATTTTTCTACCCTTTCCAGTCACTATAAAGTGTTACAACTTTAATTTAGACACAACACATAAATAGTAATTGGAAAGGTACTGCCATTGCATGTGTAATGCAAATATATTTAAAAAAAAAATAATGTAAGAGTTGAAATTGATACAACTATCCATAAGCCAATTGACCAAAGAACGAAGATTTGCGCAATTACAGAATGCATATGCCTGGTTCGGGTTTAAAAATAAAAGACCGTTTACAAAACATGAGAAGCAAAAGTAAACAGTAATAAAATGCTCCGCTGGGGCGCAGCTTGATACGACCGCAGAGGTCGAACCCTGAACAGTTGGGGCAAGTATGGACACAACATTCAAGCTTGATACAGCACTGAATTTGGATTGTAATTAAATATTTGACACAGCATAGGTTTCTTACACAGAATGAAAGTGGTCTAAGAACTTAAAATTTTTTAATTTACCTATTCAGACCATATCATTATTATTTGCTTTTATATATAAATCAGAAATAACCAATTTAAAATGGAAAATTTTAAAGAAAAAAAAAGGAAAAAAAAATCCCCCCCCCCCAAATTTTTTGAACCCCCTTATGATTCATCACCCCCAAACTCAATCCCAGCCTTCCCTTTGTGGTATGGTAACTTGCAGTACAATTTCAGAGAGATCCATACACTTGAACACAAGTTATTGTCTGGAAACTAGAAAAATGCTCGTTTTTTGGCCCCTTTTTGGCCCCAAATTCCTAAATGTTTACGGCAATTACCCCCAAACTCAAACCCAGCTTTCCCTTCGTGATATGGAACCTTGCAGTACAATTTCATAAAGATCCATACACTTTCACACAAGTTATTGTCCTGAATATAGAAAAATGCTTGTTTTTTTGCCCTTTTATGGCCCCTAATTACTAAAATTTTGAGGGAATTACCCCCAAAATCAATCCCAGCCTTCCCTTTGTGATATGGTACCTTGCAGTACAATTTCAGAGAGATCCATACACTTGAACACAAGTTATTGTCTGGAAACTAGAAAAATGCTTATTTTTGGCCCCTTTTTGGCCCCTTATTCCTAAACTTTTTGGAGGCAATTACCCCCAAACTCAATTCCAGCTTTCCCTTTGTGATATGGAACCTTGTAGTACAATTTCATAAAGATCCATGCACTTACACACAAGTTATTGTCATGAAACTAGAAAAATGCTTGTTTTTTGCCCCTTTTTTGCCCCTAATTCCTAAAATTTGGAGGCAATTACCCCCAAAATCAATCCCAGCATTCCCTTTGTGATATGGAACCTTGTGATACAATGTCAGAGAGATCCATAAACTTACACTCAAGTTATTGTCATGAAACTAGAAAAATGCTTGTTTTTTTCCCCTTTTTGGCCCCGAATTCCTAAAATTTGGAGGCAATTACCCCCAAAATCAATCCCAGCATTCCCTTTGTGATATGGAACCTTGTGGTACAATGTCAGAGAGATCCATACACTTACACACAAGTTATGTCAAGAAGTTACAAAAATGCTTATTTTTGGCCCCTAATTCCTAAACTGTTGGTACCATAACCTCCAAAATCAATCCCCACCTTCCTTTTGTGGTATTGAACCTTATGGTAAAATTTCATTGAGATCCATTCACTTAAACTAAAGTTAGAGTGCGAAAACTAATGTGTCTTCGGACGACGACGCTGGACGACGACGACGTTGGACGACGACGACGACGACGACGACGCCAACGTCATACCAATATACGACCACAAAATTTTTTTTGCGGTCGTATAAAAATCGATTTGTACCATCGGACATGATGAAATTATGAGGTCGTCAAGAAATGAACTTTGTGATAATTTACTCATTCCCCAAACCTGAAATAATTTCATCGTCTACTTTCAAAATGCTTTTCAAAGGAATGGGACCGTCTTTAACATAACATATATGCCATACTGAACGTTTCAGCTTCTTTATGGTGAGTAAATAAAAACTGCGTCGTACAAACAACTGTTTACTTTCAGTTTGAATTTTATCGTGACTTACGATCTTAAAACTAGAGACGTTCCGAAATCCTGTTTTGGCCGGATCAGAACTCGGCCAATACGGAAAAAAATCTGTATTGGCCGAGTTGACATCTTATATTGCATATGCAGTTTTCATCATATTAAGTACAATAACAGTGTAGTTAATTAATAATGATACAGTTACAGACTCTGCTGCTATAACTTTGTAAACAAAGATTCATACGCACCGCGTGGGTATAACCGTATTACTAATTTCCGATTATTAAAATCTTCGTAAATCTGGATAAAGACCAGTTTCTATCCAATGAATATCAAAATGATTCCGATTATTACTTTTTTAATGATTGTAAAGTTGAAATGGCATGAAAGGCTGACATTATTTAGGAGAACTATTTTGTCTAGCGATTGCTGATCATTGGAGGGTAAAAAGTCCAACACCATAACAAATCGGATCTATTTATCATGTATACATACCGATTGTTTACGATTGTAAGACATGTGCATAAAGTCAAAGCTCGAATAAATATGAAAAATATAACAAAGGGATAGCTCCAAATACCATTTAATAACAAAAAACATATGGACAGTTCAAGATATCTTTTTGGTAAATAAAATAACGTATGTAAACTGGTTCCCGTCCGACTACAGCACTTTGTTCGAGTGTAGCGAAATACAATCAGATTCCAGTCAGTATGTTAAATAGTAAATATGAAACCGAGTGCGGTAGGCGGAGGCATAATCAACTTCCGTTAGTTCTGGTCAATGGTATCGGAAACATGCCGCTGATAGCGTCATTTTCCAAAAATAGGACATAAAAAAATTGTGTTTCTCTTACATTATATTTTCTAAAGCTACATAGTTCATGTTTTCATATACAGGACATCTTGCAAGAGCTTCTGTTTCTCTTTGAATCTTGTGATTTTGCTAACATATCATTTTTAGTTACTACAAGTATCCCTAGACCTGACAACAAACAAGCATAAGTGTCTCCTCAGTCAGACACTCTTTAGTTACCTTTACTCTAGATATACAGAACTTATTGTATATTTCCAGGCACAAAATTTACTTCGTATAACAGTTTCCTTATCTCCTCTTTCTCTTTGAAATACAATCTATCCCTACTTGAACAAATTAATAGATCTGAGCTAGAAAGGTCATTTTGAACTAAAACTAGCTTAAAAGACTGAACAATATTTAAGAAAGTCATAAGTCAAGTTCATTCTTCCTGTTAATTATCAGATGTTTACACAGCTCTTACTTCAAGGCTGTTCAGACACTTTCATAGCTGTTAATTATAAGATCTTTTCTCATCTTCAGAATGTATTTAGACACTTTTAAAATACTCTGTGCAAACATTAAATATTGAACTGTATCAAAAGTAACTGAACAATACTGGATTGGCTACAAGCAAGATGCTCGAGCATGTTGAAAAGTATTGAATTTATCACTAGAAAAATATCTGAAAAATAATCTGAAATCTAATAAGACAATATTTTCAAATTCAGACATCTCAGACAATATAAAGATCAGAATGGTTTACTATTACATAGTTCTTAATCCCATATACCCCTTGCCAGGACTTTAACAAAGGCTTCTGTTTCTCCTTGGATGTTAAATTTATAAGAACTTACTCCATGTAACCTTAGCAAGGACATCATACAAGGGTTTCTGCTTTTCTTCTCTCACATAATCTATAGCTAAATACTTGTCCATGTCGATCATACTTGCTGTAAAGTTCTTCCTAATAAGTACTCTGGCAACCTTAACCATGAGACTAACATCTTCTGTGTGTTTATACTTAGTAATGATGTGGAATGGCGTCTCTCGTCGACCATCTAAATACTCATCACGGAAAGGTGAACTTGTGATTGGCATCAGATTCAACAGATCAATATGACCTACAAAACATTATACAAATCACTGTTTCAAGTTCAGGCATAATTTTAAACTTTATTCAAAAGAACTGACCATTAGGTCAGCATATAAAATCAGGTTGCAATGTTCATACAATTTAATAGCCTGAGTATGTAACAATATGATTGAAATATAGATCTCGTGTCATTGTTTGACAATAAAAACTGACAAGGCTTCTTTTTACTTTCGGTTCTGATGACCTTTTCAGGATCCTTGGGATTTCCCTAACTTGATCTGTAACTCACCATAGAAGACTAACACACTAAAAATCAGCTCAATACGTGAAGGTGTTTAGAAAAAAAAGTCTGTTTAACTGTTTGTTGTGGAATGATGGAATGACAGAATGACAGATAATGGTAAAACTATATGGCCCCGACAACTTTTTTGCAGGGCCATAATAAACTAGAGGCTCTAAAGAGCCTGTGTCGCTCACCTTGGTCTATATGCATATTCAACAAAGGACACTCTCCAACATTGTATACGAGAATAGAATTAATGACAAAAATCTTTTTTATTAATCTTCAATTGCTGATCATTGAAGTCTGTTTAGTTTCCTCTATCTTATTTAGCTTTTGCTCCAAACACAAAAGAGAGGGTAAAAAAAATTTCTAATTTAAGGGCAATAACTCCTATAAAGAGTAACAGTCTACTAAATATATGGGCAAAATTTGACTTGTTAGTAGGTCTTGTCTTGCTTTTCATTTTTGATTATTTAAGTTTCTATCAATCTATTACAATTTTTATCATATAAGGCAAAACGCCAAAAAAATGGTAAAAATCGTCATTCAAGGGCAATAACCCCAATAAGTCATTTGTCTTAATTGTAGATCTTGTCTTGCTGATCATTTTTGTTTATTTAAGTTTCTTTCTATCTATTATAAGTTTTAAGGTATAAGAAAACAAGAGTGCACATGCTGAAATGTCTTGCCTTCTTTACTGACCATTGATTTTATGTTGATAGTCCTAAATATAAAGCTTTACTAAAAGTATCACATAAACTTAACATGATCCAAGAAAATGAGGTCAAAGTCAGTAAAAAAACCAAACCGGAAATACAAGTACCACTTACAATCATTCAATACACCAAATATAGTTGACCTATTGCTTATAGTTTCTCAGAAACAGACTTAAACAGGAAAACTAAACATTGACCAATGAACCATGAAAACGAGGTCAAGGTCAGATGAACCATGCCAGACAGACATGTACACCTTACAATCAATCTATGTATTAAATATAGTTGACCTATTGCTTATAGTATCTAAGAAACAAACTTAACCATGAAAACTTTAAATTGACCAATGAACCATGAAAATGAGGTCAAGGTCAGATGATATCTGCCAGACAGACATATACACCTTACAATCATTCCATTCAACAAATATAGTTGACCTATTGGTTATAGTTTAAGAAAAACAGACCAAAACACAAAAACTAAACACTGAGCAATGAACCATGAAAATGAGGTCAAGGTCAAATAAAACCTGCCAGTCTGACATGTACATTGTAAAATATTTCCATACACGAAATATAGTTGACCTATTGCATATAGTATTAGAAAAAAAGACCAAAGCACAAAAACTTAACTTTAACCACTGAACCATGAAAATGAGGTCAAGGTCAGATGACACCTGCCAGTTGGACATGTACACCTTACAATCATTCCATACACCAAATATAGAAGACCTATTGCTTATAGTATCTGATATATGGACTTGACCACGAAAACTTAACCTTTGTTCACTGATCCATGATATGAGGTTGAGGTCAGATGAAAACTGTCTGACGGGCATGAGGACCTTGCAAGGTACGCACATATTAAATATAGTTATCCTATTACTCATAATAAGAGAGAAATTAACATTACAAAAAATTTTAACTTTTTTTTCAAGTAGTCACTGAACCATGAAAATGAGGTCAAGGACAATGGACATATGACAGACGGAAACTTCTTAACATAAGGCATCTATATACAAAGTTTGAAGCATCCAGTTCTTCCACCTTTGACAATATAAAGCTTTTAAGAAGTTAGCTAACGCCGCCGCCGCCAGATCACTATCCCTATGTCGGGCTTTCTGCGACGCAGGCTCAACAAAAATTGTACAAATCGTCATTAAAGGGCAATAACTCTAATAAGGAGTCAATTGACGATTTCAACCATAAGCCTTGTTTGTAGAACTTGTCCTTCTGATTATTTTTGCAATTTAAAATTTCTCTCTATCTATTATAGTTTTCAAGATAATTGGCAAAAATGAAAAAAAAAGTGGTAAAATTTGTCATTTAAGGGCAGTAACTCCTACAGGAAATCGTCTGACAGTTTTGATATATATGGACAATTGGTAGAGCTCAACATTCTGAACAATTTTACCTTTTTCAGATTTCCTCTATTTATAACTGTTATCAAATTAATAGACAAAACTTGCATTTTACCCCATATGGGTCAATATCCCTAATGCGCCTCGAAATGAGGAACTCAAAAGTTGTGTGTAAACAAAAAATCTCTGTGTAGTGATATTTGACACGTTTCTATGATAAACAAGTGACTGAGCTTAACCATTTGTGTTGATTTAGAAAGTAGGGGAACATAGAATAAATGTGTAAAAACTATGGAGCTATTAAATGTGTTCAAAGTATTAAATTTTCAAAGAACTTATTGTGTTAAAAAAGGGATTTTTTACCACGAGGAGCCGCATCACGAAAGGATTCTCGGGGTTTGCTAATTTACGGAAAAAGTAATCTCACTTCGTACCCCGAAAATTTAACCACATATGTGAAAATGCCACAGCTTCAAAACAAGCTATCATACATATCCAAGTTTACCATATGGACTGGGCTACAGGAAAAAACGTTACCATTACCACCTATGTAAAAACAATTAAAGATATTGAGCCATATGTTCTATTTTAAGCCCCGTCGTCCATCTTTGTTGGCACGCGGGGTCATCGGACACATTTTTTAAACTAAATAACCGAATGATGATTGTGGCCAAGTTTGATCTTACTTTGTAATACCACCATTGATTTTCCCCTATTAGTCTTTGTTAAATTTGCACTTTTCAAAAAATTGTGCAGAATTTATCTTTGTTTCAAATAAAGAAATACTTGGCATGAGTAAAGTTTTATCCTGTCCAGTACTATAGAAAAAATTTCACATAACATTTCATTGCATATAAGAAAATAACCATCACTGGAAGTTAACCAATCAAATTTTCCCCCTTTTTTAACCTGTGTACAAGCTTTAGTAACCATGTAACCTCAAGTTTCCAAAATATTCTATAGAAACCTCAAATAAAAAAATAATGGTGCTTTGAAATACCCAAGATATATGTTTATGACCCAGAAATGTTTTACTGCAATGAAATGTAGGATCAATTACCTACAACTGTCAAATTCAAGGGAATATTTTTTTTCAACCTATTTTCGTATGCAACCAGATGTGACGTACAATGATTTGGTGGTATTACACCTTTTAGGCACAATCATAAAGTTTTTGTTTACCCCGAGAGATCCGAAAGGAACTTGTTATTTAATAGAAAAAGGAATGAAAACATTTATATTATTAAATTGTAAGTAAACATGACACAATAAAGTCTTTATTGTGTAATTATCATTCTGATCTACAGGAATAACTGATAATCAAGGGAAATAACACACTTCATACGAGTAAAGTGAGATACATCATCACATGTGCTTTTATCCAATAATTTGACCCCTGGTCATTAGAAATCATATGCAAATAAACAGACAAACATGTATTAAGCAAATCATGAATTATTATATATTTTAATGCACACTAGCAAATCACAAGATATTGTCTTTTCTCAGTAAAAAAGGGGGAGGGTCAAACCTTTTGAAAACAATAGTGCTATGCCTATTCAACTATTAAGATACTACTCATTGCTTCTAATATAAAAGGTTTAAATGAAGGTTGATAAGCCACAACGATGAAGCATTTTTCTTTCTTTGTGGTAAAACTTTCAAGAATTTGATGTTTTCTCTCTCAATAATATTTATGTATTTAAATCAAATGATAACACAGCCTGAGTAAAATTTTTTGTCTTATTTCAGTTCCAGACATATCATTACTTTTTAACCTGAGACTGCAAACTAGAGGTTTTAAAAAGTTCTGAATAACTGATAAGCATTTTGTTTTATTAGGCAAGCTCTAAATTGTTTATTTATGGTATTTATGGAATTGAAATTACAGTCGGTATGTTAAAAATATGCTGATATGAAAACTGTTGCTATGGTCTTGATATTATATAAATGCTTAGTTACTGATCTTTTCGACTCCATATTTCGAGTTAAACCTAGCGGCAACTGTTCCTCATGTAACACTGAAAACTATAATTAGCATTATTTTGATCTGTCGTTATTTAATGACGCCATAATACATGTGATGTCACAATGTTTCCTTTAAAACCTCATGTGGATTTCTCACTGATAAAAGGTTTTCACTGAAATACATGTAAAAAACATTTTTTTTTAAATAGAATTATGTGAAAGGACAAGTTTTGAAAATTTGCACTTCATTGCACTCTAATTATATGATAAAAATGACATTCACAGTAGTTTAGAGTGGTTTCTACAGTATAAAATACCAGATTTCCACTTGTATAAATAATTAAGTATTTTGGTGTTTTTTTTATGAAATCTACATTTTTGCATAATTTCTCTGTGAAAATGCACTTTTATGCACCAGGAAATTTTATTGAATGCTTAACAGGGTCTGTGTATTGTAATTTAAGGTTGTCATCAGATGTTTTGTCCATGTTTTGACTAGTGAAGGACCACTATACTGGAAGAAATTAATTATACATACACATTGTATTCAAAATAAATAAATATAGCGATAAAAGTGTCATTGCCTTATAGTGCTGAAACAACTTTATTTTTTTTCAGAAATGGACAAAAATACACAGATTTATTCAGAATGTCATACCGATGAAGATCACATAAAAATATTTGGAAAAATCAGAACTATGGATTTCAATATGGGTCAATATCCCTAATGTGCCTCGAAATGAGGAACTCAAAAGTTGTATGTAAACAAAAAATCTCTGTGTAGTGATATTTGACACGTTTCTATGATAAACAAGTGACTGAGCTTAACCATTTGTGTTGATTTAGAAAGTAGGGGAACATAGAATAAATGTGTAAAAACTATGGAGCTATTAAATGTGTTCAAAGTAATAAATTTTCAAAGAACTTATTGTGTTAAAAAAGGGATTTTTTACCACGAGGAGCCGCATCATGAAAGGATTCTCGGGGTTTGCTAATTTATGGAAAAAGTAATCTCAATTCGTACCCCGAAAATTTAACCACATATGAGAAAATGTCACAGCTTCGAAACGAGCTATCATACATATCCAAGTTTACGATATGGACTGGGCTACAGGAAAAAACGTTTCCATTACCGCCTATGTAAAAACAATTAAAGATATTGACCCATATGTTCTATTTTTAGCCATGTCGTCCATCTTTGTTGGCACGCGGGGTCATCGGACAAATTTTTTAAACTAAATAACCGAATGATGATTGTGGCCAAGTTTGATCTTACTTTGCTGAACATTATTGCTGTTTACAGTTTATCTCTATCTATAATAATATATAATATAATAATTACCAAAAACTGCAAAATTTCCTTAAAATTACCAATTCAGGGGCAGCAACCCAACAATTGGTTGTCTGAATTGTCTGACAATGTCAGGGCAGATAGATCTTAACCTAATGAACATTTTAACCCCGTCAGATTTGCTCTAAATGCTTTAATTTCAGAGATATAAGCCAAAAACTGCATTTTACCCCTATGTTCTATTTTTAGCCATGGCGGCCATGTTGGTTGGCAGGCGGGGTTGTCAGACAGATTTTGTAAACTAAATACCATATTAATGATTGTGGCCAAGTTTGATTCTATTTGGCCCAGTAGTTTCAGAGGAGAAGATTTTTGTAAAAGATTACAAAAAATTACAAAAAATTGTTAAAAATTGACTATAAAGGGCCATAACTCATTAAGGGGTCAATTGACAATTTTGGTCATAATAACTTATTTGTAGATCTTACTTTGCTGAACATTATTGCTGTTTACAGCTTATCTCTTTCTATAATAGTATTCAAGATAATAACCAAAAACAGCGAAATGTTCTTAAAATTACCAATTCAGGGGCAGCAACCCAACAACGGATTGTCTGATTTGTCTGAAAATTTCAGGGCAGATAGAAATTGACCTGATGAACAATTTAACCTCATGTCAGATTTTCTCTTTATGCTTTGGTTCCAGAGATATAAGCCAAAATTTACATTTTACCCCTATGTTCTATTTTTAGCAATGGGGGCCATCTTGGTTGCTGGGCAGGGTCATCGGACAAATTTTTTATAACTAAATACCCTAATAATGATTCTGGCCAAGTTTGGTTAACTTTGGGCCAGTAGTTTCAGAGGAGATGATTTTTGTAAAAGTTAACAACGGACGCCAAGTGATGAGAAAAGCTCACTTGGCCCTTTTAGACCAGGTGAGCTAAAAAGAATGGTGCATTGTAAGCAAAGCGTTGACACATGATCAGTATTTCAATCAGATTGAAAATGTTAATTGAATTATTTCCAAAGGTAATGACTGCAAGAGATTTATTGGCCTTGATTCACATGCATTGTTCTAACAAGGTTGGAAAAAGTTTAACCTTTCGGTCTATTTTATGCTATGACATTGGATGGTATAGTATATATATATATATATGCAGTAGTGTGTGGTCTAAGCTGTTTTCTAAACGTCTCTTATTTTCCTAAATGCAAAATAGTATTTTATAGCTTTAAAATGTATTGAAGAGGAGTGGAGCATGCAAACAAACAGTGCCCATAATGAACAAAACAAAAAAAATACTAAGTTCATCTATTTGTAAATGCTTGATTAATTCAAGAAAACATAAAATTTCACAAGATGCATCCCCAGTATTTTAATATCCTTAAAACAGAAATGTGTACAGCAATAACAAATAGTCACCCAAAATTCTGTGAACTGATTTTCTAGGAAACCCAATTTAAAGTAAAAAAAAGTTTTCACTGATATTTGATACATTAATCTATAGACCCATTTCAAAAGTTTTAAACCAACCATATATTTGGAAGTATAAAGTCTGTAAACAGTTAAATATATCAACATTATCTACCTGTAATGAGAGCATATCTGACAACAGCATGTACACAGGTATCTCTTTCATCAGCTAGGAAGTTAAGATAGTTTCCTTTATGTCTGTATAGTAGCACTACCAATGTAGGAGTCAACCAACTAGCTGGTATTGTCATATATCTAACAGTCTTCAGGTATTCAAATACGGTGCCAAATGACATACTGTTGGTGGCTGCCTGAGCTGCTACCCCTACTCCTGTACAAATATAAGATAATAGTAGAAAGATGCATTATTTAAACACTGAAGATGCTAGTGATAATGTTTGGTTACACCTTTTTCATGTAAAAAACAGATAATTGTAAAGAGATTCAGTAGTTGAAAACTCAGCTGGTGGCTGAATGGGTGTCACCTGCTGTCTCCATAACATATAAGAATGGGGCACCCTAAAATCACTCCTATCAAAAATCAGTATAATAATGTACCTCTGCTAACAGGATCTTTAGGAACATCTGTTGACATCCCCATCAATAGATATCTAATGGTCAGCCAGTCACCTGTCTTTGATAACTTTATTAAGATATTGCTCCACATCTCTTGGTCCCCTAGTGACAACATCTTGTACTTGTCTCTTTTCTCTAAATCTGGGGATACAATAAATGGTTAATCAATGATGTTACTTTCCCAGGAAAGTTATCACAATAAATCATTATTTTTAAACAAACACCAAGCTTCAATGCATTTGTATTACTTAATTGAACTTAGTGCCACTGTTGCAGTCACATTTGCCCCTGCTCATATATTTTACCTAGTGGTTTCAGGAGCATGTTTTTTTTATTGGCCAGTCAGAATCAGATTGCCATTGGGAGCCACATTATTCATCCAATTAGAACAAAATGAGAATTGTGTTCCTAATCGACTATCCAAATAGTATTCCTTTCCAAGTTTGGTTCAAATTGCCCAGGTGGTTTCAGAGAAGAATGTAAATTGTCAAAGAGAGGAAAGATGAAGTTTCTCTTACCTTGAATACCTTGTCATATAGTTGAGTTCCTACCTGGAATATCTTTGAACAAGACAGCTGCTTCTGTCATGAAGTTAAGTTTGTCTCCAGGGTAAACATCGTAACATGATGTAAACATGCTAAGGAATGTTGAATAGGCTTCTGTAAATCTCTTCATCTGTTTCAATTCCTGACCTTTTCTCCAGTAACCCTAGTATTATAGATATAATAAATTCAAATTATGTATATAATAATAATAAACATAAGAGGAAACTAAGACCCTTTTCCCCTGAACTTGGAAATCCCTTTATTTCATAATCTTGTTATACATATACATTGATTTTCAGGGTACCAACTTCTAATCATATTAAAATGGAGGTTGCTTGATTTTTTTATGTATAACTATGTTGACATTGACCATTTTTAACACTGTATACATCCCTGTATATGATTATAACAGGGTTTCCAAGACTACCATATTGTCCATCACTGACTTCATTTGATATAAAATTGCATCAAAGTTAAATGTGTAATAGAAAAGAAAGGATATAAATCTTACTGACAGACACTTACATTAAAATGTTTACTGTTCAATTCAAACAATTACGAACTAATAGCCAACAAGAAGTGGCAGCAGAACACATCAGATGATTGCTTTCAAGGTATGTCTCATAATCATAAGCTCTTCATTAAACATCAAATCATTGATACAAACCAAGAAAATTTTAATAACAAAATTTAAGTCTTAAAGGTACAGTATATTCAAAAGACCTTTTCCAGAAGGATCTTCCAAATATTATTCCTGCTTAGACTGAATTCAATTGGCTAACTAGTTTTAGAGAAAAGCTAAGAATAAAGACATGAATAGCAGTATTCAGTTCACACTTGGCAAGAAGAAAAATTATAATACAAAACAACATTACAGCTATGTCAAGGTGTTCTATTAATAATCAACATTTTTATTCTTAAAATTTATTATACTGTGGATTAATTTATTTTCGTGGATTGAGGAAAAATTGTTGCTTTGAGGTTATTTCATTATGTGGTTTTGCCAAAATCTACATATATATATATATGCACCTTTAATAAACTAGTACTTCGTTGAATTTTGAAATTTGTGGTTTCCCTTTACCCACAGGATCCCTGAAAATTTGTATCCCACGAATAATAATGAATCCACAATAGATGATCAATTTTAAAACAACTGTCAGATTATTTCTTTATACTACTAAATCCTAGATTTTACCTTGTACCAAGAACTATCACTTTTAATTGATTCATCTGCATCCTTCAAAGCTTCTTTATGCATACCCATCATGCTGTAGACATTTGATCTGTTGCTTAGCAACACTGCTGCTTCTCTTTTAAATGCAGAGTTATCTCCACATAGTTGTAAACCCTTGGTATACATCTGTATAGCCTGGCCATTATTGGTGTATTTCAGTGCATCGTTACCCTTATTTTTAAACATTATGATCTGCTTCCTGATTTCTTCATCTAGAAAAGAGAAAGGAACCCATGGGACAGTACTCGTACTACACAATCTTCAACTTCAATTTTATATTTGATATGAACACAAAAAAATATTTTCATAACAATATTTTTCATGTAATTTCAAAATTAGTGGAAATGGTTTAATTCAGGATTTATTGACCATATAAGATCGTTTATTTTAATTTAAAGACCATTAGGCATTCATACTTTATAGCTGTTGAAGGATTTTAGTTAGTAGTACTGTTTATATTTGATAATATATTGAGTTCTGTTCATATGAGTGATCATATAGGTATTCTCTTATGGCTGTGTTCTGTTGTCTACTTCTTGCATGATGAGATATTTCTCTTATCACACTGTTAGGAGTGTGATACTAAAAATTAGTCAAATTTGATTGGCTGATCCAACATCAGGAGATATTATTGTGACAATTCCATTGGATATTCCTTAGGTCATTGATGAATTTCAAAGGTTAAGACAATGTTCATTTGTCCCATGGCAACAGAGATATGTGATTTCTTCTATAATATACAAAACACTCATACTTTTCATCTGAAAATAATCTGACATTTTATAAAATTTTATTTCATTCTGAAGTGTACAAAAAGTTTTAAAATGTCTGATGTTAAAAGTTTGATGCCGGAACAAAACAAATGACGTCATATTGGTATGTCAGTGCAAAAGACTAGATCAACGATTCACGGAATTTTTAATTCAAAACATTGAGAATATTTACCACAAGAGAAATAGGTGTAACAACTCTTGAGAATTGGATATCGCTAGAAATCAACTCTTGTTATTTAATTTAAATAGTATTAATAAACTTGCACATGGCTTGTTTATTATTATACTAAAATTAAATAACTCAAGTTGATATCAAGCGATATCCCATTCACACTCGTTATGAAATCTATAGTTAACTTATCAGATACTGTTTGACAAGTTTGATAAAGTAATTTTTGTACATGATAAGGATGGATGCCTTATCATTATGTCTTTTATTAGGTGTGTACTAGTTTTGCTTTTTATTTAAATATATGAATTTGTTGAACTGACCATGCAATGAATTAGACCTTGTTTAAATTTATTTTTCATGGTATACTCTACTTTTTCTAATGAAAGTTTCTCCATATTTAATCTACACAACAAATATTTACCTGCATTATTTTTTGCTGCCTGTAATAATGTAAAGCCCTGGTCAGTTGGTTTTAGGTAATCGATTGGTAGCTGTCCAGACATATTCTTCAAATAAGCTGTACATCCGCTGTTCATCAACAATCTTAAAATAGTTTCTCCAAGTGTGGTATTAACCATCCCGGACTTTACAACTAAATGGACAGCCGAATCACCATTTTTATCTATCATATCTTTTTTGACTTGACTATCAATGAAAGTTGCCAACAAAAACTTCAAAAATTCTAAATCCCCTACAATTATAACATAAATGTATAGTATTCCAAAGAATGTGTAGAATTTATCCCCAATATGTTTATCGCTATAAATAAAATAATGGTGGACATGCTTAGTTCATTAAAAACTAAATAATATGCTCAAGTCTTTGCTCTTAAGGTCTTACTACATGTATCACAAGGACTTTGGTCAAATAACTATGAAAATAAGGTCAAGGTCAGATAACAAGAAGTTGAGCAATTGTCTTGCTAAGCATACCTCCACTCATAATTCAAAGTATGGACAAACAGGAAGTAGGTGTTTGACAGATATTAAAAGCACTACCATGTTACAAGTCGTCAATGTGAAGCTTTTGAATAACTATGAAGTCATTCTGTTCAGTAGTACTGGAGAAATGTGTACTAGTAATTAAAATATTATGTTCCATTTAATTATTAAACTAGAGGCTCTCAAGAGCCTGTGTCGCTCACCTGTATTTACTGATGTTTTGGAAATCATGTAAAATAAGGTTAAAATCATAATTAATAGTATTAGATATTAGATATTATAATGATATCTAAGATAATAACAAAAAACTGCAAAATTTTTGTAAAATTACTAACTCAGGGGCAGCAACCCAACAACGGGTTGTCGGATTTGTCTGAAAATTTCAGGGCAGATAAATCTAAATCTGAAGAACATTTTTGCCACCTTGTCAGATTTGCTCTAAATGCTTTAGTTTCAGAGATATAAACCAAAAACTGCATTTTACCCCTATGTTCTATTTTATTACCAAGTCGCCCATGATGGTTGGAAAGCGGGGTCATCGGACAAATTTTTTAAACTAGATACCCTAATTATGATTATGGCCAAGTATGGTTAAATTTGTCTCAGTAGTTTCACAGATGAAGATTTTTGTAAACGATTACAAAAATTTACAAAAAATTGTTAAAAATTGACTATTAAGGGCAATAACTCCTAAAGGGGTCGACTGACAATTTTGGTCATGACAACTTATTTGTAGATCTTACTTTGCTGAACATTATTGCTGTTTACAGTTTATCTCTATCTATAATAATATTCAAGATAATAACCAAAAACTGCAAAATTTCCTTAAAATTACCAATTCAGGGGCAGCAACCCAACAACAGGTTGTCAGATTTGTCTGAAAATTTCAGGGCAGATAGATCTTGACCTGATAATCAGTTTTCCCCTTTCTCAGATTTACTCTAAATGCTTTGGTTTCAGAGATATAAGCCAAAATCTACATTTTATCCCTATGTTCTATCGGGGTCTTCGGACACATTTTTTAAACTAGATACCCTAATAATGATTGTGGCCAAGTTTGGTTAAATTTGGCCCAGTGGTTTCAGAGGAGAAGATTTTTGTAAAAGTTTACGGACGACGGACGCAAAGTGATGAGAAAAGCTCACTTGACCTTTCAGGTCAGGTGAGCTAAAAATCAAAGTATTAGCAAAGATGAAATAGGTGCCTCACAGATCCAAAATGTGCTCAAAGTTACACCACTTCATTGTCAAGCTAACCAAATATGAAGTAATTCTCTTTCAGTAGTATAGGAGAAATGTGTGATGACAAAATTAAGTTGATTCAACATATTGAAGATTCAAAGTATAAGCAAACAGGAAATAGGTGTCTACCAGTTCCAAATAAAATGCTTCGCTGGGGCGCAGCTTGATACGACCGCAGAGGTCGAACCCTGAACAGTTGGGGCAAGTATGGACACAACATTCAAGCTTGATACAGCTCTGAATTTGGATTGTTATTAAATATTTGACACAGCATAGGTTTCTGACACAGAAAGAATGTGGTCTAAGAACTTGATTTTTTTTAATTTACCTATTATGGTCCAATGTCCAAAATCAAAATACATGGTTAGATTCAGCATATCAAAGAACCCCATATATTCAATTTTTGTTAAAATCAAACAAAGTTTAATTTTGGACCCCAACTTGGACAAACTTGAAAACTGGGCCCATAATCAAAAATCTAAACACATGTTTAGATTCAGCATATCAAAGAACCCCAAGAATTCAATTTTTGCTAAAATCAAACTAAGTTTAATTTTGGACCCTTTGGACCTTAATGTAGACCAATTTAAAAAACTGGACTTCAAATTAAAAATCTAAATACACAGTTAGATTTGGAATATCAAAGAACCCCAATAATTCAATTTTTGATGAAATCAAACGAAGTTTAATTTTGGACCCTTTTGACCTCAATATGAACCAATTTGATAGCGGGGCCCACAAATAAAAAATCTAAATTCATGGTTAGATTCAGCATATCAAAGAACCCCGTATATTCAATTTTTGTTGAAATCAAAAAAAGTTTAATTTTGGACCCCAACTTGGACCAACTTGAAAACTGGGCCCATAATCAAAAATCTAAACACATGTTTAGATTCAGCATATCAAAGAACCCCAAGAATTCAATTTTTGTTAAAATCAAACCAAGTTTAATTTTGGACCCTTTGGACCTCAATGAAGACCAATTTAAAAAACGGGACCCAAATTAAAAATCTAAAAACACGGTTAGATTTGGCATATCAAAGAACCCCAATAATTCAATTTTCGATGAAATCAAACAAAGTTTAATTTTGGATCCTTTTGACCTCAATATGAACCAATTTGATAGCGGGGCCTACAAATAAAAAATCTAAATACATGGTTAGATTCAGCATATCAAAGAACCTCATATATTCAATTTTTGTTGAAATCAAACAAAGTTTAATTTTGGACCCCAATTTGGACCAACTTGAAAACTGGGCCCATAATCAAAAATCTAAATACATGTTTAGATTCAGCATATCAAAGAACCCCATATATTCAATTTTTGTTGAAACCAAACAAAGTTTAAATACTGGACCCTATCTTGGACCAACTTAAAAACTGGGCCCATAATCAAAAATCTAAACACATGTTTAGATTCAGCAAATCAAAGAACCCCAAGAATTCAATTTTTGTCAAAATCAAACTAAGTTTAATTTTGGACCCTTTGGACCTCAATGTAGACCAATTTAAAAAACAGGACCCAAAATTAAAAACCTAAATACACAGTTAGATTTGGAATATCAAAGAACCCCAATAATTCAATTTTAGATGAAATCAAACAAAGTTTAATTTTGGACCCTTTTGACCTCAATATGAACCAATTAGATAACGTGGTCCACAAATAAAAAATCTAAATACATGGTTAGATTCAGCATATCAAAGAACCCCATATATTCAATTTTTGTTGAAATCAAACAAAGTTTAATTTTGGACCCCAATTTGGACCAACTTGAAAACTGGGCCAAAAATCAAAAATCTAAATACATGTTTAGATTCAGCATATCAAAGAACCTCATATATTCAATTTTTGCTAAAATCAAACAAAGTTTAATTTTGGACCCTTTGGACATTAATGTAGACCAATTTGAAAACTGGACCCAAAATTAAAAATCTAAATACACTGTTAGATTCGGCATAACAAATAAATAAATGTGATCAAAGATTTTACAAATCTAATGCGCCATACTGTGCAATTAAAGATTACTTCGTGAAATTTTTCAATATTTGAAATTTGAAAAAAAAATAATATTTGAAGAATAATTCTTTTTAATTTCTGAAATCTGAAATGAGAAAAAATTGGCCCCCCACAATTTCTTTTTATCCCCCCCCCCTTTTTCCCCCCAAAAAATTCTTTCCCTCAAGATATGGTCATAATCTCAATTCAAATTTCCAATGGAGTTGGCAACTATAATTACCCATTTAAATTTACCATAGTGCTAACTTAATCTATTTTATAATAGAATTAATAAAAATATAGTGTCAAATCTTTCATATGGATTTTTTTGTAAAAAAAAAAGATGAAAACATTTGCAGATATTTTTACTGGTCTTCCTTTATAAATATGCATTTCTTTAAACATAATTTAAAAGCAGTGTAAGGGAAGTAACCAAAACGTTGTATTTGGATTACCTCCCTTACACTGTTTTAGATTATCTTTATTGTTCATTAACCATTACTTTATACATAATTTAAAAGCAGTGTAAGGGAGATAATTTCAATGATGTATTTGATTTATCTCCCTTACACTGCTTTAAATTATGTTTTGTACTAAAGTATTTGTCCATTAACCAGGACAACCTTGTTTTTCCCCCTTTTTTGCCCCTAATTCCTAAACGGTTTGAGCCATAACCCCCCAAAGCAAATCCTAACCATCCCTTTGTGGTATGGAAACTTGTAGTATAATTTCAGAGAGATCCATACACCGTTCCACAGTTATTGTCTGGAAACTAGAAAATGCTCATTTTTGGCCCCTTTTTGGCCCCTAATTCCTTAACTGTTGGTACCATAACCCCCAAAATCAATCCCAACCTTCCTTTTGTGGTATTTAACCTTGTGGTCAAATTTCAAAAAGATCCATTCACTTAAACTAAAGTTAGAGTGCGAAAACCAATATGTATTCGGACGACGACGACGACGACGCCAACGTCATACCAATATACGACCACAAAATTTTTTTGCGGTCGTATAAAAACAACTGATCACTTTCAAGCTGCTAACCAAATATAAAGTGATTCAGTTCCCTTGTACTTGAGAAAAATGTGACAAAATATTTGCTGGACTAACACTGTAGAAATATTTAAAGGTCATTAGACTAAAACAGATTTTATTGCAAACTAATTAATTGTTGATTACAATGCAGATTAGTGAAGATGACATTTCTATTGCAATCTTCCACACTTTGTTAGTTTTCATTGCATCAAGTTAATCGAAGTTGTATCATTAATGTATGTCTTCAAACATCAGCCATTTATCTAACAAGATAATACAAAATATATATAATAAAAAAATTTAAACTCACCCACATAATATCTAAACAAAAAAAAACCAACTGATATATACAATTAACAGTCAGAGATCTGACATAAACAAGTCAGAATTGTCAAGACTTGTGCAAGTCAGATTATGCATTTTTACAAAGGAGTAACAGTATTTTTAGACTTTATAAAGTCAGAATGTGCCCAACTTATTCAGGTCAGATTATGTTCAGTGGATTGTGAAGTTTCAGTATTTTAAGATTTGTAGCAAACCTATTCAGTAAGTTACCATGAATATTGGTACGATGCATAACAATACCAAAATCAATCTATTCATGCTGGTTTTCAAGTAAATCCATTGTTTATACAGAATCTTTTTTACAATTTATCATAAATACATACTTACATAAAATGGTTAATTTCATATGATTCCGTTTTTTTAGGGTCTTATTCATATTTTTTGTTGATAAAAAAGTGTTTGTGGAAGGCATTTTTAACATTGTCATGTGGATGCTTAACTTTTAAATATGGGTGCATTGCCCAAAAAGGTTAACAATTTAGGTATATTTCTGACTTGTAGAAGTAGAAAAAAAAATTATTTTTGTTTTGAGGAAAAAATTGCATATTATTTCATCTGACTTGTAGAAGTTAGCTTTTGACTAAAAATGATGGGAGGTGTCTCATAACACCAAATATTCTGACTTACACGAGTCACCCAATTCTGACTTGTTTATGTCAGAGCTCTGACTGATTAATGTTACACCTATTCAGCTATATATCAAGATTTTCTTGAGGCAATATATCAAGATAAGAATTATTGAAGGTAATCTCAAATGATTGCAATATAAATAATTTTTCATTGAAAATTTTTATTAATAACTTGAGAAGAATTTGGAACTGTGTTACTAAATATCCTGACTAAAAGGTGTAAGCCCAATAGGTTTGTTTACAAATATTTTACTGTACCTGTTTCTAAAGCGGTCTGGACTCCAATGTGAATAGCAGCCTGTCCTAATGTTAGTTCCATCTGTTCAAAAGAAGAACCATATCCTAGGAGAGCAATTGCTAACTGTATTCCCCAGCTTTTCTTCTGAGATACTGATGTTTCTCTCAGGAGGTCTCCAACAGGAACAAAAGATAAGTCTAGATCACAAAATGATTCTGCTAATTCATCATTATCCCCAGAGGATACTCCTGTCACTAAGTAGCTAATGGCTTCCCAAGCCTTGTTATATATCAATCTTTGTATAACCTTGACTTTAGTCGACTTCTCGCTTGGTTTTAGGCTTCGAAGAAATGGATTAACTGAGCAACCTGCAAAAATATTGTGTCTGTATTCTAAATTTTTATTTAAGCCAAAATAAAATTAAATGTGTTACCCTAACCACCAAATTTTTTATGTCGCAAAATGACACCCCTACTTTTTATTAGTACTGTTCTGTTTTCAAACTGGGAGTATAAGAATTATCTTTTCAGCTATGTAGAAAACTGACCTAAGAAAGCCATTATCAACATAAAATAAGCATTTTTAGGTGCTATATGCTAGATGAGAAACTCAGCACCTACCTTCAAAGGTCTACAATTGTTTATATACCTTCCTAATTTTGCAGTAAGAGGTTGCTCTTGGTTGGCAACATCATTTCTTTTAAGCAACAAAAAACTTCACATGTTCAGAATGAAAACTTGAGTAGCAATTGTTGTGTGCTTCTTCAGTGGATATGTAGGACTTTAAGTAACATGAAAGAAATATTGTTTACTGGTAGTGAAGAAATATTTACAAAACATGATTTACAAGATCTAAAAAATGTACCAAAATTATCTCAATCCAAACAATCTTGTTGAATCAAGAGGACTGCTAAATAAAACACTGAAAGGGCTACTGAGCACATACCTTCAAATTCTATTTCAGCCAACAAAGCACTCTAAAAACATACAAATTACTTAAATTCACAGATAAACAATACTGTTATGAATTATTCTTGGTGGACTTTGGGACTTAGCGAACAGATGAGCCTATACGACCTGTTTACCTTTGGCATGGCTAAGAATTGTTGCCATCTCTGTAAAAAAAGTCAGCTGATCATCCTTATTAGAATATTTCATACAAGCATCTATTCCTTCATTCAATATATCCACAGCTCTGTACAATTGTCCTAGTTCTTTTAAAACTTGGCTTGCTCTCCAGAAACCCTAAAATGGTTAAGATAAGATTTTCATATAGTAATGGTTAGTGTACTTCAACTAATCAGCAATAAAAGACAGACTATTATAAGTAAGCTGCTGATACAGGTAATGCATGTGCGATGATACATGTCAACATGCCGTGTATTAATAATCCATTTTTCTTGTTAATAAAAATATCACGTTTTCAGTTTTGACTGGTATATGGACAGGACCATGCAGTCATAAAAGTGGTAAAGGGTTATTTTTCGTGCAACGTTTTCAGTCTTTTTATTTCATGTGTTTTCGTGTTTTGACGTTTTATTTCTCGTATTCTCGTGTTTGGTTCGATGTGCGTGCTTCGTGTTTCCCCTTATTTAGATTCCGTGTTTCGTGTCGGTACTCTTAATTTCTCGTGCTTGTCCTGCATTTGATTAAAAAGTAAATCGGGACTAATTCAAAGTCAGCCCGGATATTGTTTTACTATGAATAATATTTTTTTTCAAATCTGATGCAACTAGGGGACGCTAAAAGGTAGTCGCAGGGTCTTCATGTCCATTAAATAATGACTGCATGATCTCTAAGAACGGCTGAGTAATAACTTCTAGTACTTTTTTCCTTAATATTTACAATACTATTTTTCGTGCTTTGCTTTTGAAAATTTGAAAATTATGAATAAACATTCGTTTGAGTTTTGTGTGATCCTATCTTATGAACATCTATACAAATTTATTTTTCATGTTTTCAACATCAAATAATGCATGAGGTAAATCCAGATAATATGCAAAAACGGCATGGTGTTCTTACATATAATACATCCAGGTCGATATTCTCTAGTGGACTTATGGATCCTATATCATCATATGTTAACTATTACACAGACAAAACTGGAAAGTAACACCTATGTTTCACCTCCTTCAACATTCAAAGCAGGCAAGACAGATTGGGGTCATGGAACAGTAAATGGGCAATTTCACAGAATTTTAGATTTTGCATACAATTTGAACAAGTAGAATTCTCAAAATAAACATGATAACTGGGGACAATAACATGTGTGCATAGAATCTGATGGCCCACTTGCACCCTTACATGTTCTGTGAACTTCAAACTCTGGGTAAAAACCCTGTTATGGAATATATTTTTTAATAAATTGGGAATGTGTCCATGGGACACAGATGATGCCCCTGCTTGCATATAATGTTATAAAGGGACAAACAGTAAAAGTGACGCTACCCTAATTCGAACTCGATCAGAGTTTTGTGGTAATAAGCATTGTGTATAAGTTTCATAACATTTGGTTGAGGCAAACTTAAGTTAGAGAACGGAAACAAAAAATTCAGCATTTTTTTCCATTTGTAAAGGGACATAACTCTAGAAAGGTAAAAGTGACGCCACCCTAATACAAACTTTATCTGTGTTTTGTGGTAATAAGCATTGTGTATAAGTTTCATAATATCTGTTTGAGGCAAACTAAAGTAAGAGAACAGAAACCAATTTAAGGATGTACAGACGTACAGATGGACAAAGGAAAAACTTAATGCCCCCTACGTTACTTCAGGGGCAAAAAATTAAATCATCATGATAATGGACATTTGTACTGTATGTTTAATGTTAATGTGACACAATGGAAAACAACCTCAAAACACAGATCTTAGCCTGATAAAATGCTGATGAACAATACAAATAAATAGGTTGCAAAACAAATGCACCCTACTATTGTATTGGGGCTAAAATTAAAGTAAATTATACTGAATTTCAATGCAAAATTTAAATCTTTGTAACTTAATTGACCTGAATATTTTCAAAAGCTAAATTTCTTGCAGTTAGAAAACATCTTCTAATCTTTCATAAAGTCTAAGGACACACACTATTTATGGAATATAGAATAAACTGCTTCGCTGAGCGCAGCTGGATACGCCCGCAGAGGTCCAACCCTGAACAGTTAGGGCAAAAATGGATACAATATTCAAGCTTGATACAGGTCTGAATTTGGATTGTAATTAAATATTTGACATAAATATATAAAAAATATTTAACTGAATAAATGTAGTCAAAGAACTTGAAATTGGTTATATGAATTGAATTTATATTCAATTAAAGATTTCTTGCTGTTGTGCAATACACTGTGCTGTTGCGCAATACCTAGTAATCTGTTGTCAGACTATAAACAACTAAAGTTCAATTAATTCTCAATGTCATATTAGAAATTTATGAAAATCAAAAGGGAGCTTACATCAATAGATATAAACAATTCACCAAAGTTTCATGAGAATTGCTGACAGCATTTTTGAGTTATTGTCCAAAAACTGGATCATCCCCCTTTTTTAATGAATAAAACCCCATAACTCAGAAATGTAAAATGTAAAATTTATAAAATTCTAAAGGGAGCTTACATCAATAGATATAAACAATTCACCAAAGTTTCATAAAAACTGCTGAAAGCATTTTTGAGTTTTTGTCCGAAAACTGGAAAATCCCCTTTTATGAATAAAACCCTGTAACTTGGAAATGTAAAATCTAAAATTTATAAAAATCAAAAGGGAGCTCATGTCAATAGATATTAACAGTTCACCACAATTTCTTGCAAGTTGGTGAAAGCATTCTTGAGTTATTGTCCGAAAACTGGAAAATCCCCCTTTTTTTAATGAATAAAACCCCATTACTCGCAAACGTAAAATCTAAAATTTATAAAAAACGAAAGGGAGCTCAAGTCAATAGATATAAACAATTCACCAAAGTTTTATGCAAATTGGTTAAAGCGTTTTTGAGTTAATGTCCGACATGTTGACGATGGACGGACAGACGGACGGACGGACAGAGGTATACCATAATACGTCCCGTAAACGGGCGTATAAAAACACTCAACGAGTGACCAAACAACACATTATTGCGAACCATTCCCACTCAATTAATATCAATATATTTTTAATCTGTTCAATATAAACACTGATTTAATCATAAAAAGATGATATCTGACAAAACTTTCAGCATTGTTCCTATTGAAATTTTCATTTTTTTTATGTTTTTGTTTAGTTACAGAATATATTTAAGAAGGCCTTAATTTAAACATCGTCATTTTCCAGTTTTAATTTGTCAAACACACACTTTTTTGATTAAATCAGTGTTTATATTGAACAGATTGAAAATATATTGATATTGAATAAAATACAACATCACATGCTTTTTTTAGTTAAAACATGTATTTTCATCTATTTAAAAGATGTTTTTTTACTCAGGTAATTTAATCAATGAGTGATAGATTTCTCTTAGAAGAAATTTAAAAGTCCCAGTGAATAAACTACACAGAGAACAATAGCTATTGTATTTATTCAATGGGACAATAGAACAGACAAAAGTTTAAATAGCTTACCAAGAGCAGATGACTCTGGAAAACTTTCATTTGGTTCGCAATAATTCACAAATGTGTGTAGCTCATGAGTTAAGGTTCATCAAAAGGAATTGAAAAATATGTCTGTGTTTACACCACAAAATCTATTACGAGTACAGACAAACTGATGCATCTAGGAAAGTTTTAAGGCATGGCAGTACCTAGATATATAAAAGTTATATGTAGTCTATGTTTCAGAAAATTAAAAACTTACCTGGATTTTGATGTGCATTATTTTCCAGTGAGCAGAAGATAGCAAAATAAACACACATGAGTTTTATTTGATATGGTCCACTCAGTTACACAGTTTAAATCACCTATTGTTTTCAGATGTCTATTGTCCATCTATTGTCCATTTGAATCAATACTACTCACAACATTTATTATATGAGGGGAGCTTCTCAAACCTCTTTCCCAACTTAGTTAATTTTTGCACCTTCTGCAGGAATGAAAACTAGAGGCTCTAAAGAGCCTGTGTCACTCACCTTGGTCTATGTGCATATTCAACAAAGGACACTCTCCAACAGTGTAGATGAGAATAGAATTCATGACAAAAATCTCTGTTTTGTTGATCTGGTATTTCTGATCATTTAGTCTGTTTAGTTTCTCTCTATCTTCTCTAGTTTTTGCTCAAAACACAAAAAAGTGTAAAAATCCTCATCTAAGGGCAACCCCTCCTATAAAGAGTAACAGTCTACTAACTATATCGGCAAAATTTGACTTGTTATTAGATCTTGTCTTGCTGATCATTTTTGTGATTTAAAGTCTCTATTTATCTATTATAATTTTTATCATAAAAGGCAAAACGCAAAAAAAAAGGTAAAAATCGTCATTAAAGGGCAATAACTCCAATAAGGAGTCGTCGGACAATTTCCTCCATGTTGTCTAAATTGTGGAACTTGTCTTGCTGATCAGTTTTGCTTCATTAAGTTTCTATCTTTCTATTATAATTTTTATGACATAAGGCAGAAATGCCAAAAAAAATGGTAAAAATCATCATCAAAGGACAATAACTCTAATAAGACGTCTACTGACGATTTCAACCATGCAAACTTATTTGTAGAACTTGTCTTGCTGATCATTTGGCCAGGTTAGCTAAAAAATGATTAGCAAAATCAAGAAAAATTTATAATTTTCTGACACATAAAATGCATCTAAAATTCAATTATCTAGTTCCTGCCATGCCTTTAAACTTTTCCAGATGCACAAGTTTGTCTGTACTCAGAGTAAAATTTGTTGTGTAAATACGGCCATATTAGCCAAAAGGTTATTATGAACCTTAATTATCAGTGTTGTTCAATCACAAGTTGATTATTTTTTGAATTTTAATTCTTGGATTAGTTATTCGTTTTATTTCATTGACTGTGGGTATTTTAATGGAAAAAAAGTTGAAATTACAATGAACTATATCTTTATCTACCATTCCCAATTCATTTTGAAGTATAAACATCATCAACAATGTCTTGACAACACCCATTGTTGAACAACATCAGAGGAGTGAAATTATCAGATTTATTTTACATGTGAAATTATTGGTTTTCATTTCACTGGGAAATTACAATATTTCATTGCAACCAATGTAATTATATATGTTAATTACTTTTATCCAATATGGAAAACCATTGATACTGGTCATGGCATCAGCCATAGCTTCTGTATATCTCCTCATTTTCAGGAGAACCATCGATCTGTTACACAGTAGTTTTGGCATCTCCTCTCCAACAAAAGGTATAGCACATGCTACCTTTATTGCATAACTATAGTCATCATAGGCTCCAGCATAGTCCTGTTGTTGTAATTTACTCTCTGCTGACTGCTTACAATGTTGAATCATAACAGTAGCCCCAACTTGAAAAATAAAAGACAGAGAAAGGTTGCATAATAAACATGATAAGGGCCTCAATTGCCACCAGGTGTGGCAAAAATCAGATGGTCCAAAGTAAGGTTAAGCCATGGTTTTCCTTTATTATTTCAATGGAGTATTTTATAATGGTATCTCTCAGGCTAAGTGAACAATGTAGTGTATTTTGGTTGTATGTCTGGGTATTTTATTTAAGGAGTCTTCTGGTGTTAGTGGTTTCTGTTGTCTAATTTACTGTCTACTAATTTTGGTGATTCCTGTTATGCCTTCTATGTATTATATATGTATTATTGGTATATATAAATATGCCTACTACATGACCAACTTCATAAAATACACAAATATTCAAAAAGGAGGTTCCTTACAAAAAAATATAGTGTGTGATAAGATTTTGTGAGGGAAATCATTGATAGCTATTCCATGGTTAACTTAAAAGCTTTTAATGACAATACCACTGAATTAATCAGAATGTAAGTTTTTGCAGTATTTTAGGAAATGAATTTGCTATGTATCTGTGTATCATTTGTTAATAAATGAATGCTTTAATAAGGTATATTTGCTGTTAAAAGTCAATAATTTTCGTTCACTTTTGAAGCTCAAACTTCCTAGTTTTTTTTAAACACCCTAATGAGTGATAAAAAGACTATGCCAATACAGATACATAGGTTTTTGTATTTCAAGCAAAATATTTTGTTCTATTATTATTTGGTGGTAATCATAAAGAAATTATCTTAAAAATTATCATTGTCTCCCTATTAACCCCTAACACATATTTCATTGAAGACCTGTTGGTGACCTTCTGCTGTTGTCTGTTCTGTGGTCGGGTTGTTGTCTCTTTGACACATTCCCCATTTCCATTCTCAATTTTATTTGATATGAACTGGGCATTGTTATTATAGAATCTTATTATTAGAGGGAGTTATATTATTATTGCTAAACCCTAACATGTTAACCTGTTGATTTTTTTCTGTGTGTACTATTTCAGAATGTGAAATTTTATTCTGGAACAAGAATTGTTTAACAATGCTCTGAATTTAAAAATAAATTAAGAAATCAAATTAATATTGTTTGTAGTTAAAATTAACTATTTAGGTTATGATTTGACTTTTCCTTCCACTATCTATATTATATGCTCAAGTCTAAAAACAAATAATTCATTGATTTACTCAATATACAAATATGATAACAAGAGTGCACACGCTGAAATGTCTCGCCTTCTTTACTAATCATTGATATTATGTTGATAGTCCTAAATATAAAGCTTTATTACAACTGTCACATAAACTTAACATTAACCAAGTAAACTAAACATTGACCAATGAACCATGAAAATGAGGTCAAGGTCAGATGAACCATGCTAGGCAGGCATGTACAGCTACCAATTCTTCCATACAACAAATATAATTGACCTATTGCTTATAGTTTAAGAAAAACAGACCAAAACACAAAAACTTAACACTGAGCAATGAACCTTGAAAATGAGGTCAAGGTCAAATAAAACCTGTGTGACTACTAAATAGATCATAAAATATTTCCATACACAAAATATAGTTGAACTATTGCATATAGTATTAGAAAAAAGGACCAAAACTCAAAAAACTTAACTTTGACCACTGAACCATGAAAATGAGGTCAAGGTCAGATGACACCTGCCCGCTAGACATGTACACCTTACAATCATTCCATACACCAAATATAGTAGACCTATGGCATACACCGAATATACTAGACCTATTGCTTATAGTATCTGAGATATGGACTTGACCACCAAAACTTAACCTTGTTCACTGATCCATGAAATGAGGTCGAGGTCAAGTGAAAACTGTCTGACGGGCATGAGGACCTTGCAAGGTACGCACATACCAAATATAGTTGAACTATTGCATATAGTACTAGAAAAAAAGACCAAAACTCAAAAACTTAACTTTGACCACTGAACCATGAAAATGAGGTCAAGGTCAGATGACACCTGCCCGCTAGACATGTACACCTTACAATCATTCCATACACCAAATATAGTAGACCTATGGCATACAGTATAAGAAAAACAGACCAAAACACAAAAACTTAACTATAACCACTGAACCATGAAAATGAGGTCAAGGTCGGATGACACCTGCCAGTTGGACATGTACACCTTACAGTCCTTCCATACACCGAATATACTAGACCTATTGCTTATAGTATCTGAGATATGGACTTGACCACCAAAACTTAACCTTGTTCACTGATCCATGAAATGAGGTCGAGGTCAAGTGAAAACTGTCTGACGGGCATGAGGACCTTGCAAGGTACGCACATACCAAATATAGTTATCCTATTACTTATAATAAGAGAGAATCTAACATTACAAAAAATCTTAACTTTTTTTTCAAGTAGTCACTGAACCATGAAAATGAGGTCAAGGACATTGGACATGTGACTGACGGAAACTTCGTAACATGAGGCATCCATATACAAAGTATGAAGCATCCAGACCTTCCACCTTCTAAAATATAAAGCTTTTAAGAAGTTAGCTAACGCCGCCGCCGCCGCCGGATCACTATCCCTATGTCGAGCTTTCTGCGACAAAAGTCGCAGGCTCGACAAAAACAATATTTTGATATTCAAAATGTCATATAAACTGAACTTTGTTCAAAGTTCCTTATGTATAGCTGAAAAATTTGATCGTTCAAATATACATCTATATCCTGTTTAGGAAAAACTGGTTATTTGAAAACAGATTAATTTGTATAACTTTTTACACACATAAGCCATGCATGTACAGTAATTCAATTGAACATCAAACTGGACAATTTCATATTTTTTTTATCAATGAAACAAAATGTATGAAAAGTTCGATTTGCCAGTTTTTACTTTTTCATAAAATTTGTGTAATACAGAGAATTTTTGCTATAAAAGAATAGAATTTTCTTCACCAATTCAGGAACTTTACAGAATAAGCCCATTCATCCTTTTAAAAAAGTTACTATTTTGAAGAGAACCATTGAAACATAGTTACACATGTCTTCACAAGGTAAAATGTTTTTGTGTTTTATCAGAATATGCATTTTTCAGTCTTATTATGCTGCTATTATTCAATTTAACCCAAATGTGAACAGTGAGTAAATGAATTCAAAATATAACTTGATATGCCTATTTATCAATGCAAATAGTAAATATGATGTTTTAAAACCAGATGTGTCTACTTCACCAAATTGCATTAGATCATTTGTATTAGAACATTTGTCATGTTGTTTTTATTGTACATTTCCTTTGTGCATTTGTGTGCTAAAACTTCAGAATTAAATAATATCCAGTGTACTAGAAAGGTTGTACTGCATGTATGTTTGAAGTGTGAACTACATTAGAGGTCATCTCTCTAAGAGCTGTCACTTTTGGTATTTCCTGCGTGTGATGCTTAATAGAGATTTGATTGTGAAAACTTTCCATTACCATTTTCTTCAAACTGGTCACGTTCTGGAGGTGTATAATAGGCCATGACTTCTCTTCTTTTTAATCTTTATATCAGACATCTGACAGCATGTTTTCATTGCTGAAAAGAAACAGAACAGGTAAGTCAGGATTCAAGATGATGTAATTAACTGTCATCATTCAACAGTTCAAGGTTGGATATTGCTTTCAGTCACTGTGAGCATTCTTTGATAAATTTTATTTTGTTTAATGTTACTTGAATTTGTGTTTTTGTTGTCTTTCAACACAATATAATTCCACCAAATTCTATATATGTCTGTTCCATGTCAGGTGCCAGTAATTCTGTGGTTGCCGATGGTTGTTGTCTGTCATATTTGTTGTAAATCAAGCCATTAGTTTTCTCATTCGACTTTTTTTTAAATTTTGTTAATACAGGGCCTTTTTTTAGCTTCATGCCCATTATCATTAATCATATATTGTTTTTCAATTTTAACTACTTTAACACGCATAAAAGTATATCAAACTCAGTGCGTGCCATTAAGTTGACATCTACAATCGATCAGTGTTCTGGGGAAGTCGGTATTATTGCAGTATATAAACAGGAATCAACCAAAACAGGACTTGTAGCAAGTCTTAAATGTTTAATATGAATTGAAATTGGGTGTCTATTTGTGATCACTAATGAATAAAATGATTAAAAGCAATAACACGATTGTTCTTCATAAATATATACATGATATACCCAGGGCTCCATACTTTGACCGATACCATACCTATGTAAATAATAATTTGGAATTTTGAATGAACCTAGACAAACTTTGACCAACTGAAAAAACCATCAAGGACAACCAAGAACATGCATGGCCAACATTTCGTGAGAGTGACTTCAAACAAAATCAGACACATTAAAATTCAGTTTCATACCAAACACTATTAAAGATTGGAACCAGCTACCACCATATATTTTCATCAAAATTCAGACAGCAGAAGAACCAGCTAAAACTTTCTGTGATATTGTAAGGGGGCCCCACTTAAGTAGATTACTTGACGCAAATGCGGTGTATTAATGATCCTTGGATGTATCACTGTATACATATCAAGATCAAGACTTTGAAATTTTGTCTCATAACCAATGTCTAAGCCTTTATAAAGGCCATTAAATCCTTTGACTTCCAACTGAATACATATTTCTGAGGATCTTCTCCTACCTGTATACATGCATATGCTGAAATTAGCTTTGAAAATACAACAAATGGGTAATGCAATTATTGTCGTACATACTCAAATTTCTTGTTAGATACAAACAGATCATAGTTTACCATGTTTATTAGGAGACAGAAGGTTTCTTAGTCCGAGATTACTCTGACGTCTAACGACCCCAGCTTGTCTGGCTAAACAGCCATTGGACGTCAGGGTAATCTAGGACTAACATGAGGGTACCCAAATTGCACCTATTTTGACAGTTTTTTCACCTACGCTTTTTTACAATCCAGACAACAGTCTTAATTCTGTGTTTATTTTGTAGATGTATCCTAATTTACTATATAGTTACACCAATTTAATTTTGAATCCATATTGATCGAATCATAGAAAAATGGGTTCGAACTGACCTCCAAGCGATCCATGATTCTGTTATGAGGAGTACCCAAATTGCATCCATGCTTAAATTCACATCCTTAAAAGTTGTATAACCGATGTTTTGTTTCATTTCTTCAAATATTTTGAACAATTTGACATAAGTCCATGCTCACTATTCATTTTTTAAGAAATGGATGGGTGTAACATATTTTATTTGCTTATTTATAAAAGATGACTTTTTGTGAACGTCGCATGGTGATGTTTCCGTAGATTTTACTTTTTCCAGTAAATGCTGCATCTGTTGATAAAATTGAGAATGGAAATGGGGAATATGTCAAAGAGACAACAACCCGACCAAAGAGCAGACAACAGCCGAAGGCCACCAATGGGTCTTCAATGCAGCGAGAAAATTCTGCACCCGGAGGTGGTCCTCAGCTTGCCCCTAAATAAAATTGTGTGCTAGTTCAGTGAAAATGGACGTCACACTAAACTCCAAAACATATAAATGAACTAAAATTAAAAAACATACAAGACTAACAAAGGCCAGAGGCTCCCGACTTGGGACAGGGGCAAAAAAGTGGCGGGGTTAAACATGTTTTGTGAGATCTCAACCCTCCCCCTATACCTGTAGCCAATGTAGAATAAACAAACACACAGCTATACACACAGTAAAACTCAGTTTAAAAGAAGTCAGAGTACGATGTCAGAATAGGTAACAAAAGAAACTAATCAAAATGACAATCATCGTGATCATGACAATGATACATAAATTAACAAAGGACTACTAGCAGTTACTGACATGCCAGCTCCAGACCTCAATTAAACTGATTGAAAGATCATGTCTTCATCATATGAAAATCAAGTACAATCCCTCCAGTTAGGGGTTTAGTATCATACCATCATAAAATATATGAGAAGAACATAACCTGTATCATGCCAACAACTGGTTTTAGAATAAATGTGTCTACTTCCGATGCAAAGACCCTATGAGTGAATCAATATTAATACCAAAATATGCAATCCTTAATGACTTGACAACAGTATCGTAACTATATCCTTTCCGAATAAGTCTGTTTAAAGGTTTGGTTAGCTTTTGAGGTGAATGCCGACATTTTTGTGCTTTGTAAAGAATATTACCATAAAATATTGGATGTGAAATACCTGAACGTATAAGATGTCTGCATGTTGATTTATCTTTACAAATTATGTCCTTGTACCGATGATAAAATTTAGTAAATGTTTTGACTAGTTTGTGATATCGAAAACCCTGGTGTAATAATTTTTCAGTAATACAGAGATTTCTTGCGTTGAAATCAAATACTTTGTTACATACACGAGCTAATCGAACAAGTTGAGATATATAAACACCATAAGATGGCGACAAGGGAACGTCACCATCTAAAAATGGATAATTAATAATAGGAAATGAAAAATCATCTCTTTTTATCATAAATTTTGGTATTAAGTTTCCAGTTAAAGATAAAGATATCAAGATCCAGGAAAGGGCAGTGTTCATTGTTAGTATTAGCTTTATTTAAAGTCAGTTCGGCAGGGTAAATCTCTTTAGAGTACATACTGATATATACTGTGAACGTTTTGTATATATTTACCTATGTTTTAAGACGTGAATAATGTAAAATCATAAAAATACAAATTGTTTAGTCTCAAAGAAAACCTGTAAGATTTCCGCAGCTATTTTTGTGGAATAGGTGCAATTTGGGTACTCGGTGCATATTTGGGTACTGTGACGTTAGAGGTTTCTTAAAAATCATTCTACTTTCATTTTCCTGTAATGCTGTATGGCGAGTTCGTAAATTTAGCTGATAGAAATTAATTTGGAATGAATGATTTTAAATTCTCTCTGTTGTATCCTATCTAAAACATGTAAATTCTATACCTGACACACTTTGCTTGTCTCAGTATCACATAGAACATCTTTGTTTTCTTCGTCTGTTTCCCGCCATTGTGCCACACGTAAATCGATTTACTTCCCCTGTTTTGAAATTGGATCATCATCACTGAGCTCGTGACTTCCGACATAGGACGATCTGGAAGAGGGTCTGGATGAGATTTTTTTTTTTCTTTTCTTTTCTGTTCTGTTTTTTTTTTTTATTATTATTTCTTAAACCAATTTCCCAGTTTTCCCAGTCTTTAGAAATTTATCATTTTGCCCATTATTTTATCGGCTTTTCATTTTAGCAACGTTTTTATCTCAGGCTCTGCGGTGAAGTCAAGCCGAATAAGGTATCGCCAAATAAAGTGTCCAATCTAATTAGAATGATCTAGAATATGATCAAATATAGAACTCTGATTTCGTTATCCTCTTGTATATACGAGAACGAGTTGTTATAGATTTTAATTTTAATCATAGTGAATTATAGGCCTAGGCCTATGTTAGTTATACCTGAGACTACTATTCTCAGGTTATACAAAAAAATAGTTATTTATTAAGATTTTGCATTAAATACGAGACAATTCAAATTAAAACTCAACATTTCAATCAATCAATTAATCGAAAAAAAAGCTTGAAAATCATCAAGTTAGATTAAGCAGAGACATATATACACATCTGGATTAAGTTGATGCATATGTAGGCCTACAAAACAGCAGAGCCATATAAAAAATGACAAGAAATTCAAAACTTATATATTATGTCTCTGAAAACAGTGAATGAATCAATGATTTATTCTCATAAACTAATGACATATAGTTATAGAGACAATGATATTATGTCTATCAGAGACATGTCTCTGATATTATGTACAATCAGAGACATTTATAAAATATGTCTCTGGTACAATGTATGTGAAGCTAGCTCCCGGTTCGTTATACGTTATTCAATATCCAACACTGAAGCTGCTAACAGTCGGTTTAGTCTGAGACTACTATAACACAGTAGTCTCAGGTTCAGTATTCAAATTTTCAAAGTTGAAAGTAATAAAAATGTAAATATAACGTGTACAGTGCATGTGTGAACGAATGATATAATGATAAACCAAGAGAAGAGACTTTCGCATCGACAGCTTTAGCTGTTTAGTATATCGACGCTAACAATTTTTCTAAAACTGTAATATTACTTGAGAAAAATAGTATACATAATTTTAAGGTGTTTGTATTTTTCCACCAAAATACCGGAAAATATTTTTTCTGAAGTTTCATTTTCTTAAGATTTACAAAACAAAATATAATGATACGCGTCACCGTCGGATTTAAGCCGAGCCACAGTGACGACACAATCTATCATTTCCTGACATCTCCCTGTCTCGACTGGTAAACGGTGACAACCACCACAGCTTAATATACAAAACATATGCATACAATATTCAATGGTAAACTAGACCATATAACTATATGGAATCGGCCGCAGAGGCTGACATAGGGGGCGCCCAAGCCCTCTTTTGGAGCTATATTTATGGCAAATGCAGACTTTTTACCTGTTCCACTCCAAATGTGCCCCTTACAAAATCCTAGATCCGCATCCGCATAAATCTTCAAATTTAAAATGTGTTTTAAATATTCTATAGCATATACCATGTATACCTTTCACTGAGAGGTAGAATAAATATTTTGATCAGGGTCCATTCCTGTATCAATTGGTCTTTCAATTTTTGTTCTCAACATTTAGAAATCCACATAGCAGAAAACATAAGCTAAGCAGAGCGCTTAAAACCAACATAGATGAAGACATAATATTTCAATCATTTTAATTGAGGTCTGGAGCTGGCATGCCAGTAACTGCTGGGAGTCCTAAATTTGTTGCATTATGTTATCATTATCATTTTGTTTAGTTTCTTCTGTTACCTATTCTAACATCGGACTCGGACTTCTTTTATACTGAGTTTTACTGTGTGTATTGCTGTGTTTTTGTTTATTCTACATTGGCTAGACGTTTAGGGGACGGGTTGAGATCTCACAAAATATGTTTAACCCTGTCCTAAGTCAGGAACCTCTTGTCATTGTTAGTCTTGTACGTATGTTTTTTTTTTTTTTAAATTCCGGTTCATTTATATGTTTCAGAGTTTAGTGGGACGTCCGTTTTCTATGAACTAGTAAACATTTTTGTTCAGGGGTCAGCTGAAGCCCGCCTCCGGGTCCGGGTGCGGGATTTTCTTGCTGTGTTGAAGACCAATTGGTGGCCATTGGCTGTTTTTCTGCTCTTTGGTCGAGTTATTGTCTCTTTGACACATTCCCCGTTTCCATCCTCAATTTTATAGACACTATGATAAACACAAATTACATACACACCTTATTTATGCTTACAAAACATTGTTCTCGGAAAATATGACCTTTCTGGTCCAGTGGCTGATTCAGGGAAGGGCGTATAGGGTATACGCCCATTGATTGAACAATCGAATTTTTAGCATAAAATTGTACGAAAAATTTCAGTTCAGTAAATATTCAGTTTTCTGGAATTGCACCCCTTTTACAAATCCTGGACCGAATACTATCAAGGTGTATCTTCTGTTAGGTAAAACAAACGGCATGTCGGGATAATGACATGCAATGTATAACTATCTGGGAAAAGATTTAAACCAACATTTGACCGTTTGGATGATAAATATAAAAATAAGAAGTTGTGGAATGAATGCCAATGAGACAACTCTTCACAAGAGACCAAATGACACAGAAATTAACAACTATATGTCACCGTACGGCCTTCAACAATGAGCAATGCCCAAACCGCATAGTCAGCTATAAAAGGCCCCGAAATGACAAATGTAAAACAATTCAAACGAGAAAACTAACGGCCTAATTTATGTACAAAAAAATTAACGAAACACAAATATGTAACACAGCAACAAACGACAACCACTGAATTACATGCTCCTGACTTGGGACAGGCAAATACATACAGAATGTGACGGGATTAAACATGTTAGCGGGATCCCAACCCTCCCCTCACCCGGGACAGTGGTGTAACAGTACAACATAAGAACGAACTATAATAAAATGCTCCGCAGGGCGCAGCTTGATACGACCGCAGAGGTCGAACCCTGAACAGTTGGGGCAAGTATGGACACACTATTCAAGCTTGATATAGCTCTGAATTTGGATTGTGATTAAATATTTGACACAGCATAGGTTTCTGACACAGAATGAATGTGGTCTAAGAACTTAAAAATTTTAAATTGGACATTTACCTATTATGGTCCAATATCTAAAATCTAAATACATGGTTAGATTCAGCATATCAAAGAACCCCAAGAATTCAATTTTTGATGAAATCAAACAAAGTTTAATTTTGGACCCTTATGACCTCAATGTGGACAAAGTTGATAACGGGGACCAAAAATCAAAAATCTAAATGCATGGTTAGATTCAGCATATCAAAGAACCCCACATATTCAATTTTTGTTGAAATCAAACAAAGTTTAATTTTGGACCCCGATTTGGACCAACTTGAAAACTGGGCCCATAATCAAAAATCTAAATACATGTTTAGATTCAGCATATCAAAGAACCATAAAAATAAAATTTTTGTTAAATTCAAACTAAGTTTAATTTTGGACCCTTTGGACCTTAATGTAGACCAATTTGAAAACGGAACCAAAAATTAAGAATCTAAATACACGGTTAGATTCGGCATATCAAAGAACCCCAATAATTAAATTTTTGATGAAATCAAACAAAGTTTAAATTTTGGACCCTTTGGACCTCAATGTGGACCAATTTAAAAACGGGGCCCAAAATCCAAAAACTTAATACACGATTAGATTCAGCATATTAAAGAACCCCAAGAATTCAAGAATAAAACCCCATTGAAATTGATCAAGAAATAAGCAATTTATACGAAGTATCTTCTTTTGCACAATACTGTGCAATTGAATATTTCTTGCTATTGCGCAATACTGTACAATTGACAATTTCTTGCTATTGCGCAATATTGTGCTATTGGATATTTCTTGCTATTGCGCAATACTGTGCAATTGAAGATTTCTTGTTATTGCGCAATACTGTGCAATTGAAGATTTCTTGCTATTGTGCAATACTGTGCAATTGAAAATTTCTTGCTATTGCACAATACTTATTATATAATAATTTACACATCCTGTTTGGTGTGTATCTCCTACCATATCATTATTATTTGCTTTTAAATATTAATCAGAAATAACCAACTTAAAATGGAAAATTTTAAAAGAAAAAAAAAAAAAGGAAAAAAAGAAAAAAAAAGAAAAAAAAAAATCCCCCCCCCCAAATTTTTTGAACCCCCTTATGATTCATCACCCCCAAACTCAATCCCAGCCTTCCCTTTGTGGTATGGTACCTTGCAGTACAATTTCAGAGAGATCACTACACTTGAACACAAGTTATTGTCTGGAAACTAGAAAAATGCTTATTTTTGGCCCCTTTTTGGCCCCCAATTCCTAAACGTTTCGGGCAATTACCCCCAAACTCAATTCCAGCTTTCCCTTTGTGATATGGAACCTTGTAGTACAATTTCAGAAATATCCAAACACTTACACACAAGTTATTGTCATGAAACTAGAAAAATGCTTGTTTTTTTCCCCTTTTTTGGCCCCTAATTCCTAAAATTTTGAGGCAATTACCCCCATAATCAATTACAGCCTTCCCTTTGTGATAAGGAACCTTGTGGTACAATGTCAGAGAGATCCATACACTTACACACAAGTTATTGTCTGGAAGTTACAAAAATGCTTATTTTTGGCCCCTTTTTGGCCCCTAATTCCTTAACTGTTAGTACCATAACCCCCAAAATCAATCCCAACCTTCCTTTCGTGGTATTGAACCTTATGGTAAAATTTCATGGAGATCCATTCACTTAAACTAAAGTTAGAGTGCGAAAACCAATGTGTCTTCGGACGACGCCAGACGACGACGACGACGACGACGACGCCAACTTCATACCAATATACGACCAAAAAATTTTTAATTTTTGCGGTCGTATAAAAATCAGTTGAAAAAGGCTTGAATATGCATGATATGAACGTGTATCACCTTAAGACGATGTGACGCATATCACCCTGACCTTCGTGTGAGCTTGACCTTGGACCTCAAGATCAAAATCGTGACTGGATTTCTAAGAAACTTGATTGCGATCAGGCGCTCAGGCCCGATGAGTGGGGATTCTCTTGATCCAGTAACAATTACAAAATTCAGGTTGTTTTAATCTTCAATATGAAATGTTAGAAATGTCAAATAGTTTTAGTTTTTGTGGTCTTCGGCTGTTTTCTGCTTTTTGGTCGGGTTGTTGTCGTCTTTGACACATTCCCCATTTCTATTCTCAATTTTAATTTTAGTAGTTGCAAATACTTGCTAACAAAAAATAAAAGATAGTTATTTCAATAGAAACAGCTAATTATGTTCTCGATGTTTTACTAACAAACGGTAAAGAATTATGACGAAAACACGCACCGAACGTACAGAAAAAACAATCGACGAACGGTACAAAACGCACAAACGTTGTGCACGATGTTTCTACAACACGACGTTACACCAAAAATGGGACTTCAAAGAGTGTTTTCTGAAATTCTGACGTCGATTAATTAAATTTGTTAGTTTCATTCGTTTTTTTTTAATATGTTATGGGTTGATTCTGTCTCTGTTATTTTTGAGATGTATTTTTACCATGAATTACCTCAAGTTGTAGAAATCGATTAACAATGTTTACCCTTAATTCCCCTTAAAATGCTGTATTGTCGTAAATAATGTAGGAAGGCAAAATGGGACGGAATTATTAAATATACAGTTTTCCATAAATAAATTAAAACATAATTTTAGAAGCACAAAACTTTAATCACAGGCTGCTAAAATTTTATGGTGCATATCATTGTAAATTTTCCATACCTTGATTCAACCCCAATACAAATATATCCGACACTCTGCAAGTAAATCATTTTTTTTTACCCTTGATTAATTTGAAATGAATTGTACTTTCCTTGACACAAAATTTGTCGAAATACAGCCCTTCAATTATTTGAACCCCAGCTTCAAAATTATTTCCCCAGTCATCTATAGTTTCTTGCTTAAGTTTTCTAACGTCTGATGTACTTTTTAAATTTTAGAAATCTTCTCCTGGATCGTCCGTAAAAACGGGGAATACAATCCCGGGTTGTATTATTTCAATGAAACTGTTTTCGTCAATGTTTGCAATTAGTCTTTCAGTTACCTCCGTTTCATGCACAAATTTATTTTGACGAAAAGGTCCGGCTTCGCTAGTACATGAATTAGTTTCAGTACGACAGTTATAACATGAGTAGCAGGACAAGTCGCGAACGAAAACTTTTCGAGTACTTGTACTTTTAATTTGGTGAATGTACCTTACTGAAGGGGCGACTTTAAATGATCTATATCTATTTCAGGGTACTTCCGCAACATAACGAAAAATTCACCTTTAACATAAAGAGGACTGTCTTGGTGTCTCCAAATTGTCTTTGCAAAAGTTGTACATATCATTCGCATTCTGAATCAAACATTTGCCTCTAGCAACAATAAATCACTAAAAGCTAAAAATGGTTATAAAATATCAAAATTTAATCTGTGTCGAATCTATGTTCCGAGTTTGTCAATATGCGCTATTCTTTTTTCGACAGCCTTTTTCCAAATTTCACCACACAATTTGTTTTTATTATCAGGAACATTTAATTGAAACAAATTTAGCACATGCAACGTCGGAAATAAGCGTTTTCGGATTTTTCGACGTTTTCACCCGTTTGGACAAAATGTCTACCGTTTTGTAATGTTTCGTAGCATTTTATTCCTTTCAGACCCAAGCATGTAGTTAATATAAAACAAATCTAGGCATTGTGTACTCTTCGTGTATCTAACTTTTGTTTTTATAAATTAAAAATAACTTATTGAAATATCAGGTAAAAAACCCGCATTAATTGCTTTGACAAATGAAATATCAACTTTGACAAAATGACTACCGCTTGAAAAACGACTGTAAAGAGAAGATTTTATAGAATCTACAATATTTGAACTCACGAACAACGAGGCAAATATTTGTACTATTGGTAGATGTTATTATTATCTTACCATTTTTAGACATTTTCTGCTATATCTACTTATGAAATACACTTTCAGTCGTTGAGTCAACGAAAAACGTCGTTGGACATTTTTCTTATTCCAGCTTAATATGCAGCCGCCGAGTCAAATGAAATTTGACAAAATAATGACCTAATTGTCACAAAGAACCGACACATGTCGTTGTTCTCGCCAAGTTTCATGAAGATCAGAGAATAAGAAATAGGATCACTATACACATAGATATAATACCCATATCTATGGCTATTATATCTATGCTATACATAAGAGTTAAAACAGTTGTTCAAAAATGTAACGTTGGACATCCGTTTTTTCACATATAGCTTTGTTGTTTTAATCCTCAAATATACTAGATATTACTAAACATATGACCAAGAGCTATAAGAACATTATTGAAAACATATACTGACTTTGTTTTTATAGTGGTTAGTGTTTGCTAACATTTTTTTTTTTGTTTTGCGGAGGAAATGTCGAAGATTCTTTTTTAAATCCTATGGGTTGTAGGAACAGCGTGCGTAACGTTACAACGTCCGGAATCAACCATACGTTGGTTATATTCAAGTAAGCATCTACAACAAGTTTGCATTTCAAATAGTAAATATCATCAATATTAAAGTCATTAAAAGACTATTTTCAGTTGTTGCATGTCGAATTATCATATAAAACAACAATGAAAATTTATCGCACCTCTAAAAATTCCACATCAGAAATGATCGCACTTACAGTGATATATCACCGCATTTATAGTTAAAATGAATCGCATTCAGTAATCAATATTATGGATTCCGCTGCTTTACTTACACTTTTTTGGACTTTAATCCTGTTATTATACATTAAAAAGTTATATTCTAATGAAATTGTGTTAAAACATACACTCAAATCAATTATTTTGTGTTTTCAAAAAGTAAACAAACGCAGTTTTTCCCTTCATCCTTTATTCTACAATAGTAATACTCTTCTGACGGAATGATGTATATGTTAGCGGCAATAAGTGAAATAAGGCATTAAGCTTAAATCCTAGGCAATAAGCTAACGCATAGGCATTAAGCTTATTGCCTGAAATTTCCAGGCATTAAGCTTATTTCCTGAAATTTGATGATGATTATTCAACCTATTGCCAAACCTCATTTCAGGCAATAAGTTAATTTTAGGATTTTTGTTTATCTCCCAAATACATGTTATTCGGTGAAATATTCTTGATGAATAACATTTAAAAAATTATATTCCAAAATTAATATAAACTGATTTTAAAGATCTACAATTTTTTCGCATTCAAAACAGAACTTACTCGTATTTCTTTGTGTTATGCTCTTTAATGGTCGAGCCGGTTTGAGCTGGTCAAAAATAGACAACTTAAGATATGAAATTTTGCAAGTCACATCATCTTTTCATCTGTTTTATTGCATTATGTAAATTTACTTGTAAACCAATCTTGTCTTTTCACTTCTTAATCTGGATTATTAGCATTTAAGCAACAACAAATTTCTTGAATCTTTGCGGAATATAAATTTGAATCAGGGAAAACAAAGGTCATATACCCAAGGCAAAAGTACAATGATTATTTGGCAAAGATTAAACTTTCAAAATTAGAAAAAAGGCAACTATAGACTATAAAAATTTAAAATGGTATGACAATGTTTTACCATTGGAGGTTTGAAAGACTGGTAACTAAAGTAAAAGAGAATGATGAGGGAAATTTCAAAGTTTATTTTATTCTAGAGGAACTGTATGGTATTTTGGGAAAAACATAAAAAGAAATATCTCAAAGCAGCCTATTATTATTATAGACCGTAGAATTAAACAACCTATTATGGCTTTGCAAACATTTTCCATGATTCCATGATTCCATTGTAATATTTCTTCCATTTTTTTTAAATTGTAGCATGATAAAATGTGCATAGTAGTTAAACACGTTTTATCCAAAGAGTTTTGCAGAAGAGGACCAGTTGATTTAATCGATTTCCAATCAAAGATGGAAACTATGTTTTCTTATGGTGTACCAAAGATCACCTAAACAATAATTATATTACTAGAGCTCTTACGTCAAAAAATGCTTCAAAGGTGAACTTCTAACTTAGTTGGTGTTTTCACAATATTTGGTGTGCAACATAAACAACAAAGTGACAAAGGTCGTGGATTTAAAGCTAAGGTTATTTCTAAATTAATGCAAATGTGGCCAGAACTAGTTACTGTTCACGGGAAGCCAATACATCTCCAATCACAGGGTTGAATTGAGGGGTCAAACGGAATATTCATGACATGCTTGCTGCATGGATGAGGAACAACGAATTAACAGTGGTCATATGGAATCAAATTTGTCTATATACAAACGATATACGGCTCAACACAAAGGTACTGGACGATAACCAGGTTCAAATGCTAGAAAAAAGGGAAAACTGTGAAATAGTCTGCGCCATAACTCCGCACCAATTTGTAACAAATAAATTTCAATACAATTTTCTATCAATATATAAATAAGTAGTTGAAGTACGATTGCCATTGAAACAACTATCCAACAAGTTTTACGTATTTTTAAGAGGTTTATTCAATGAGTTTCAACATCCATATTTTACTTATAATTTTATTTCATGTAATTGACATTCAAACTTCAGTTCTTATTATTCTATTATGTACAAAAGATATTTTAACTTTTTATTTACTCTCATTTTCATTTTAGGCATTAACATTAATGCCTGGACATAATTTTCAGGATTTAAGTGAAATTCCTAACATTATTTAGGCAATAGACTTACTGCCTAGGCGTTAGTTTATTGCCTAGGATTTAAACTTAATGTATTGCCGCTAACACATATATAAATAGACAACATTACACTAAATATTTCAGAAGTATTTCAAAATATGATTAAAAATATTCAGGATATAAAATTCATAATATTTGATTATTTTGGGTCGTTTTTTAACATATTACACTCGTTATTACCAGACATAAAAGAGGATAACAAAGCACTTTACTGGGAATTTACTTTAGAATTTTTTTTATACTGCATATTTTATTGAATTTCATATCAAATTCAATTTTACAAAGCTATTCATAACACTTCAAAAATTATTCTGAATGGCCAGCTTGGAGAGGACATTTGGAAAAGGAAATATTTTTGATTATCTTTTATTTGTTTTTCAGTAGTCAGGATTTTACATACCCCCATACACTATCACCTGACAAGGGTATCAAGGGGTTAAATATAGAAAATAATGCAGTATGCAATATGTATCCCTGACTAATTGATTTTTACAATAAAAGTATTTAAGGTTACATATAAATTGTATTTGATTAATATCTCTCTGTGTTTCTCTCATACATTACTAATACATGTACTTTTCACTCATCTGTTTTGCTACACTATGTATCATACTGACTTTTTAAAACAATTATATTAAAGACAGACATAACTTTAAGTAAATACTAAGCTGACTGTCATACGCCACATTTTTAAACATGAAATAAAATTTCACTTAAAATAATGAGATTTTACAAGAAACCAGAGGGACATCAGAAGACAATAATACTGAATTTTTTCAGTGCGTTTGTGTACAATGTATATGTACACAGAAAATAGAATTATTGGGAACTATATTTGAGAGTTTATCGATGAAGTAGCTATCCTGGGAACATCCTGTTTGGTGAAGTCGGATCATTAGGAAAGAATTAGAATAGTTCCAATCTTTTGAAAAGAACACAACTTTACAAAGCACTAAATGCATACAGTTGCAGAAATCATAAGCAAGTTTTTTTTTTTTTTTGGGGGGGGGGGGAATTAATACGTATCAATCATGTCAATTGTCAGCAGGACAAATTCCTGTGAATTACAACTTAATTTATTAAGATTTGATATAATATTAATATTTAATTTTTTTTTTTGCTTAGGGGTCAGCTGAAGCCCGCCTCCGGGTGCAGGATTTTCTCGCTGTGTTGAAGACCCATTGGTGGACTTCGGCTGTTTTCTGCTTTGGTCGGGTTGTTGTCTTTTTGACACATTCCCCATTTCCATTCTCAATTTTATTATCCTGGGAACAGGATATCTGACAATATATATGTTCCTGAAAAATATGTTTTCAAATCATATTGTCAGTTTTAAATTTTTTATTGTATATTTTATCAAATAAGAATACGTTCAAAAAGGTTTATCTTTTGAAGTTCCTGTATAAAATCAAGGTCTAGTAGATAAAGGGACTTGAAACTATAATTATTTTAAAAATTTGCTTGTAATTTGCTTTGGAACATTTCCATGTTCAAATACTGACAAACAATTTTCTTATTCCACTAATGGTTGCTTATTCATTTCGATAAAAAAATAATTTTATATGAAATTGAAGATGAATGGTTGTAAGGTGGCATAGTGTATGTCCTCTAATCTTTTTATAAAATTGTATTTATTATTTTGTTGTGTGAGGATCGACCTTTTTCCCTTTTTGATGCATTTTTTAATATTTCAATTTTGTAACACGGTATTTATATTTTGGACTCTCCTGAGTATTTTCCCTTGATTTGTATTTTCTTAATTGATTTATGAGATTTGAACATTAGGAAAAACATTGTTGCCTCTAATCCATATTTTTAGTAGTTCTTTTTTAATTTCCTTTTACTTAAAATTTGTAATTAAAGATTTTGATGCGGATGGAACGAAGAATTTTCAAAGAAGTAAAGTGTTCTTTTTAACTTTTTTTTTATTTCAGTATTGTACAAATGTTTGTCCTGTATTCAAATATACAAATACCTTAAAATTATAATATAATCAGAGAAGACATGCATACATTGTATGGGGCCTTATAGATAGAGGTATTTACACATACTTATTATATGTTTTTTGTTTTTGGTTTGAGAGTTCCTGATATAGGTATATAATGGAAAGCACTTCAGATGTACCATTTTCAAAAAGTTTTAGAGTTATGCATTTTTGCCTATTGTTTCAAGCAAGGATGCATATGACAATAACAAATGATTTATACAAGTCTGTATAGAAGCCAATTTAAAATTCATATTTCGTTTACAATCAAAATTCGCTGTTTACGTATACCCAGGGAAACCACGAAAATTTGTATATCGCGATAATAAGGAATCCACAATACATTGTAATGAAGAATAAACGAATTAATAATTTTATAAGACTAATGTGAAGTCTTCCATGCTTTGAGCAGTTTACCATTAACTTAAAATAAAAACCAACCAGATTCTGTGCTATAAATTACATACATAAATAACAATATGACAGAGATAACTTAGCTGTTTTCTCACCATCAGATATAGGCTACAAAAAGCCTGTATTCATCACCTATTACCTTTACATAATTTTAGCATAGCCACTCTTGATGTTTCGACACCCAATTGTTTAAATCTCATTTAGGGGGTGGGGGATGGGTTGTAATAGATAGCCACATCCATTGTCTGAATATGTAACGTACAAGATAGGACTTGATATAATAATGTGCATTAATTTATTAAGAACCCCATTGGAATAGAGGAGAAAAATAATTCAATCTATTACTAATGAAATAAGTTATTTCTAAGTTTAGTGCAATCAACTCCTATACAGTTTTGTTTTCTTTCATAAATAAATCAATAAAATTGTGTTCGACTTTTAGCCCAATGGTATCTTCCTCTTCTTTTTTAACCAGATTAATATCTAAATGTAAATATATGCTTTGAGTTCGGTATTTAAGTGAACAGATGGGAGTAAATATTTGTCAAATGAAATAGTTTTAAATGGTTAGCAGGAGCAATATTTGATTATAGCCACATTTGTTTACATATATCACAGTAGTATCAGGGAAGATGCTTTTTGAATAATTTCCAAGTGATTGACAAGGCAGATGGATGTACAACAGACACCGAGTAGTGTCAATAAATGGTATTTGCCTTCAATGCTATCATGCCATGATTTGGAAAAAAGCACAGGGTAATGTTATTAGTTATGTTTTCCATTTTTCTTTCTCTTTCTTTTGCTCTTCTCATCTCTTCTAATAAATGGCTCTTCAACAACTGGCACCACGTCATCTTCAACATCCTCATCATAATCATCATGGTCATTAGTCTTAGAAAGCTTACCTTGCTTAGCTGATACCTAAAATAGGAGAGAAAAAAAAACGAAAAATTAAGACCCAGGAGAAAACTATCAATTGTGAGTAACAAATAATCATTCATTCATCGAGTATATAGAATCAGAAATGAGTTCTGTAAAAATAACTCGAACAAAGGAGTTGTTCAGTGTTTTACAGAACTCAAAAACTAAAATTAAAGAAGAATGTGTCAATGGTACACAGCTGCCCCTGTTTGTAAATATACAAGAGTCAATGTACTGATTCAAACCTTTTGACGTATTGTTTTCTGTGAAGTGTGATTACATTTGGTTATGTATGCTGTTATTAGAGATTGCTTGGAGGTTTGAGTGCTCTTTGTTCAATAACAAACAGTAATGAGGTTATTTTAGAATGGTGAAAGTTACGCAACCCAAACAAGAACTTGATCTGTGTTTGGTGGTAATAAGCAATACGAGTTTTGCTTTTTGCTCTATGTTGGAAGGCCTCACTCTGACATTGAGATGAAGAACAGCAATAAAAGCGCTGTTTTTTTGCTTTAGTGATTTTTGCTGTGCATGTGCTGATTTGGGTCTTGGATCAATACCCCATATCCTTTGTTTTTCTATTGTATATAAGGTTAAAAAATTTGGTTGAGGCAAAGTAAAGTTATAGTGCGGAAACGGCAAATTCGCCAAATATTTTCTTTTACAAAGGGACATAACTCAACAACGGTGAAAGAGACGCCTCTCAAATTCGAAATTAATCTGTGTTTGGTGGTAATTAGCATAGTTTATAAGTTTTATAACATTTTGTTATGGCAAACTTAAGTTGGAGAACGGAACCCAATTTTCGGCTATGTTGACTTATTTGTAGATCTTATTTTGCTGAATATTAGTAATATTCATTATTTCTCTCTATCTATTATGGTTTATTCAAAAGTAAGTAAAATCTTTTCTCAAGGGCAATAGCTCCTATAAGGGTTCAATTGACGACCGGACATGTAGATTTATATTTTATATATTTTTTTTGGAACTTTTTACTTTTTACATTTTTCTTTCTCATTTATAGTTTCTACAAAAATGGGTAAACAAGTCTTTCAAGGGAAATAACTCAGATAAGAGATCAACTGACGATTGCTGTTAACCTTTCTGTCCATCTCTTGTACATGTACAAATCATTGACTGTACCTTTAGACCTAGTATTACCAGTCGGGTTTGAATCCCCAAAGTTCTAGTAAATTTATGATGTAAAATATTATTCAAGTTACATTTTTTGATCATATAGCTCTTCAACTGTTTCGGTTCTTATACATCCTGTACTTTCAAATATTCGGCTTTGAGCATTGATGAAGGTAAATTCAGAAAAGCGCTTCATACGCATGGAATTTATAACTTGTTTTTTAATTTTTTTTTTAACATCATTCCAATACATCACATTATATTTTACACACTAAAATTGAGAATGGAAATGGGGCATATGTCAAAGAGACAACAACCCGACCAAAGAGCAGACAACAGCCGAAGGCCACCAATGGGTCTTCAACGCAGCGAGAAAATCCCGCACCCGGAGGTGGTCCTCAGCTGGCCCCTAAACAAAATTGTGCACTAGTTCAGTGAAAATGGACGTCAGTCTTAAATCCAAAACATATAAATGAACTAAAATTAAAAAACATACAAGACTAACAAAGGCCAGAGGCTCCTGACTTGGGACAGCCACAAAAATGCGGCGGGGTTAAACATGTTTTGTGAGATCTCAACCCTCCCCCTATACCTCTAGCCAATGTAGAATAAAGAAACACATAGCAATACGCACAGTAAAAATTCAGTTCAAAAGAAGTCCGAGTCCGATGTCAGAATAGGTAACAAAAGAAACTAAGCAAAATGACAATGATACATAAATGAACATAGGACTACTAGCAGTTACTGACATGCCAGCTCCAGACCTCAATTAAATTGATTGAAAGATTATGTTTCATCATATGAAAATCAAGTACAATCCCTCCCGTTAGGGGTTTAGTATCATACCATCATAAAATATATGAGAAGAACATAATCCGTATCATGCCAACAACTAGTTTTAGAATAAATGTGTTTATTTCTGATGCAAAGACCCTATGAGTGAATCAATATTAATACCAACATATGCAATCCTTAATGACTTGACAACAGTATCGTAACTATATCCTTTCCGAATAAGTCTGTTTAAAGGTTTGGTTAGCTTTTGAGGTGAATGCCGACATTTTTGTGCTTTGTAAAGAATATTACCATAAAATATTGGATGTGATATACCTGAACGTATAAGATGTCTGCATGTCGATTTATATTTACGAATGATGTCCTTGTACCGATGATAAAATTTAGTAAATGTTTTGACTAGTTTGTGATATCGAAAACCCTGGTGTAATAATTTTTCAGTAATACAGAGATTTCTTTCGTTAAAATCAAATACGTTGTTACATACACGAGCGAATCGAACAATTTGAGATATATAAATACCATAAGATGGAGACAAGGGAACGTCACCATCTAAAAATGGATAATTAACAATAGGAAATGAAAAATCATCTCTTTTATCATAAATTTTGGTATTAAGCTTCCCGTTAAAGATAAAGATATCAAGACCCAGGAAAGGGCAGTGTTCATTGCTAGTATTAGCTTTATTTAAAGTCAGTTTGGCAGGATAAATCTCTTTAGTGTACATACTGAAGTCGTCATTATTGAGAGCCAATATATCATCTAAATATCTAAAAGTGTTATTAAATTTTTGAATCATATGTTGTTTCGATGGGTCTTTGCTGATTTTAGTCATAAATTGTAACTCATAACAATACAGAAACAGGTCCGCAATAAGTGGTGCACAGTTAGTCTCCATGGGAATTCCAATAACCTGACGATATACGGAATCTCCATAGCGAACAAAAATGTTATCTAGTAAAAATTCAAGGGCAGTTATAGTATCAAAGCAGGTCCAATTGACATAGTTCTTTTGTTTGTTGTTACTAAAAAATTCCATAAAAAAGTTTGAACATATATATTCGCATTCCAACTTTTTAAATGCCCATTTAATAAGGTGTGTGAATTTTTTCTTAATAAGATTATGAGGCAACGTGGTATATAGGGTAGAAAAATCAAAACTTTGAACAGATTCGAAATCACCAATATAAGCATGCAATTTATCAAGTACTTCCAACGAATTTTTGACACTCCAAAAGTAATTAATTCCACTATTTTCAAAGGCCTTATTTGAACAATTTATTACCAGGTTTTTGATTGTACCAAGTGTACTAGTAAGTAGAATAGATAGTTTAGTAGTGGAACAATGGCTTAAAGACGAAATAAATCATATTTGTAAGGAGTTTTGTGCAGTTTCGGAATCCAGTACATAGTGGAAACTTTCATTGTATTTGGTTCTGCTAGTAAAGAGGTAGCTAAAGTTTATGTTTGTTACAGATGTCATTTCCCGAAAATGGAGTCAGTTGGAATGTTGGTGAATTCGTGATTTCCTTTTGTAGAACATCAATGTAAAATTTACGTCAAACAATAATGATATTGTTAGCAACCTTATCAGCCGGGACAAAAATATATTCCTTGGCGAGTTCTTTTAGCTTATGTTTGATACGGGAAATTGGGCTATTATGGTTGTTGTTAGGAGTAAAATGATCTTCAAAATGTTGAATACGTATATCAACTATTTTCATTACCGAATTAAAAAAAGAATCTAATTATTTCTTGTCAGCTTTTTCTCGTTTTATCCATTTAGAGCAGTAAGTACGGAGTGAGTCGTGGATGATGTTACGACACTCATTCCAATTAATAATTGACGGGGGACGATATTTAGGTCCTTTACTGAGGAATGATTTCAACTCTTGGTCACAAGTATACAGGACCCAAAAGATAAGGCAACTTAATATAAAGATTCCATGGAAGGATTTATTCCTTGGCATAAAGGATTCAATTATACATTGAATTAGCTCAGTTACGGTAGTCAGTGCTTCGTTTATTGTATGATTTGTAACATACCTTTCTTAAATTAGCCATTTATAAATTTAGAAATATTTAAGAAACTGAGGTTCCAACTCTCTCAGGCAAAGTTGACCTTAGATGGACTTGGCTATTAATTTTTTTTCATTAAGCTTTTTTACAGATTACAGTACTTATAAAAGCTTGGTATTCAAATATTTGGCCTTGAGTGTTTCAGATGAATGTAAATCCAGAAATGCATCGGACGCATACAATTTATAAAGTGTTATTTTCATTTCTTTATTATTCAAAGTTTGTACATTTAATTATATGTTTTTTCCCTCATTGTTGAAGGCAGTACGGTTGCATATAATTGATTAAATTCGCTTCATTTGAACTTTGGTGGATAGTTGTCTCATTGGCAATCATACTTGATCTCTTTACTCTTATATTTATAAAACAAATCTATGTGGAAATGTAAAACTTATTGTAAATAGTTGTTTGTGATTGATTAAAGCAATACATTTGATTGTTACAATACCTTTGATTGTTTACTGTAAATTTCAGATACCCATTGAGATATCTCTTTCATGCTACCAATGATTTCTTTGGATTTTTGAAGCACTGTAGTGTTACCCCAATCCTTCGTCTCCATTATTTTCCTTATGATATTCTCTAACTCCTCGTGAGAAAAAAGTAAATTTGTCACTTTTAACGTAAAATCTTTATACCAGGTTTTTGCTGCTGTTGAACGTAATTCATATTTTTCAATAAACATATTTACGACATGAAGATCTTCTTTTATTTCTATGACATACTGTTCTTTGAAAAAACTAAATTGTTTTTGTTTCTGGCAGTGAGAATAAAGTGTCATGTGACTCTGTTTTTGTGAGAGTTCAGTGACTTCTTTTAAAGCATTTGCATCAAAAATCTCTGACTGATGACCATCCATGCCTTTAATTAAATGGAGAGACCCTGCCTCTAGAGGAGAAGTTGGTTGTCTGGAGGAATTATCAATATATTTGCGTGTGACCTCGGCATAACTTGCATGTTTAGAGGACTCTTTTTGTACATCTTGAAAAACTTCCCCACATATTCCACACATTTTATCATCTACTACAATATCTGCAAAAATTCCCATTTCATCTTTCAATTGTTCCTTCCTCTGATATTTTTCACAAAGATCGCTCAAGATTTTGCATTTTCTAATGAGCAAAAAAATTCGAAAACATTTTGCAATAACGACAGCAGCTTTGTTTCTTTTGTTTTCATCTTCTAACTGTATTCTAACTGCCTCTACGTCTGTACTTTGCTCTTCTACCATATGAATGTCCTCTTCCACAACTGTTTTCTGTTGAGCTAGAACTATTTGAGGATTATCTACTACAAGTTTAGTTTCAGGTGAACTAAAAGTGGAACTAAACATGGTAAATTCCTGCAGTGGTTCTGAGACTATCCCATATCTTCTGTTCTGATTTTGATCCCATCGACATAATAGAAGATCGTCATCTCGTTCATGAATAAGGATTTTTAGGCAATGAACAATATCTAAAACACTACTTGAACATTTAATCTTTTCTAATGCTCTTAAAAGCCTTTTAGGACTATGTAAAGGCAGTTCAATTCTGCAGAGTTCTCTGATAACGTAGGTTTCTGATTTTGAGTAAACTGTCATTCCCATATTGGCTAACAATATCAAACTTAAAACAAGGACTCTTTCAGCAATACCTATAGCATTAATAGCATTTGCAGTATACTGGACACCAATGATTTCTTCTTCCTTCTGATCATCACCAGTCTGTACTTCCTTCATTGCTTCTGAAAGGTTTTGGAAGACCTTTCTGATTACATTCAACCTGTTATCGGTGCCTGCTAACATTCCAACAAACCTTTCTATTCTGTTTCGAATTTTATCTGGTTCTGGTGCATACTTTTGACGTGTTATTGATTCGAATGTTGTAATCCCATTTTCTTTCATGTAACTTGAATCAATAAAATAGACTAATGTTATGTATGATGACGGTACAACAAACCATGAATCAGGATTTAAAGAGAATTTACTTTCCATACATAACGAAGTCGTTGTGAAAAATTCTGTCCACGTAAGTAAAAGGGTAAGATCTGGAAGGATAAGTTCAGAGTTTGAATGTCTTACTTGTTGTATGAATTTTGCAAACAAAATCAAAGCCTCCCTGGAATTATTGCGTGAGGAAAACATTTCTCTATAAGCATGCAAGAATTGACTAACAATGCAGTATACTGTTCCTCCGTCATTTATTAAGAATCCTATATCATTCACACTTGAAACCTGCAGTCCCCTCTCATTTAATTCTTCTTGTACATCTTTTTGAAAATTGAAGACTAATGTTGATATGAGAATAGGAAGTTTCATAAGCTTCAACAGAAATCCCATTTCCATAAACAACTCTGTATTTCTTTCTCTCTTTAGATTTTTCTTTTCTTTCATGAACTCATATTCATGGTCAAAGTATCTCTTCATACACATCTGAACATTTGAATATTCGGTTAAAGTTGTTTGCAAATCCATAGCTTGGTTAATTGTGTCAGAGATACCTGAGCCGTGTCTAAAATGTTGAAATAAGTCCCCTACCAACAATTTACATGAACAATATTTGTTATTGATAAATTCACCAAAAAGGCTTTTTATTTCACTTCGTATATTTTTTTTTAACAAATTTGCAATCCCTTCATCAACATAATACTCCATTTCCATAAACAATTGATCAAGTTCTATCAATTCCCTGAATTCATTCACGGTAATCTTCTTATGCAAACCATCACAGCAGTCACTTTCCGTGTTCTTTCTCAACCCTGCCGTGTACAAAGGACACTGCGCGAACTTTCTGTGCTGTTTATAAATTTCCCCTTCTATTATCTTAAACCATTCTTTGGCTCGCCTTATCAAATGTTCAGCAATTACAAGTGTAGCATCTTGGGTTTTGATTTCTGCTTTGGCAGTCCTCAGATCGTTTTCTGAAACATATCTTCCTATAACTAGTTTCAATATTCTTGGCTTATGCTGTGGGTTGAGTACTAAGTTTGTGCCTGAAATTGTTTCTAATCCATAAAACATGAAAATCTGTTTCAAATATTCCTTGTCTAATAATGTTTCAGCAGTAAGGATAATTCTCAACACTTCAAATAAATCTGGCATTGCATTGATGACCCTATATAGATTTTCTCGGTTAGATAAATCTGAATGATTAACCATCCAGTTTGAACATTCTAATTGTCCAGCTTTATATTGCTTCCGCTGCTTGAATGTAAAGTTTGCAAATGCAGTTGTAATTCGCTTAGTATCATCTGTTAACTGTCCTAATAAGAGTTCTGCCTCTCCGGCTCCATGCTTGGGGTTATCAAACTTGTAACATGTACTTCCGGTGAGATTATGATACAGGTCAATAGCCGATTGTAAATCTTGTTTTACTTGATCAAGTTTTTCAGAGGTTCCACTTCCATCCGTATTGATAGTACATTCTACAGTGGCAATCGTGATTTGACAGTAGCCAACAAAATCTTTCTCTTCAATGTCTCTGAAAAGGAATAATGCTTTCCTGATTTGTCCTTGTTTTAAGTATAATTCAGCGGCTTCTTTTATACAACCTGAAAAGAAAAAGAAAAAGAAAAACAAGCATAGTGGATATTGTAGACATTGCATAGCAGTACCTTCATCTGTGTTGTACAAAATGACGGAAAGACGGAAACCAAGTGATGAGAAAAGTTCACTTTGATCTTTGAGCTGAAAAAAGGGAGACACCAAGAATAACCATTTCTTTGACTGATATCACCCACAAAAAATCCTTTGAATACAGGTTAAACGATGTTTTACATATTTTTGATATTTAAATCAAATCAAACAGACCTCGAAAAATCGTCATTATACTATTGCACTTAGATGTCTGTTTATTTATTTAAATGTTTGTTTCGGGTTATACGACCGTTGGTAGTCGATGGATAATTCAATGGCGTCTAAAATGTGTACCAAATGATGATACATTATATTGAGTCAATCCACTGTTAATTGTTTTTTCTAATTTGTTTGGATATGCAGCTTAGTATGCTATAAATCAAATATGCGAATTAGAGTCAAGTCAGTGAACAAAAATTTAACAGCTAGTTCCCATTTAAAGTTTCTCTTCTCAATTATATTTTCAGGATAATTTCTAAAAACACTTAAGCTATCAAACCATTAATTCATGGCACCATATATTGTATATTTTTTTAAGATCTTCTATTGATGATCATGTTTTATGTGTACGATTTCTTTCTTTTTATAAATGTTTATACCACTAAACATTTTCTAAGAATCTATGTTTAAAGACAAGAATTAAGATAAGGAGTTAATCGATAAATTTAATGAAATTGATGATTTGTAAGTAAGAGGTTACTGATTATTTTTGCATGTAACAGTTTCTGTTTTAAAACAAGACAAGATAAGACAAAAGACAGAAATGCCAACATTTAAGCAAAATAACTCCTATAATGAGACAATAGATAGGTTACCTAGTCAAATAGGTATGCTTATAGATAATGTAATCAGATCATTTTTACATTTTTGCTTATAAATTCTATCTATTAAGAAAAGCTTTCACTATAATAAGATTACATGCAAAAATTTAAGGCCAATAACTCCTTAAACAAACCACTTGATGTTTTAAGTTAAATTAAAACATTTTTAGATTTTAACTTTCTGGACATTTTTTCCCTGTCATATTGTCTATACCAACATCAGATTTTCAAAATATTAGACAGCTGTTAGACCCTTATGTTCAGCCATGGTGACACTGTTAGTTGAAGGAATGAAATGACTTTAATTATCTAAACTGTCAAAGAGAAACTTCTGTAATGTTTTATTTCAATTAGATCAGCAGTTGCAGAGGAATAAAATATTTGCAGAAGCTAGTGGATGAAATACAATGAAAACCAAATGATATTAAATACTGATACTGGATCATGGCTAAACTGAAAATAGGCGTTAACGATTTTATGGCCAGAAAAGTATAGCAAATATCTGGCAGAACACTCAAAACATAGATCTTATCAACCAGTTTAAAAAATTAATTTGTATCAAGATAACAGTATATCTAAGAATTGAAAGTATTTTTCTGTAATTTTCTTGTGGTTTAAGAGCGTTGACCGAATCAAATTTTGTATCTAGCGCTTCATATTAAGAATGTGTGCACGTTCAATGCCTTTACACCACTATAGAATTACAAAAATAAACTTCAATTCTACAATTTTCAACTACATTTTTATATTACAACCATAAAATTACAATTTAAATCGAGTCTTTCGTTTGTTTTTCTATCCATTGTTTTATCATTGCCATGGATAGCATGTACAGTCATTAATGTTGAATTTTATACGGAAATAAAATATAACTTTCGGACTGCCTCGGCCAATCAAAATTACGGAATCGTATAAAACTTACATGCAATGAAATTATTGTAAGATAAAATATTAGTAAATTTTTCGAATTTTGTGCAGTTATGACAAGGTAACTCTCACATATTCTTTTTACCATTATGCATTAAAATCTCTGCAGCATGTGACATGTAATTATTCTTTGTAGTGTGAAGGTTCATCAGGAAATTTATTCTGTGGTCAATATTTGGTAATCTGTTTAAAGATGCCAACATTCTGCCAATATTGTTTGTTGAATGATACATGTCTGCTGCTGCAAAGGCAAGCTGTTCTTCTGTGTGTTTTTTTACTGGTGCATGATCAATGAGATGTTGAGGAACAGACTTGCCTGTCTCTTCAAATTCCTAAAAAGAGAAAAATAAACGTGTTGATTAGAGATAATCAATATTGTTAACACAATTAACTTAAATGAGCAATTCATTTTACATAATGTCGACCAAATTTGTCTTCGAAATATAGTAATAAAAATTCAATATTGAAGTAAATCTTAATTGAAAAAAAATTAAATTAAGTGAAATATGATATATGCAATATTTTGATTTGAAGGTTTTTTAATCTTAGATTTATAATGATAATAAGTAACAACATTGACTAGTTGCTACCTGTTAAATTATTCCTTCATTTAGGTAGTAGTGGATTTCAACAACAATAATAATAGCTTTTTATATTGGAACAGGATCTGCTTACCCTTGTAGAGCACCTGAGACCACCCCCGGTTTTTGTGGGGGTTCGTGTTGCTCAGTCTTTAGTTTTCTATGTTGTGTTTTGTATACCGTTATTTGACTTTGGTCGTTTTTCTTTTTGTTCCATGGTATTGTCATTTTTCGACTTATGTGTTTGATTATCCCTTTGGAATATTTCGTCTCTGTTTTATACCAAAAGAAAATGTTAATGTCAATCTGTTTTCGAAAGTATTTGGATATGACCTCGTTTTGGTTTGAGTATTTTTGTAAACCAAACACACAAGACCAGTCTGCAATAAAGTAGATATATACTTTCATATATAATAATTTTTTTGTTTGCAAGATAGTTCACATATAAAAAGTAAAATTTGTAAAAAATATTAAATCTTGCTTTCCCCAAAAATTACTGGGGCAAAAACTAAATTATTTTCATATATCGAATAGGAAAACCTTTTTGATGAATGAATTAACACCTTGTCAATAACCACTAATGATATTTTCAACAGGGATTGCTCAGAGTAATCGTTTTATATACAAATGGAAAAATTGAAGAATCCGTTCTTGTTTTCTATTCATTTCACAAACAGTGCATAACTGGTTGATTTGAAGTAGAGCCTAAGATAGTTGTCTCCCATGAATCAAACACATATGTGTTAAATTGATCTCCCCTCATCAGTTTAGTTAGTTATAATCCTTATGAAAGAGAGGCGAAAGATACAAAAGGGAAATTCAAACTGGAAAATCAACGGACATCATGGCGAAAAAAAAGACCAAAATGACAAACAACATTACACAAAACACAACCAAGAAAACCAAAGACTGAGCAACACGAACCACACCAAAAGTCCGGGGTGACCTCAGGTGCTCTGGAAGGGTAAGCAGATCCTGCTCCACATGTGGCACGGCCACCCATCGTGTTTAGGTAGCAATTACTTTTATGAAAATGTGACATTATATTTGACACTCAGAAGTACCAACTGTTGGTGACAACATTCCCTTACAAATTGAATTGAATTGAGTTTGCATGAATTGCCAAAAAAACCCGCAACAACTATTATGAAAACTATTGACGAATTTGTGTGCGTTGCAAGTACATTGTGTATTTTACCGAGTAAATAAACATTCAATAAACTTGCAGAAGTACCGTATAGGTGTTTGATAATTCCTGGAAACCCAAGAAATCAATGCTATATAAATATACCAAAATATTTGCAAATTTCACCTTTGGGTTTTAAATGGTCTGCTGGTCTATTGGTCTAGCAGGAGTTGTAGGCAAGTGTGTGTCCACCTTACAACAATAGTGTCTTGTTTTGGATATTCAAAAAAACCAAAACTGAATGAAATTAAACATTTAAATTCGTAGAGCATTGTCTGAAGGCTTCATGAGGTCAGTTACATTGATCTGTGACTTCGAAGTGATATGAATGAAGGTACATGAGCCAATTTGAATCATAGAGAAAAACAATTTTCCTGTTTGGCCATAAGAAACAAGAGGCTCTATGTGATAAAAAATTGAATACATTTTTTCTACATAATATTACCTTTATCTGTAACTTGTATCTTTTCAATATGTCATTTGCCATGTCAAATAATTTATGGTCATACAATGTAGATATTGCCTTGTCAAAGAATCCCAATCGCTCATAACAGGCACTACTCTCTATTGGGCGTTTTAATTTTCTGTAAGTTTCTGCAGCTTTGTCCAACTAAAAGTAGTAATTAAGGCATTGCTTTATCACTTAAATAAAGATGATATGAGAGTAGTTAACAATTATCGTAGTGTCAAATATTTTCATTCAACTGTTGGTAAGAAAATAAATGATTATTATTTTGCTAAATAAATTGTTACAGTAACACGACTTCCTATTTCCTGCCCTTACCTTTAACATATAAAGACTACATCTGTAATGTAAGGCCACTAAATACTATTAACTATAAGCAAGCAACAATATACTGTTAAACTGATACTAAAAATAATTATACTGTCATTGTCAAAACAATAGACTGTTGATTTATTGAAACGATTGCTAATCTACCCTACCTCCTGAGGTACAATTATTATGTTGTGGATATTTCACTGTATAAAACAATATACTACAAAGTATGTGGTATTACCAGCCCTATGTGTTATGATTATACGTTGAATCATGCTCGTTTAATGTACGTAGCTTTTTTATTTAAATATTAATATTGTTATATTTTTGTAATATTTATATTAAGCTATCGTACTTGTCCCATTTTTTCGTACACATAAGCCATAAGCTCCTTCTCTCTAGCATTCTGTAAACAAATCGCAGCTTTTGCAGGAAGCTCAACTTCCAGATATTGTTCAGCAGCCAACAAGAACTCCTCCCTCATCAGAGCAGAATTGTCCTTAATTCTCGAAGATTTCAGTGCCATCTGATGACACATAGCAACATTTGCCATATAGTAATCTCCTCCTTGTCGATAACTCTTAGCAGCTACTTCATACAAATTATTCTTCATGAAGTCTTGGGCTCTTTTTATCCAGTCCTCTGGAGCAGATTCCTCGGCAAACATTCCACTAGTGGATACTAAACAATCATATATACAATTAATTTATTTGTCACACAAAATGTTGTCTTGAATAATAAATTGATACCGGTAAAAATAATTTCAAATAACTTGTTTTTAATGTTTTTTTTTGTTACAACATCCTCCAAATTTTAGTTGTTGTTTCTAGAATGAATTATAATGACCTTGACAGTTTGCTTCTAATTTAATTTGGTATAATATGCAGGAAGAGGTTCAGCTCAGCCTATAACGATCAATTGAAATAAGTCAGCCGATAAGTTCTTTTATAACTGACTGTGTTAGTATACTTTTTATGAATATTTTGGTATCTGTTCTATAGTTCATTTCTTTTAGACACTGGAAATATCATCCTTATTCCTTTTTTTAATAACAAATGTAAGTACATCAACTACTCTATATAACTTATCAAATCATGGATTGACACCAATTTTATAACAACATGAATCCAAAACAATTTGATGTGGTTTTGACAAAAAGAAAATATTAACAAGACAATTGCAATAACCATCATCTATATAATATGACCTTTGATCAAGATTATGTCAAATCTTTGGATCGATGATTATATTTTCAGTGTAAAAAGTGAGTGTTTTAGAAATTACATTCATTGGCTAATTAGAGAACAAAAGTTTGGAGAGTCGAACAATACGGAGTTGGAAGAGTTGTACCAGAGTATTCATTAGGAACAAAAAAATATAAGATTAAAGCTTGATTGCATACATTGACATTAAGACATGATAATGGTCTACAGTCCTCACACATTCATTAAAAAAGAGATTTTCAAAATAATATTTCAGAAATATGCCCCTTATTTTTTCAGTACATGTATTAACTGTGAATGTTTAAAATATCACAATGAGTCAAAACACACTATCGGATCATTTTAACTATGAACCAATCTGGCAATATTTAAATTACATGTCTGTTATTTATCATTATTGATGGCCCTGATATAATGTCAAGCTTTGATCTTTTCTTTTTGGTAGCATTACCCAGGTGTCTAGCACCCACTAAACTTACAATTCTGTGCATCTTCAATACTGATGACTTTGACCAAATGTTGCGCTTTGAAATACTCAAACATTGGTGCTCTTTTTTCTTTATCTTCATCAAAGATCCATACATTCACCCTAGCTCTTGTTACTGCAGTGTACAGATGCTTTAATTCAGAGTTCAACAGTTTATGTTGGTTAGGATCAAAGGTTAATGCTCTGGGTCTGTCTTTCTGTTCCAAAATTTCTAGCAAAACATATGATGCAGTTTAAAATAATTGTACAGGAAACACATCAAAGAAAAATAGAAAAAGGCTAACGAAGGTTACCAATCAATTTTATAGAAATTCTAAGGGTCATAATTAAGTCATGGAAATGTTTTTAAAAACTTGAATATGTAAGTACTACATAAATCTGCTACATATTTATATGGAAATGCATAAAAGAAACTAACCATGTTTGGCTGTTTTGTTCCTTAGTTCTACTAATACTATAATAGCCATGTAAGTATATTGACAGAAAGATTAGACATAAATTAAAAAGAAATGGTTCTAACCAATTTTATTTCTAATTGGTCTACAGCTTAAGAGAAGTTGATTGTAGATATTTGGTAGCCTCGTTTAAATTAACGAACAATCCGCCTTATGTTCAAAGAGTTAAAAACTAGAATTAGCCTGTGGAGATATGAATTGAAATACTGCTGTTTCAAATCTTTGGAATGTGTGTATACTTTTCAATTAATTACCTGACATTTTAACTAAACAAATTGCGAAAAAAATCATTCGATTTACAGACGCTTACCCTGGCGAAGCACCTGGTCTCGCTTTACGTTTGGAGTTTGCTACCAATCTTTGTTAGTTTTCGAGATAATAGGCAAAAACTCGAAAATTATAAGTAGTAAAAAAAGTCAAGTAGGGCAATAACTCTTTTAGGAAGTCGACAAATGGTTTCAGTTGTAAAGACATAATTGTAAATTTTGTATAGCTTGGATTTAGTTCTGATTACAGTTTCTGCCTTTATATTATAGTTTTCGATATAATAAGGAAAATCTCAAAATTTGTCGGATTTTCTCTATCTGTTATGGTTTTCAAGGTATTAGTCCCTCTGTGCATTTTACCCTGATGTTTCATTTTTAGCCATGGCGGTCATGTTAATATATTGACAGCAACATAAACACAAACTTGATAGCCTAAGGATCCTTTGATATAAAAACCGATAGTAAGCTGTGGTATGATTGCCAATGAGACAACTCTCCATCAGAGACCAAATGACGTAAAAGGTCACAACTAAGTTAAGTTTTATTCGATCAGTTGTTTAATAGAAAAAATTTGAAAAAGCTAACATAATATCCCTTTGGTATCTTTCGCCTGTCTTTTACAGAGACGACAGACACGAAGTAATGGGAATAGCTCTTCTGGACCTTCGGGCAAGGTGAGCTGCTAAAGATGTTGAAAACGAAAACTGATGGTAAAACAGACCAATTCTGAAATAGATTCTTATGAATGCACTGTGTAAGCGTGGTCCAAGAGAGTTTGTGATGATCGAAAAAAAAGGTAGAAAGTAGGGTTAGCCTGAGTCATCTGGATGGAGAACAGATATGATATTCTTGGATATCCAATAACTTGAGCCAAATTTGTAAGAACATGACAAGTAAACCAAATAGCTAACCATTACACCAAAAATGTTTATCGATAAACTGAAAGTATCTGTGAAATGAACATTTATGCAGACTGAGACTGACATATATTTCTTCAACATTTACATCAAAGCTAAAGTAAGTATTCATTACACCAGATGAGAATTATTGACCAAAACCTGATATTGATATTTGTATTAAGGTGTCTTTTGCAGAACTCGTCACAAAAACATAATATAATGTTTTCAAACTTTGCCAAAATGAAATGTTCATTGAAAATAATTAAATAGTGAAACTGACCTGAGCTAATCTTGACCAAATTTTCTGAGGAAGTTTTATCACTGCTACATAGTTTCTCCAAGAAATCTGTTATTACTCTCCATTCTTTTGTAGCCTGCAGAAAAATCTTCATTTGATCAAAAAAGAACAATCAACATTTCAAAAATATTTAACATTTTTCCTTTCAGTTAAGTACTGATAAAACATACAGTTATACACAATTTTTATGTTTTACAAAACGGAACTCACTGTGTCTTGTCTTGGTTGGTACGTGGGTTAGTTTAAAAGTAATTCTGCTTACAACTCTATGTCAGTTGTCAAATAGAGTGATAGGCGAAATAGTGCTGACAATCCGGAAATTGACAGTCACAAACACATTTTAAAATATAGTTGTCACCCTTTGCCGCTAAGCAATAAATGGTAGTGGCAATCAATGCATCTATGCTATTAACAATATACTGCTTCGCCGAGCGCAGCTGGATACGAACGCAGAGGTCCAACTCTGAACAGTTGGGGCAAAACTGGACACAATATTCAAGCTTGATACAGGTCTGAATTTGGATTGTAATTAAATATTTGACACATTATAGGTTTCTGACACAGAATAAATGTAATCAAAGAACTTGAAATTGGTTATATGATTTGAATTTATATTCAATTGAAGATTTTTTGCTGTTGTGCAATACACTGTGCTGTTGCGCAATACTTAGTAAATCTGTTTTCAGACTATATACAAAGAATTAGCAAAAAAAAAAAATGTGACACCCAATTTTTCTTTGGAAAATTTACAATTTCTTAAATCTTGAGAGAAAAAACATTGACACCCCCCCAAATTTTTTTGCGGTCGTATATAAATGAAAAAAAAGACATTGTTTCCCTTGATGGAGTCAAATGATAAATTCACACATTTTAAACATTTCTTTCTTACCTGTGAATCCCTGAAAAAATTGTAGAGCAAAATATCATCAAATTCCAGACCTTTGGCTTCATATATTGTCAATATAAGACCACACTGCAGTTCTTCTGGAACATTCTCTCTTGCTGCATCATTTACAACCAAGATGGCTTGATGAGCTCCAAACTCGATGTGAGAGGTCTTACGTTTGTTTCCTCTGAGTAACAGAGCCAAGTCACTGAAGCTACACGACTCTAACAATACTGGTTTTGGTCCATGAAAGAGTCCTTGATCTTTGTTCAGTCTGTCAAAGGATTCTGGGAAGAATTCAACCAGAATATCAATGATACACGAAGCAAGAGAGAGAATTCCTTCATGTGAACGGTAATTGTGTGTGAGCTGGTACACTTGCTCAGGAATCGCTATACCAGATGTTTTGCCCATGGCCTAATTAAATGAAATAAAATAATATATAAAAAAACCAATCATGGACAAACAGAGGAGAACATATCCTACCAATCAGATGTTATTCGAATAACTACTTTGTTTTGCAAAGTCATGTGGCCTTTGACCTCATATGAAAATAAGAAAATGTGTCAATAAGATACCATGCCACGTATGCACTATCACATCTCCATATATTCAGTGAACCATGAAAGTTAAAGTCAAATCCCTTCCTTGATATATATTGTGACATCAACTTTTTGTAAACTACCATATATAATAACTCTAACCTGGAACGGGATTGACACGCTAACAGTCAAACAGACAGACTTATAAATGAACAGAAAATCCCGCACCCGGAGGCGGGCTTCAGCTGGCACATAAACAAAATGTGTACTAGTTTAATGAAAATGCACGTCACACTAAACTTCAAAACATATAAATGAACTAAAATTAAAAAAACATACAAGACTAACAAAGGCCAGAGGCTCCTGACTTGGGACAGGCGCAAAAATGCGGCGGGGTTAAACATGTTTTGTGATATCTCAACCCTCCCCCTATACCTGTAGCCAATGTAGAATAAACAAACACACAGCTATACGCACAGTAAAACTCAGTTTAAAGAAGTCCGAGTCCGATGTCAGAATAGGTAACAAAAGAAACTAAGCAAAATGACAATGACATAAATTAACAAGGGACTACTAGCAGTTACTGACATGCCAGCTCCAGATCTCAATTAAACTGATTAAAAGATTATGTCTTCGTCATATGAAAATCAAGCACAATTCCTCCCGTTAGGGGTTTAGTATCATACCATAATAAAATATATGAGAAGAACATAACCCGTATCATGCCAACAACTGGTTTTAGAATAAATGTTTATTTCCGATGCAAAAAAACCTATGAGTGAATCAATATTAATACCAAAATATGCAATCTTTAATGATCTGACATCATTATCGTAACTATATCCCTCTGAATAAGTCGATTTAAAGGTTTGGTTAGCTTTTGAGGTGAATGTCGACATTTTTGTGCTTTGTATAGAATATTACTATAAAAAATTGGATGTAATTTTCCTGAATGTATAAGATGTCTGCATGTTGATTTATATTTACGAATGTTGTCCTTGTACCGATGATAAAATTAAGTAAATGTTTTAGCTAGTTTGTGATATCGAAAACCCTGTTGTAATAATTATTCAGTAATACAGAGATTTCTTTCGTTAAAATCAAAAACGTTGTTGCATACACGAGCGATTCGAACAAGTTGAGATATATAAACACCATTATACTGAAACACTGCTTAATGAAGAAGCAATATTTTCCAGCTTGTGTTTCTCTAAAAATATGTCCTACATGTATCTCCTTTGTAAATGTTTCCCAAAAAACCCATAACCAAAATATGTTTGCCTCATTGTTTTTTTTTTCCATATTATGTTAACATGAATAAATCTATATTGTTACATGACATTTATTTGATTTGTGCATATATCGTTTATTTTTATTCAACACTTAAACAAGGACATTTTGCTAATACATTAAGTACATCCGATTTAGACTCATACAAAAAGCATGCATGCATCATGTCAAGTCTCACATAGATTGGATGATAATCAAGCTTTATCCTGCATACAGACTTTTAAAATATCCAATCATATGACAATGACCGTAACCTTTATTGATTAGAATTCTGATTAGCCTTGATAAGCATTCTACCAATCCTAAATTAAGATTAAACACAAGGTCACAACATGTTTCTGATCTTGAAAAGAGTTATCTCTTGGAAAATGACAATAATTTATGATCTTACCTATTCAAAGCATATAACAAACGTCAAGTACAGAACAAACGGAGATCACTTATTTAGCGTGACAAATAAATTAGTTAAAACAATTTCCGTTTTTCTTGAAATCACTAGTCGTTTACAGGTTGGATGCCAAACTAAATCTCATGTTTTGTCTTATTTAATTATATGCGAAAATGGCTTTGTCCTTGGTTTTGAGTGACCCTGACTAAAACCTTGGAAATCAAAAGGATACTATGTTTAAATTTATGGAATTCAAAACTAACTAATCTGTCAAGTGCTACAAGACTAGAATGCACCAAATACTGTGACAACCAGTTTGAACGCGATGTCGTGCTAAGTATACCACAAACTCGTAATTCAAAGTATCAGAAAATAGGAAGTTCGAGTCTGAAAAATCCTACATACGCTCACACGTTCCAACTTATCCCTGTCATATGTTTATCAAATAGTAAGTCACTCTGTTAAGAAGTACATGAGAAAAGTGTAAAGAAAAGGTTTAAGTTCAATCAAAATATTGAAAAGTTGAAAGCATAGGCATACAAAAATAGGTATCGTACAGATTTGAAAATTTGTCACATGTTAAATATCACTGTCAATCTGCTGACCAAATATGAAGTCATTCTTTTCAGAAGTTCATGACAAAATTATGACCGAAATATTTGTTTGACAAACCGTCACACAGACGGACAAGATGACTGCAATGTAGCTCCACTATTCGAGTGAAGGTACAACCCGTTTTCTTTACTGAAATGACTTAAAATTCTTAATTAATCACTGATAAAGATTGATTAATTGTTAACGATACCCAACCTGATCTTACCTGTAATGAATGACTGGCATAGAAGAAGAGAGATTTGAGATCACTGAATCTGAAAGATATTCCTCTCATTATGCCCTGAGCTGTATCTCCAGTCAGAAACATATCGTTGGGATTCTGACACAATCTCAGAAGTAAACAAAGCTCAGCCTGAGTGAAATCTTGAGTTTCATCAACAAATATCTGATGAATCACCCAGTTCATATTCTGTTGTTTACATAAACGCTGATACACATCCCGAACAAGATCGGTCTCGTCAAACAAAAATTTCTGTCTTCTCACATGTTCATATCGTTTAAACAAAGTGTAAATATGTTCTCTTTCTCCAGAAAAATTAGGCGCTCTTTTTCTTCCAATGTCAACATATTCTTCTTTCGTAAGGTAACCAGTTGCCTTGGATAAAGCCTCATATGATCCTTTTATAAATGACATTATTTCCGTCCAGACAAGTGAAGGATGATATTTCTTTCCAACACCTTTATTCATATGAGGCCATACTGTTTCGGCAAACAATTCATATGTCATTTCTCTTCGAGGAGCAACTTTTTTCTTGTTTTGATGACCTTGGTTTTGATTGTCTTGATTTCCTTCCAATAAGTCTTCTATTTCTTCATCACTGTCACTTTCTTCATCAGAATCTTCTTGAAGAAGTGGAAGAATACTAAGAGGTCCATCTCCATCTGTCCATCCCTGAATATCAACCTTCAAATTTCCATTTTCTGTTCGATTAAAGAAGTAAAACTGGTCTACAGATGCATCTAACATTAACAGTAGCTGTTTAGATGTTATGAACAGAGGAAATTGGTAATCATTCAAATCTTGAAGACGATTAGGCAAATTTTGATGTTCAGCTTCTACGTGTTGTTTAGTTTGATCACAGCCATGCAACAGTTCTCTGAAGTTTTTTTGAACTTCATTACATAATACTGCATTCTTAGTGATAAAGATTTGATGTAAATGATCATACTGTTGTCCCTCTTCAACCTCTGCCTCACCATGCTCACCAGTCTCGTTTTCGTTTTCGGATGCAGTAGGTTCATCATGACAACCTTCAGGTATCTTTCTTGCACAAGATACATTTTCTACCTCATACTCCAAGTCATCAGCATCTGAAATTAAGGTAAAGAAAACTACTTACTTAAGTATTTTATTGTTGTTATGGACATCATACCAAATCGTCTTATTTTTTATAAAAAGGATGTACAACATGCTTGAAAGACATATTTTTTTGGTTGTTTATGTTTTGTTTTGTGTTTTTTAGAGGGAAGGAGGAGGGGTAATTAGGAGTTAGAAGTTAGAAGGTATTTCGGCTCATTTGTATCAGCTATCATGACCTCCAAAACAGAGAGCAGTCATTGTTACTGAAATTTTAATTAAAGGCTATTTTGAACTGTAGTATACCACATTCATACTTATACATAAAAGCACATGAGGAATATAGATCTTTTGAAATATTTCTAATTTTGAAGCTGAAATATACAAAAGAATGTAGTCAGTTCATTGCCAGAATTCTTTCTATCATATCTAGTTCAAAATGGTATAGCTGTAGAAGAAGGCACATTTATATTTCAAAGAATACTCTAATTTATATTCCAAGGCCAAACGAGATGGTCGATGACTTTACAATGCCACGTCAGGCAAAATACTTCACAAGAGCAATTTTCTATATAAAAGTTAGGAGATGTGATACGATTGTCAATAAGACAACCTTTCACTAGAGACCGAAAATACATTGAAGTAAGCAGCTATAGAACATCATACAACATTAAAAAATGAAAAAACCATACCGTATAGTAAGCTATAACAGGCATGACAAATTAATTGGGAAACAATTCAAACGAGAAAACCAACAGCCAGAATTGTGCTAAGCACAGTAAACAACTAACAAAAAGTTCAAAGAGTACTCGCAGCTACTGAATGATTTTTCAAAGCCAGTTTAACAGCTATTAAATAAATCAGTTTATCAATGGCTAGCATATCAATCGGTTTACAAGCAAAAGATTTGGTTTTAAAACCTCATTGATGCACTCTGAGATATTTTTTTTTAGAGTACTGATATTAACAAACTTGGAAAGATGAAAAGATGACCGTGAAAAAGGCGATTTTCCCCTCATATATGAATATGATTAGTCATGCCGTATATCGAATATAGATGATAATGCAACAAGAATTTATGCATGTTCTCCCTTACCTACACCTTTTCTATGTTAATGCAGCGTGGATGGGAGTATTTCTGACTGGAATCATCTATCACCATACTTACTCGTATCCATAGCTATTGCTATATATAATGCAGCATGGATTGACGTGTCTTGCCGACCGCCAGAAACCTTAACTAGTATCTCCCTTTCTATTGCTATAGATAAATTGACATACTGTACGTTTTCATTTAGTAGTTAAAATCCCTTATGGTAACAAAATCCCTGACTTAATATTATCACGTTTCCATAGATAATGTTAATTGAAATCTAAACGCAATACAGCCACAAGCATAAGTTCGGAAATGTATACACCTTTCAAAAAAGGTCAAAAGAACATCATCATAAAAAAAACAGAAAATTAGCAATGGGGAATGAAAATCGTCTGTTTTGTTGACATGTTTATTTGTCTGTTTGTCTTTTTATTTTTGGCCATGGCGTTGTCAGTTTGTTTTCGATCTATGAGTTTGACTGTCCCTCTGGTATCTTTCGTCCCTCTTTGCTATAAATTTCCCGTGTGAAACTGCAATATCCAAAATCTTGAAACGGACAACTATTGCTGTGTATTATAGATTTATAATATAAAGGCAGTTACTTTTGGTAAATTACTGCAGTATGATTGTTAAATTCTTGATTATATAAGGCAAAATATAGTATGAGTTATTCAAACTTTCAATTAAATGGTCGCGAGATGGCCTTTTTGTGCTGATACGACGTTAATCAATCGACTTTCAATCAATAAAATGGAATTGAGACGGACCTTTACTGCATTTGGCCATAGACTGTGATTCGTAATAATACAGGAACAAGTCTACTATTAAATGAGTGCAAATAGAGCACATACAACCGTTTGAAAACTTTATTGCCGAAACGTACATGTATGTGATCAAGGATAAAGAACACAGGCTCACAGCCTTAATCATTTTATCATAAAGTATATCTATCATATTTGCCCTTTTATTACACAAGGAGGCTATATGACCTATATATGAGATGCAACAAATACATTTGCAATCAGATTTTTCAAAGGAACATTTACTTAAATAAGAAAATGTATGTTTGATAAAACTGTGTGGAAGTGTAGTAAAGAGAGAAGAAATTCATAATTGTCAACAGAATTGAAAGAACCATTAAAAGCCCCTAAGCTATTGTATATTTTTACCCTCCAAAAAAAATGAATTTCATTATTTTCATATGCTTGATTTCAAATATTAATAATGTATTTCCTGTATGCATAGCACTGATTTCTTGTCCGGGTTTGATTTGACTTTTTATCCTTTTTATTACTTCTTCAACGTTTGATGTAAAGTTTTAAATATTTTGCCCTCGAGCGTTCCTGAACAGACATTGATTGTCGAAATGCGCTTCTGGTGCAGTAAAATTGGTTCAGTTAATGTTACTATTAATTATTTTTTTAATTGTAGTAAAGGAACTACTAGTAGTTTAAGGTCCGAAATATAAGAAGTTGAGATGAAGCAATATTAGGCAGTTTTTTGTTTAGTTTAGTCAGAAATATGACAGGTGTTATCCATTCATTTGATGTGTTTGAGCTTTTAATTTTGCCATTTGATTAGGGACTTTCCGTTTTGAATTTTCCTCGGAGTTCGGTATTTTTGTTATTTTACTTTTTAGGTAGCCTATATACAGATGGGACTTCAAATGTTAGAGAAGTCTTAAACTGAGATGGATGTGGTAATGATATTATAGTCTATTATTTGACTCTTTGAAGAAGGCATGGCCTTAAATGAAGAAAAACATTATGATTTCATTTTGAACCTTCTGCTTCTATTAACGTCATACAAGTGCCAGTTAGAACAAATCATTATGCGAAAACTTTGTTTTTTAACTTAAGATATAAATATTTGACAAATAAAATATCCACGCTAGACATAAATCATTACCAGGGGCATACCATAATGTGTCGAGTGTTTTTAAAAAGGTGGAACAGAGCAAGCCAATTAGAAACCGCGTTGGCTAAATGAATACAACGATAGGTTTATTACAGTTGTTGTAAGGAACCATCTGAAAACATCTTCTTTTCTTCAACATTTCTTGTTAATTGCACAACTCATTTTAAACATGATAACATTCAAAATGATAAGTAGCTTAGATTACTTCATTACAGGTACCGGTATGACTATAAGGTATGGTTATACATTTGTTTTGATATGACGCATAATCTTTTCACTGAAATCATTTCTACAAATTCAGTATTTGTTAATGACTGTTATTTAAAATGTTTCAGCATCACACCACTGGTGAGCAACAATTAATGTCACGTGAAAGTGATAGAAAAGATCACATCCAATCACAATTATTAATTTTGACATTGATATATCTAAGTTCGTACCTTCAGTGTTCATCTCCCCTTCTTGCATTTTCCCCTGTTGTTTATAAATCATAACTCTAGGTAGTAATGGAGCATCAGCTTCAACAGCTTTAGTCCAATATTGCAAAAACCTACTCCATAGTCTATATAGACAACATGTTGTCTTGCCTGTACCACTGCGCCCAATTAAAAGAATTGGTGCATCGGACTGGATGTTTATGATGGCGTGTTCTAATTCTGTTACACGAAATGGAAAGTCCACCTTTACTTCTATGTTCTGTAAAATGTGTGACACAAGATTGGAAGAGAAAGAATAAAACTTAAGAATATGATATTCTGTCTCGTTGGCACTTGCTGGAGGGAAGAAAGGCTTTATTTCCTCCAAGATACTACTTTCAATGTCTGTTTCAGCATAAATCCTAGGAACTTTTTTCAATTCATTCGAATACTTCTCATGTTTAATGCCCTTTATCTTTTTTTGTATGATACAAGACTCACCTCTGTTATGAGATTTTGCAATTCTTTGAACGGAACTGTATATTTTATCATGATCAAAAACTATATCCCAAACTCTTATGATTTCGGAGTAAATTTTTCCACCTTTAACTGGAAGATCTGACAACTGTTCTTCATTGAATTCAAGAATTCTTTCTGCTGAGTAGCTCAATCTTGGTGAAAAGGCTATAGCTAGTTCCCATATAATTCTACTAGCCTTTGTGATCTTGGCTTCAAACAACCTTAACGTATCAGGCACATGGTGGAGCTTTTTACACAGATTTGGAGTCCACTCTCCAGCTGCCAGATGCTGAATCTTACATACAATCCTTTGTTTTATTTCTGGAAGAACATGTTTGTTGCTCATGGCTTTCCATACTTCAGCAGTACATACAACTTCCCATTCTAAATTTTCAAATACTTGTAGATCAAACTGTTAATTAGAAATCAATAAGTCATATAAAATAGATGTAGTTAACTTATACAAATGATAATGTCTTTTTAGTCTTAAATTCAATTCAGAAACAGGTCTTGCATTCATGCTAAAGTATGCATTCCTCGAATATGTATCAATTTGAGCAAAAGTAGACCTGATGGAATGTGGAACCACCTACTTATAAGTAGATTATGACTCATTAATTTGTTGGAAGCTGAAGGAAAAAAGCAAACTTACCATATTTATCTTGAAAAAAAAATATATACATGAATATATAATGAACCATGCAAAGCTTACAATCCAAGTTGAACACATAATTCCACAGACAGACAATATCTTACCTTTTATTTGTTGTAACTTAAACATTCAAGAAAGCATAAATATTAAAATAGGACCAATGACCTATGCAAAATCTCCATGTTTAGGTGGAATGAGACCTATATGCAGATGTAAACCCTTAACCTAAGCAGATGAATATATTTTCTAACTTGTCTCGAAACGTTAGGAATTTATAACCATACACTTTCTTAAAGCCTTGCTACTATAATTTTAATGGAAACAATTGAAATCAGCTGAATTTTACAATTTCATGAATCAAATATAACAAATAAAGGAGTAACAAAACATATATGACAAATTAAAGCGTCTCAGCTGTTTTATTTTGGATTTGTTTTACAAGACAATGAATTCTCAGAAAATATTTACAGCAACAAACATAGAATCGGGTGCAGGACCACAAGAGAACAAACAGCAATGTCAGCATTGATTTCTTGTTATTTGATGAGTTTCTATATAACTAGTAAAATGTACATCCACGCAATATCAATTACTATCAATTGGTGGTACAAATTATTTTTTAAAGAACCTGGAATTGCTCTTCTTCACTGTCTTCTTCGTCATCAAATATTTCTTCATCTCCTTGCTGTAATAGTTTTGGTTCTTCTGTTACTATTGGTTTTACAAGATAGGGTTCCGGATCAGGTACCATTGAGTTTTCAATCTTGAAAATACATATAATCGGAAAAAATTATACATGAAAGCCAACCTATAGTCTTAGTTTTAACGGTTAAAACATAAAAGTTCTAATTTGATTATCTGTGCTACCTGATTTAAAAATACAGAGTATGAACAATACACTCCTCCTCAAATAATATTTATTGTAATTCCATTTCGGAAGAATAAGGGATAAAGAATGTATTATGAACTTGCTGTCACGTGTTCATGGCCATCCGCGTCAATTTTTCAACGAAATGCACGCGACTATATTCATACAACCGAACAACTTTAACAACGTTTTGTACGCGTAAAAGTAGTTTTACTAACAAACTCATTTAATTTCATTTTCTCAACCAAAAAACATTTTTGTTAAGACAAATTGCTAATAAAAAGAATAATGTTATTTTATTATATTCTTCCAGATAAAGTCAGTTTCAAAAACAAAAATGCCATTATTATATATAGAGCTTTCAAAGTAAAAGGTTAATTCTCAAAGATAATATAATGAACAAATTTTTCATTAAATGTGTGTTCTGCTAGATACGTACCCCTGAAAAGTAATGTAAAGTCAGCAGATATGAGACTTTTGCAGACACAAATATTTCATTGTGTGAACAAAAAATAATGATGTGAGAATACTGTATATACAATGCAATGTAAAAAAAATCACGACAGGAACATACGATGAGTTTAAATTCCATCAAATTTTGTTTGTTACCTTAATCTGTCTGAAGTAAGCAGATGTGAGATATCTGAATCTTCTGCCGACATATGCATTGGATCAGTTTAAATTTATATGGGGTAAACATTAGATTGAAAAAGAAGTCTGGGAAAATTCAATAGGAAAGAATTGTAACTGATGAAGCTGATTAAAACACCACATTCTCAAATTCGATTGAATAGTTATTCAAAAAATATAATACTTGATGTACTTGTGGTTCACTGAAGTGGAACGATTGTCATCCTTTTCTTCTTGATTAGCGACAAAACACATCTGTTGTAGTCGATGTTCCGAAGCTACACAGTAATGTCATGCTTAAAGGAGAGGCGAAAGATACCAATGGGACATTCAAACTCATAGGTGAAAAATAAACTGACAACGCCATGGCAAAAAAAGTAGCTTCAGAGCAAATGCAATGTGATTTCCATTATAATTAATATTTTCAAGGGCCATAACTCGTTAAAAATATTTGATCAGAACTTATTTTCGAAAGTCTCAAAGGCATTGCTGATATAAACATATGATATAAGTTTCATAAAATTCTGGCAAGAATTTTTACATATGAGAGCACTAACAGTGCAATGTTACAAATAATCAATATTTCCAGGAGGTATAACTCTTATAAAAATAATTGATCGGCACTGCTTTTTGAACTCGTCAAGACAATTAATGATATAAACCTATAATATAAATTTGAGAAAAACATGGAAAACCTGGCAAGAATTGTACATATTAGAGCGCTTATAAGGCAATTTTTCCATCTGATTAATATTTCCGAGGGTTTTAACTCTTTTGAAAATTATTGATCGGCACTGCTTTTTGAACTCGTCATCGACATTGCTGATATAAACCTATGAAGGTTCATGAAAATCTGGCAAGAATTGTACACATGAGAGTGCTAACAAGACCGAACGGACGGACGGACGGAAGGTATTTCTATGTACCCCGCAACGCGTTGCGCCGGTGACAAAAAGGTTGACATAAATAAAACTTGACAAAATCAAACGCTGGCCTACATCAACCAACAGAACGAATAGAAAACAACTATCATATTCCTGCACATGCAATTTCTCGAAGAAAATGTGTGGTTAAACCTGACTAAATGCAACTTGTCACTAGATTTGTAGCTTTCGAGGGCATCATGACACGTGTAACAAATGGAGTAGAAAGAAACCAGCAAGGGATATTTAAATCTCAGAAGTCGAAATAAAAGCTGATAACGCCATGGCAAAAAAAACACCTAGAAAACTAAAGACTCAGCAACACGAACTCACAAAAAATAGGGGTGAACTGATGTGCTCCGGAAAGGTTATCAGTTCCTGCTGAACATGTGGGACCGTAGTGTTGTTCATGCAATTTCAAATCCGTTAATAACTGATAAGTCTCATTGGTGGATGTCACAATCGAGGAAAAGATGAAGAATTTAGCTAAGACATTTGGAACATATCAGTACTCATCTGTGACGTAGATAATCATTAACTGTCAACCAAGTCGTAATGGCTTCCGTACAACCTTAGAAGGGATGACTTCAAATTCATCACTTGGAACCCTAGCTATGATAACCTTCTTCTATGAAGTAACCCTTTATCAAGGACATCATAATAAAAAATATTGTATCAACAATAATATACATACATGATATGCACGCGCTCCTTGAATGTAGCTACATAGAAGTGGATATTTAACAATTGGGAATCTAAAATAATCCCTTTGGTCGAAAAAGTCTTGCTCTCAACCGATTTTAATTGTCAATGTTTAGATGTCAGTCAAGACATGAGGCGATCTTAACTTTATCTGTGGTATCCTTCATGGTGTTTGCCTTTTTCTGTCGTTACTGTTTTGTTTGTGGTGTCTGTTTTTCCTCGACTTATGTTTTTTGGACTGCCCCTTTGGTATTTTCTCCTTTCTTTCCATTATTCCTTATTTGGGTAAATCTATATATTATTCATGTGCAATACTTGTTTTTACTGGGTTTAATAGAATATACCTTAGATTTGACTTTCTCTTTCTTTGACTTTTTACTCAAATTGTCAACATCATCACTTCTGCTGGAGTATTTACTATAACCTGCATCATTTAGATTATGTAGCAGCTCCTCTATTCTTTTCCTTACAGCTTCTTTTCCTAACGGTTGTTTTACCACAGATTTTACCACAACTGAAGGACTGGTGTCTCTTCTATCATATAGAAGAAGATCTTCTCCTTCGAGTTTAGTCTTCATGAATTCTTCCGTTTGTGATTTTTTGGCCTTATTCATTTTGCCAGATTTTCCGGACACATTTTTGGTTGGTCTATCATCATTTGCAAGTCTAAAGAATTGAAGTCTTCGATCATTCTTTGTATTTAAATAATAAACAGGCAGTTTATCATCACTATTCTTTACATTTGATGATATTTTCTTGTCACAAAGAAGTTCGGTTGCTTTTTGAACAGTTGAATTATACTTCTTTTTGGCAACCAAATGAAACAGACTGTCTCCATACATGTCTTGTTGTTTAGGATCTAACATGTTGTATTTTTCTGGGTCTTTTTCGAACATTTCTAAAAACAGGTTGAACACAGAAAAGTTTCCTGCAATATAAAACATCATTTTTTAATGTTTATTACAGTGGTTAGTTTAATAACATTTATTGTTAAAAATGACAAATGGAGCAGACACAAGTTTTACAACTAAGTAACATATACTACAAAAGGTGAGTCCGATACAAAAATTTCATTTTGAGATATGAAAATACTAGATTGCATCTGCCATATGTTAATCCACTAGTCCCAGATCAGGAAATTCGTTAGTGATTTTCCTATGTTAAATCGTAATGTTATGTGGTATTTAGATGATTTCGCATTCATTTTTATTCCTTATTCACGTGTATAGTGCATGCTTCGCTATAAAAAAAAACCACATAAAATCAATATCATCAGAAAGTGCTAAAATTCGCATTGAAAAATGTATTTCAGCCAAGTTTCCCTCCTTATAAAACGATGATTTGACATAAAATCATTATGACAACTATCCATCGCAGATTAAAAGACATAAATGTAAGCAACTATAGGTCATCAAACGACCATGAATGATGAACTAAACTCAAACTAGAAAGTAAGTTATATGATGGACTGACATAAAAATAATGGGAAACCATTCGAATGAGATATAACGGCATAAATTAGTCTAAATCAACAAAAGAAACAAAATGACCGAATCAAAGACAACCACTAAAATTAAGGTCTTCTGACAAGGGCAGCCACAGAAAGAATGTGGCAGGGTTGAAGATGTTTTTGAACGCCAAACCGTCCCCTTACTTTCGACAGTCGGGTAACAACACAACATAAGGTCGATCTGTTGGAAAGATATTAAACATGTTTAATAAATAAATCATGTTTCCAAGACTAAATTATCAATAAGTTATCATACTGCGGATCGTATAAAGCTGTCATAAACAGCCTGAGAAAAGCATAGAGTTTAAAGATGTCAGAATATAAGTAAAATCGACCTAATGTAGAACCATTTGCTTTCATTACTGTACATCACTGTACATGTAGTTGTGTAACTAAATATGTAGATTATAAGAGTTCTCTATGAAGTCGGAATGGTGTCTTTTAGGACATAGGACGATCGTGACATAATCCATGGTTAGGTCATGGATCATGATGTATTTTGTTAGCTTGATTGTAAAGGTTCTCTGATTATAGTTGCAGATCGTTGGCTTCTCAGTTGTAATTTAGCTGTTTTCAGAAAAGCAAGTTTACTACGATTGCAAACACTTTTCGGTTTTACTTTATCGTTCAACATATTTAAAAATTTTCTGTGAAACTTGGATACATTGAACTTTTTCATTACTTCTACAAACAGATGTAACCGTTTCTATACATTTATAAAAACATCGATTTTTTCAATACTTCTACAAACAGATATAACCGTCGTTCGCGAAACTGATTATATCCATATTATAAAAAAGAAATATATCGTACGTTGCTCCAATGGGATATAGAAAAATCCAGGAAATAAGACAGGTGCTAGATTACTGCAGAGTTACAGGTGCTAAGAATTAAGATTCCAAAAATTAAGTCAAAAACAGTATTAAAACAACGGTATCTGGATAACGTTTTCTAGTGAAATCCGAGAAAGTGCGTCTGACGTTTCGAATCAGAAAACCAAATTGGCCATAAGAAGAGTCACTTTAAGACCCATCTTTGACATCCCTTCAACTTATATGGATACAGTGCCCGGAAACAAAGTTCGAGCGGGTCTTATTTAACAAAATGATGAACTCGTTTAAATCATCATTTGTAATATTCGTTATATTGGTGTAATCAGGGGTTTACAGAATTTCAACACCGATGTAAAATTCCGTACATCCCTGATTACACAAGATAACGAATGTATTTTGTATGAAGCGTCCCTTTACCCATTTGTATATTGTTGTGTAAAATTGAAAATGCTAATGTAGAACTTTTGTTCTTTTTGAATTTGTTCGATACCGACGTTGCTGCGCATTGTCAAAAATTACCTATCTTTATTTTTTTTTATTCTCGGGAAATTTGGAAAAGTTTGGGTTTTTTTTATTTAATTTTTGATTGTTTTTTTAATTTACGCATATTAATTATTTTTTTAAATATTTTTTAATTTATTTTTTTGAAATTTTGGTAAAATTTTTATTTTTATCCTCGGATGAACAGGAGTGGGTGTTTATTTACACCCGGGTAATTAGCAAATCAGATTGCAGGATTCTTGCTGCAAAAGAAATAAACACATTTACACAGTGCATTACATGCATGCTTACTTTAACTAAATCTAACATAAACAGCAGTAGTTGTCCTTTTCTAGATTTGGACATTTCAATCTCTAAAGAAAAACTCCATACTAAAATTTACGACAAAAGAGACGACTTTTCATTCCCTATTGTTATTTTTCCTTTTTTAGACAGCGATGTTCCTTTGGCTCCATCATACGGTGTTTATATATCCCAACTCGTTCGTTATGCCCGTGTGTGTAGTGATGTCATAGATTTTAACTAACGTAATCAATGCATCACTGGTAAATTATTAAGTCAGGGATTTCGTAACCATAAATTACGTAAAACTTTTACTAAATTTTTTCATAGATACAAAGATTTGATTAGTAAATTTGGCTGTACTTGTAGAAAACTGATTAAAAACAGTATTTCACATCCTAAATTGTACTGTAATATTGTACTTAAAGCGCGGAAATCACTATTTGATCCTTGTAAACTCATCGAACCTTTAAACAAACTTATTAGTAAAGGTTATCTTACCAATGTTGTAATTAGATCTTTGAATATAGTTTACCTTGGCACTAATATCGATTTTGTCATCAGCAAATTAAAACATAACTAAATTTGTATTCTTTTCAAACGGGATGTATAAAGACACATCCACGTTCATTTTGATCTATAAAGAGGTTAACTCCTAACTATCTTACTGCCTTTCGATACATTTATTTTTGGCATTGCACAAGTCATGTCTTCTTTGACTGTCCATGACGTTAAAATACTAAATACCTGGGATGTGTTTTAGTTGATTTTAGTCTCTGATGCATGATTTTTTATTATTAATTGTTTTTGGCTTTTAACTCAGTCAGTAACTGCGAGTACTCTCAAATCGTACCTGTTGATACTAATTGTAATGCTTTTTTTGTTATTTAATATTATTCAGGGTTATATCTGGTCTATATACCAGCTTTGATACGTGTTTAGTTTTACTATAAATTTTCACTTCTTCGTACTATGAACATCAAAATTATTTATTTTGTAAAATTATTTCCTTTCTCTATTTGAACTGTACACGTATACCTAACAACAAAATTATTTTCATTTACCTGTGTTTAAAGTAATTGTAAATGGCTGATATTTTTGTTCAAGCATATTGCTTTTCTTAAATTGTTTAACATTCCACAGCGGTATAACATGTTACTTTAATTATTCTTCTCTTAGTTTATTTATTTTGTATTTGCATTGTATCATAGATCAAATTTATTTGTTCAGTGTATGTTCACTGGTGTTAATATGTCTTTTGATTGAGTTAAGCCATTTCAATTGATATTTTATAGTGTGTCTTTCTATGTTGTGATGTTACACTATTGTTTCAGATAAGGGTGAAGGTTTTGTACCATTAAAACGTTTAAACCCGCTGCAATTGTTTGCACCTGTCTTAAGTCAGGAATCTGATGTTCAGTAGTTGTCGTTTGTTGATGTGGTTTATAAGTGTTTCTCGTTTCTCGTTTTTTATATAGATTAGACCGTTGGTTTTCCCGTTTGAATGGTTTTACACTAGTAATGTTTTGGGCCCTTTATAGCTTGCTGTTCAGTGTGAGCCAAGGCTCCGTGTTGAAGACCGTACTTTGACCTATAATGGTTTACTTTTATAAATTTTGACTTGGATGGAGAGTTGTCTCATTGGCACTTATACCACATCTTCTTATATCTATATGCAGCAATACGTAATCATTTCCCAAGACCTTCGATCAAGCCCATTGGTACGATACAGAAACCTTAACGACCACTTTCTAGTGCCTCTCAACCCACTGCAACGAGTAAAAATAAGAACACCAGTTGTGGTCAGTCTGATCGTGCCAATGTAAGTTCCTTGCTATTAGTTAAAAAAATATGTCCAAAAAATGAAAGGGAGCAAGGACAGATACATTTGCTACATTGATATCGTGTCGCATAATATTCAAAAATTTATGAATGAGGGTTACGATATTAATATTCCTGCAATATTGATATTCAGCCATGAAACACCAAGCTCTATCACAAGCTATTTTCATCAAAGACAGATAGATACAATTCTTAGGAAAAACATATAAGATCAACTTTGACATTTTATATATAGTCAGTGTGTGTATCAGAAACGTTTATACATGTAATTATTTCGTCATTCGACAGAATTTTGTTCTATACAGTGTTCAGATCAACAGGGTATTACAGAAACATAGTTACTAAAGGTCAATTTGACCAAACATGTCAAACAAACTTGATAAACAAGGCCGTTATAAATACTCTTTTATTATCTATAGTTAAGAAGGTTTGGCATGCCACAAAACCAGGTTCAACGCACTATTTTTTTTTTAAAATGTCCTGTACGAAGTCAGGAAAATGGCCATTGTTATATTATAGTTAGTTTCTGTGTATGTTACATTTTAATGTTGTGTTTTTGTTGTGTCGTTGTTCTCCTCTTATATTTGATGCGTTTCCCTCAGTTTTAGTTTGTAACCCGTTTTTTTTTATCTCTATCGATTTATGAGTTTCGAACAGCGGTATACTACTGTTGCCTTTATTTAAGAAGTATGTTACAAATCAAATAGTGAAATAATGTACAAGTTGCTAACGACCAAAAACTAACCTTCTCCGAGAATGTGGAAATTGTAGATCCAAATGTCACGCTGTTCCTACATTTACATTTTACAATGCTCCTAAAAGATCTTTACAGACTTCGCACAATAGCAATACTAGCAAAGTTTCACTCAGACTAAACAAGATTGCTATTGATGATTTTTACATGGAAGCATCAACTCCCGTTAACAATATATACGTAGAAATATTGGTCTCCATGAATGACAGCTACCTATAGCTTAATTCACTCTATTCCTTTCTACTGCTAAAGATCACGCACCATGGATGGGTGTGGTGTCTCCCTGATTGACAGCTAAAATAGCTTACTTACCTCTATCCTTTTCTATTGCTATAGATAATGCAGCATGGATGGGTGTGTCTCCCTGATTCACAGACAGATGTGATGGACAGGCACCATGGTTAAATAATGTCTCCAGTACCTTGAATTGACTCTCCTGTACAGCAGCTTGTATGCATAACATGCCCTCTAAAATATACAATAAAGTAATGGGCACATACAGCATAAATAAAACCTGAAATCACGCTTAAAGATTAATCTTTATATTAATCCCATTTATTTTACAAATAGTAAGTGGCTGTTAAAATCCATACCTACATAAAAATAAGGAGATGTGGTGTGATTGTCAATGAGAAAACTAACCACCAAAGTTCAAATCAAGTGGATGTAAGCAATTATAGGCAACCTTACGGCCTTCAACAATAAGAAAACCCCATACCGTATAGTCGGCTATTAAAGGCCCCGACATAAAACATTAGAAACAATTCAGTTGGGAAAACTAGCGGCCTAATTTATCACAAAACAATTTACGAAAAACAAATATGACAGACGTGCACGTGAACAATGCAGCTTTTTGACATATCGTATATTAATATATTTTGCTACAGGGATATTTCGGGGGCTTTTAAAAACAAATCAGAGCTGTTTCTTCTTCAATCACTATCGTATTTTGATTTTATCATATAATGGAATTTTTAATTATGCTAATTGTTGTTGATAAGTTATAACAATAACTGATGATAACAAAAAACAATAATCTGAAGAAAAAAAAATAATGACACATTTGATATAAAATATTTTAATGCATCAATCTTCATAATGTAAATAAAATATGTAACTTATTTCTATCCAAAAGAAATAAAGTATAAAGACATAACCAGTATTTTTTATCTAATATAATATACATTTGTTGAACAAGTGGACAATATAAAACAGTAATTATATACTTCATAGTAACATTGGCTGAACTAATGAGATTTTCTAAATTAAAAAAGAGCCGGTAGATATAAAAGTGATCGAAAACGAACTGACAATGCAATGACAAAAAAGAAAAGAAAATTATAAAGGACAACTAACAGCCTACAAAATAAATGGGTATGTGTCCGTGGGACACAGATGATGACCCCGCTTGCATATAACATTATAAAGTGACATAAGGCCAACATTTTTTAATTATCCGTTTTACAAACCCGCCGACCGTATATTCCCGAAAATGGAAATAAAAATGTGGATAGTAAACCCTCATTGATATAAACAAGTGCCTGTGTTGCTGAGGCTGAATACTGACTGGAAGGCCCAGCTGCTTTTTTTAAGAATAAATCAGCGATTGATGGAAAAGAGACCTCGTGAATACGAAATTGCAGACTCAGCCGCACAGTGGGTGATATTTGTTCGGATTGTGCCTATGAATCGGCAACAGCACTATCCGTTAAAAAATGCTTTGCCGACGAGGCAAAAACCGTAACAAACACCCCACTGTGGATACTTAAAGAGTTCGGGTAAGAAATATTTGAGTATCAGTTATTTTTTGATGGATTGAAATGACCTGCTGATGACTGCCATGTCTAATTAGGAAACGTATCATGGGATGTGGTTAAAATGCCAATGAGACAGCAACCCTAAACCAACTTTCTGAAATCCAAACTCTAGAGTGCATGCACTCTTCAGTTTTGTATGCTGATAAACTTGAACTGAATGACGTTCCTACCGCCCTAAAAAATAAAAATGTGGAAAATCATATACCCCTTTGACTACAATTTTAAATGCTGCCTATCTTAGGTATAAAACCCTAATTTGTTTAAATCCAGATTAGATTTTTGTATTAGTTGTCTTATCTTCTTGTAAAATGTTTTAATAGAATGGCCAGTTGAATCGGCCTACTTATTAAAATGTATACACACATAATAGATATTAGGATGTGGGGAAGATCCCTTAGAGGCCAGGACCCTATTGAACCATTGAAGATTGTTACAAGAGTGCACTGTCCAATCTCTTACGCGGAGCAACATCCGTTGAACAGCAATCTTTTTTATTGACCCCTATTAAAAATACAAAACAAAGGTCGAGGGTTCGAACCCGAGCTGGGTCAAACTAAAGACTAAAATTGATATTTGCTGCTTCTCCCCATAGCACATGAGATTAAGGAGTAAGAGCAAAAACGGGTCAACTCAAGAGTCGGAATAATGTGTCCGGGTAGGGTGATATGTCTTCCTGCAGGCTGTTACCATGTGAACTAGCATGTTAAAAAATCTGGCTCAGAGTATCGGTCTAATGCAAAGGAGGGTTAGTAATCATATTACATTAAAATGTTTGTCCTGAATATGCATCTGAAGCTGGACGTTAAACATCATTATCCATATTACCCTTACTTGTATGAAATTTCAATGTCTGACCGTTTGAATCAGGACAGGTTTAAAAATCAAAAGGGCATCAAAGGGTCATATAAATTGTGTTATCAAGCCGGTGAGTCTATTCGTATTAAAAGGCATGATAAACACTTTTATACATATAAATCAAGGAGTAAAACTCATTTATTGTGAAGCAAATTCCTCATAAACCTTTTAAAACAAGAAAAAAGTAAATGCAAGAAGGAAATAAATTGTATTCAAAATAAATAAATAGAAATGGTTAAAAGCACTTTTATTTTTATTTTATTTGTCGACTCAAACAAATCCATTCTTTTATTTTTATTTTTATTTCGACCCCCGACCTTAAATTTTCAGAAAAAAATCTCGTAAAACAGATAATAAAAAAAAGTTGGCCTAACTCAAGAACAGTAAAAGTGATGCTACCCAAACTAGTACTTTATCTGAGTTTTGTTGTAATAAGTATTGTGTATAAGTTTCATAACATTTGATTGAGGCAAACTTAAGTAAGATAACGGAAACGAAAAATTCAGCAATATTTCTATTTGTAAAGGGGAACAACTCTAGAACGATAAAAGTGGTGTCACCAACATTTGAACTTGATCTGTGTTTTGTGGTAATAAGCATTGTGTACAAGTTTCATAACATTTAGTTGAGGCAAACCTAAGTTAGAGAACGGAGACGAAAAAAATCAGCAATTTTTCCATTTGTAAAGGGCATTACTCTAGAACGGCAAAAGTGGCGCCACCCAAATTTGAACATAATCTGTGTTTTGTGGTAATAAGCATTGTGTATAAGTTTCATGATATTTGATTGCTAAGGAGGCAAAGTAAAGTTGGAGAACAGAAACCAATTTCGGGACGTACAGACGTACGGGCAAAGCCATCTAACTTGCTTGTGTGGTTTATTCACAACATTTAACAACTGTTGACCCTATCAGTTACAGTAGGTTAGTTTTACCTTCCAAAAGTTTCCTGGAAGTTGAGACAATCAGATATATCAAATGTCTTTTGTGTTTTTACGTTACAAAAATCAATTATATGTACCATCTCTATTATATCGGCGCATTCATTGTCTTCTTATACAGTCATACCTTCTTCCGCAATGTCCAACCTTTTGTATAATTTTAATTGTTATGTTTGATGAATTACATTTTTGAGTGTCAAAATTAAAGCGTTAATTTCTATAAATGTATTTGTTATGGATATATACAAGCAAATTATTTTATTGGGTGACCAAAAAAATCAAAACATTACTCTTGATTTTAGTTCTACTTAAACATACCATTCTCCATTTCAGCACCACTTTTAAGCATTGACTTTATAATATTGATAAGAAGTTGATGAGACCCTTTCATTGAGGAATGCTTAATAACACTTGATAGCTTGATATCCTTGGCATATTCTGGCAATTGCATTTGACCATGGTATTTTCTGTACTCATCTACCACTACAACTAACTGTTTCCAGTTCTCTCCTGTTATTAACCCATTTACAATTTGAAGGTATTGTTTATACGTAATTCTCGTAAGACTCTTAGGAATTTCTGAAATTCAAATCATTTGAATATTTATTATGAAGTTTATTAAACCTTTAACAATGCCCAGTTGGTTTAATGTCAATGTCGTAAATTGTCAGTGTTCATAATGAATATGATTACTCAATGATCCTCTTCATAGCGATTACGTCCCTTGTTTCTAAGCACTATTGTTATACTATAAAGTTACGTTGTCTTTAACAATGTATTTTTTTTTCAATCAGCCATGCTTATCTCGCAAGAGTTGAAATCATTTAGAGAAACATTTTATTTATTGATATATATACATGTAGTGAATGTGGTTAGACTTTTTGTGATGTATTGTTTTCTATGCATACAATATAAGAAAACATTTTCTTCTTAACCTTTTTATTTATATATCCCTGGACCATGAGATCAAGGACAAGGACACTACTAAAGTAGATACTCCAAACCATAGAGCCTCAGTTGTAATCGATATATGGATTATCCAGCTCGTTTACCTTCTGAAATATAAAGCTTTAAACAAATTGTGTAACTATTTCTGCAAGATAAGATCCCTATATAACAATCGAGACAAATATTTGAATAAATACCTGGATTCAGAGTTTTTGCAATAGATTCAGTAATCATTTCCAACATCTCGTCAACAATCTTTTGATGTTTTGTCTTATCATGACTTCTTTCTTTAATAACTGCAGCCATACTAATATATGTTTTGGCTGGTCTGTTATTTATAGTTTGTTTACTCATCTCCAATTCATCTTCACACGTTCTGCATTTATCATGACGAGGCTTAGACAATGGCATATGTGGCAGCCATGATTCATCTATTGTATTCTTGCTTTGCTGAGGTGTGTGAATGTGTGGTAATCTCTGGTCTGATATATTTATCAAATCTATAAATAACAAGAATGTATCCATAGTACACGGATGCCCCACTCGCACTTTCATTTTTTATGTTCCGTGGACCGTGAAATTGGGGTCAAAACTCTAATTTGGCATTAAAATTAAAAAGATCATATCATAGGAAACATGTGTACTAAGTTTCAAGTTGATTGGACTTCAACTTCATCAAAACTAACTTGACCAAAAACTTTTACCTGAAAAACTTTACCCTGAAGCGGGACAGACGGACGAACGGACGAACGGACGGACGTACGAACGAACGAACGAACGGACGGACGAACGAACGGACGCACAGATCGAAAAACATAAAATCATGTAAAAAATATTATTCATTTAGAATAATATTAAATAATATTACATCATGACTCTTTAACACATGACTAGCTGTTTCCCAAACAAATCAAAAAACAAAAAAAAGTGTATTCTTTCTATGCACTGCTAAAAATATTTTTGGGTGTCACATTTGCTCAATGTTTACTCAGCCAAATGTTTGGAAAAATTTGACGATTTTTTTTATAAAATATGAAAAGAAATCTCCCTTAAGACATCCACCTACTTCAATAACATTACAATCAACTTGCGTCATCACGGAATGCCTGAGTGCAATTCTTCTAAGGGTTTAAATATGTGATTAGGGCTAAAAGATAGGCGAAAGATACCAAAGGGGTATTCAATTTTATCAGTCGAGAACAAACTGACTATGGCATGGCAAAAATTCAAATATTATATAATGTTTTTAGAGGGTCAATTAAGCTCCAAAATGTACACTCTTTGTTTTTCCGCTAGTATTTAGAAATTAGAGCTCACATTGGTTAGACTATATCTAAGTTTCATGGTTGTTTATAGTTGTTTATCGTTTAGTCCAGTGGGCATATCAAATGTAATCTTTAAATGCGTCATATTGAAATATTAATTCTGGCTCAGCATGTTACGATTGGTGCAACTGGACTCTTTAACTTAGGGTTACTATGCCAGTGTCCTTTGCTGATGTACATTATAGTTAACAATGATCAATATAAAGCTTCAAACTGTACAATGGAGATGTTTATTTACCTGAATTATTATTGGCTGTCTGTAATAGTGTATAGCCCTGATCTGTTGGTTTTAAGTACTCAATTGGTAATTTTCCGGACATATCTTTGTGACTGGATTTACAGCCATTATTTATCAAAAGTCTTAAGATTGTTTCTCCATAGGTACCATTTGTTTCCCCCGTCTTGATAACTACATGGATGGCAGTATCTCCATTTGTATTGATCATGTCTTTCTTTGATGAAGTGTCTAAGTATGTTCCAAAAAGGAACTTTAGGAAGTCAACGCTACCTATAATCAAATTAGTACTGTATTTTACAATAGACAAACCTTTTAAAAAAATGTATTTGATCACTAGATGATCAATTATTCAAATCTTATAAAGAAAATAAATCAATTAATGCACCTATTTATACAGAAGAATTGCTTTCTTTGTAGGTTAATATTATCATGGTTTCTTTTTTTTTAAATCACTGTTTTTTAAAGTTTAAAATCTGTGAGTTTAAGTAAAACGCATGCAAAATCAATTGAAATAATATCTTTGACTAAAATTCATAGTTAGAGGGAACAATAAAATCCAAAAAAGGGTACACCACAAACAATTAATATACCACAATAGTCTGAATTCTAGTGTTTATAATGCACCTGCTCTTGAACAGACTGGGACATAGTGTTTACATCCTACGTATTTTAAAGCATATTCAATTTTGATTTGTGTGTCGTATATGGAATGGAGAATAATAAAAGAAAAGATTTACATCCCTACCTGTTTCTAAAGCATCCTGGACTCCAATATGTATGGCAGTTTGTCCTACATCAAATTCCATTTGTTCGTATGATGCACCATTTCTCAGTAATGCAATAGCTAATTGTATTCCCCAACTTTTTTTCTGTGATACTGATATCTGTTTAAGGAGGTTCCCCACAGGGACAAATGAGAAGTTCAGATCAGAGAAATAGCCTGCAAAGTCCATATTATTACCTGGGTACACACCTGTCACTAAATAACTTATATTTTCCCATGAATTGTTCAAAATCAGTCGCTGCATTATCCTCCCCTTTGTTGCTTTATCCAGTGGAATTTGTAAATTTCGATTAAGGCTGTTTCCTGCAAAATGTTTGTTACATCAATAAAATTTTGCTTATACAGATTTATACAGTTAATAACAAATAGTACTTTAATAATGTCCCTGGCTTGCCTTATACTTTCAACCACTTTGACAATATTATTTGATAATTTCTTGCTATATGTATTACATACTCCTACTTTTGATATCTGTATTCAATGTTTATTTAAGCTATTTTTTATTGCCTTACCTGTCTTTTACACAAGAAAAATTCTGAACTCAGGTGTCAGTAAAAAAAAAAGACGCTTGATTGGGCATGTATTACTTCTTTAAGAATGTCTAGGACTTACTACATAAAAGTACAAGAGGGGCGAAAGATACCAGAGGGACATTAAAAATCATATGTCGAAAATAAACAGACAACGCCATGGCTAAAAAAGAAAAAGACCAATAGACAAACAAAAGTACACAACACACAACATAGAAAACTAAAGACTGAACAACACGAACCTCACCAAAAACTGGGGGTGATCACTAGAAATATTCAGAATCGTTTGAGTTCAGTTGCCTTTTCCCCAATACATATTATATTATATCAACGCCTAAAAAGTGTACAAAACAACACCAATATTAAATAAACTGCTTCGCCGAGCGCAGCTGGATACGACCGGAGAGGTCCAACCCTGAACAGTTGGGGCAAAAATGGACACAATATTCAAGCTTGATACAGGTCTGAATTTGGATTGTAATTAAATATTTGACACATTATAGGTTTCTGACACAGAATAAATGTAGTCAAAGAACTTGAAATTGGTTGTATGATTTGAATTTATATTCAATTGAAGATTTCTTGCTGTTGTGCATAACACTGTGCTGTTGCGCAATACTTAGTAAACCTGTTTTCAGACTATATACAAACGATTTAGCAAAATAAATTGTGACCCCCAATTTTTTTTCTTTTTGGAAAATTGACAATTTCTTAAAAAAAAATTGACCCCCCCAAAGAAAATTTTGTTTTACCCCCCCCCCCCCCTCCCAATTTTTTTTTTACCCCCTTTCAAAAAAAATAATTTTGAAGAAATTTTCTTTTTATAAAATGTGGTACAAATTAAGGATGTTCGCTACTCTGTTTCAAAATAACGAGCCTTTTTAAAAGACTGTTATAAATTAATAGTATATAAATAAAGGAACTATAAAAGCAGAAAAAAAATGAAGTGTGCTTGTTTTCGAGATATAAGCCACTGAAAATTGGCGGGAAATAATTCTCTCTAGATTTTTCATACTTTTAACATTGTCCGCTTTTCTCTTTTAAAAACTTTGAAAAAATAACGAGGATTTTATAAGATTTTCAATTATCGCTGTTAAAACTATATGTAATAAAAAAAGGAAAAGAAAAGTAGGGGTTAGTGGACAAATTTTTTTAATGGCAAAACATGTATAAAACCAGAGGATTCCGAAAATCTGGCAAAAATTCAAAAACAAGAGGAGCGAACATCCTTAAGAGACATCCATACACTTAAACACAAGTTATTGTCTGAAAACTAGAAAAATGCTTGTTTTAGACCCTTTTTGGCCCCTAATTCCTGAACGGTTTGGGCAATTACCCCCAAAATGAATCCCATCCTTCTACTTGTGGTATTGAACCTTGTGGTACAATTTCAGAGCAATCAAATACTTATACACAAGTTATTGTCCTGAAACTATAACAATGCTTGTTTTGGCCCCTAATTCCTAAACGGAATTCACCCACAAAAACAATCCCAACCTTCCTTTTGTGGTATTGAACCTTTTGGTTAAATTTCATAGAGATCCATACACTTAAACTAAAGTTATTGTCCGGAAACCAGATGTCTTCGGACGACGCTGACGCCGACGACGTAATACCAATGTACGACAGCAATTTTTTTTGCGGTCGTATAAAAAGGAAATATTAAATGTAAGTATCTATAAATATTTCGGATAACAGATATCCTTCATCAGTATGATTTATGATGATGTAAAATGAATCATATCAATCTAATTTGATTTAACTGAAACAATCTTTACAGTTATACAATAAAAAAAAAAACGAACAACACTTGTATAATTCTAAATTTTAAAAAGGAGGTAGTTTAATCATTCACAACAGAGAGTGCATAAATATGCTTCTAAAAAGAAATAGTAATGCGCGGTATGAACTGGTACAATTCTAAAATTTCACAGGTGGCGAAAGTTAAGTTTTTTCAAGAGAGACTCCATAGAAATACATTCCCAATGAATAGCACTGACCGATTTGAACTGGTACAATACTAAAATGTTAAATTTGACGAAGGTTAAGTAATTACAACAGAAGCTGCGTATTTATGAATCCTAAATAAATATCACTGTTAGATTTAAACTGGTATACTTTTTAAATTTCAAATTTTGACGACTTTATAAAACCAGGTTTAACCAACCATTTTCTACAAAATGAAATGCCTGTACCAGGTCAGGAATATGACAGTTATTTTCCATTCGTTTGATGTGTTTGAGCTTTGATTTTGCCATTTGATAAGGGACTTTCCGTTTTGAATTTTCTTTGGAGTTCGGTCACTTTTTAAGTAATTACAACCTGGCTGCATCCCAAAGGAATAGCACCGTGTATTTAAACTGGTATAATTCTAGATTTAAAGTTAGGAATTACAACAGAAACTGCGTAGAATTACAACCCAAATGAAAAGCACTGCGCGATAAGAACTACAAGTTTTCATTAATCCCATTAGGTGCCAACGTTTTTGATTTTCCTATCCAAAATCTTTTAGTGAGTCTCTCCTCATTCGACCAAGCAGTGTTGTTGTCTATATGGTAATAGTCAGTTGATTGAGATATGCCTTAGTTTGGCAAGGGGATCTCAAATGTCGACTTCATACGTTTGTGAAATGGCTGTTCTGACTCACCAACATACTGTCTACAACATAGAAGATACACAGCAATTAACTTTACAAAATACTAGTATGCGACTCTTTTTACAAAAAAATCTTAAGAGTAAAATCACTCGTTAGTCATACACATTTCAGTATAACTTACGATCAATTTTATTCGTAAGAGCTTTTGTGAAAAGAGTCGCTGGTGTATTCCATACCAGAGGAATGGCTTTTAAATGTCTAGGTATTCAGTATTTGCTTGCAAGTCAGACATCGTTTGTTCCCGCAACCCCGGCAAGAGATCACTTACGAAGAGGCTAATTTGGATGATAAATCAGATCTCACCACAAGTCTTATGGCTTTTGGATCTACGGAAAGCCAGTACGGGTGGCTCGGGAAGATCTTGGATAGTTTAGGATGTGTTTTGATTTCTTTCCAATTTTCGCGGACAGGGAATGATAACTTGTCAAATTTGGGATGGTAAGTCAGCACAATCGGCGTTCTTTTGTTGACCTTTCTATGTTTATGTTGTAAAAGTTCATCTCGGCTGGTGTTGTTAGCACGAGAGAAACCTCTATCAATGTCTTGCCTTCTGTAGTCCCGATTTTTTAGGTGACCGCGAAGTTCTTGTAATTGCCTTTTTGCACCATCATTCGTGGAGCAAATCCGTTTTATTCGGATGGACTTGAATGTTAAGGACGACAACTAAAAGGAGAAAGATATTTATGTTTGTCAGTTGGCTTGCAATTTGATAGGGTACCTACTTTTGTCGTGGCTGAGAAGTGATAACATCTCAATAAACAAAATGACATGATCTTCCTTGGTAGCAGAGTAGCTTATACATGCTGCTAATCCATTGTTTAATATGTCCACTGCTCTTTCAATCTGTCCCGTTTCTTTGAAGACATTGTTGGCCCTCCAGTAACCCTAAAAAAAACATTAAAATGAAGGGAGTCGTATGATATATTGGTTTATACAATTGGCAAACTAGTGAATAACCACAAAACTTGTTCTCTCGTCAAAAACTTGTCCAATTAAAACTGAGAGATATGTCTTGCACAATGCTACAAGATCAACAATTTAATTTAATTTTCCGTCATACTGTTGTATATATAGGAGATAAATCAACCCTTTGTAAGAAGATCTGAAAATCCAATGCTTTGGAAACTTTCTTGTAAACTCATATCTGTTTTAAAGTCAGTCATATTTAAGAATGTAATCATTGCAAATTCTGTGAAACATGATTAAAGAGGTAAAAATGCAATACATATACATGCATCGTTTAAAATATAATTTCTTTACCAACGGATTTACCCTTTTAGCGCATCAAATTACAAAAAGAAAATATTTGAATATGAAGTCATGAAAACATGAAATAAAGGTATACTAAACCAATACTTTCAAATTGGATTCTCAAATTAGAATGTAACAGTGCACCGTGATGTGGTTCATAAGTGTTTCTCGTTTCTCGTTTTTTATATAGATTAGACCGTTGGTTTTCCCGTTTGAATGGTTTTACACTAGTAATTTTTGGGGCCCTTTGTAGCTTACTGTTCGGTGTGAGCCAAGGCTCCGTGTTGAAGACCGTACTGTGACCTATAATGGTTTACTTTTATAAATTTTGACTTGGATGGAGAGTTGTCTCATTGGCACTCATACCACATCTTCTTATATCTACCAACACCTGTTGATAGCACGTGTTTTCAAAACACGTATGGAAATCCTTAAATTAGAACAATGTTATCACACAAAGTCACTAAGGCTTCGTCTGTATATAAAAATCAGGGATAGCAACAAAGGTTGTTATAACAGCACGTTTTATACCATTTCAAATGATTAATACAAATAAATCTGTAAAAACATAGATCGAAATAGAGATCTTACCAATTAAACAATGTAAGAATTCCAATGTCACTAAAGCATGAAAAAGGGGGTTTGAGCATCATATTCCCAGCAACAACAAAAATGTATATATGCATTTGCAACAGCATATCATATAAACGATTGACCATACTTAATACAATAAGTATGTTTTACATGCCAAATTAAGAAAACGTAATATATAAGGTCGTTATATTGAACTGATTAACTGGTCAGACATTTTTCCAAAGTGCTGTAGAAAACTACAGAAAAGTCATCAAATTTTTTTTTACTTAAAAAAAAGAAAAACGATCGTGAATCTGAGTAGAACGCTGCATGATTGAACGGTCAATGTGTTGTGCCTTTCTGGTATTAAAAAAACATTTTATTTTTTAGGTGATATAAACTTGCTACGATCATTGGGAGATTTGACATCCACATTAAGAGACCGACATTCCTACTGACAGAGGTTTTGTAATTTCGTATATTTTGTAAATGACATTGGGAAGTCCCACCATTCTGGGGTTTATAAATAATTTATATTAAAAACGGTTGATAATTCTAGCAAGATCAAAATTTTTAGTAGATAAATTTGTAAAATTACTGATAACCATCAGAACACAATGACTTTTGTCAGTTTCAAATTAGTATATAAATTGTATACATTGAAACTAGTGTAGAATGAAATTAGTTTGCTCACAGTGTTTAACTTCGACATTGACAAACTGATATTTGTATTTATACATGAACAAAATGATGCATATAATATCTTTCAATGTTATGCAAATACTACCTTTATCCAGTAAGGGAAATCGCGTATACTGAACATAGCATCACTCAAAGCCTCATCGTATCTCTTTAATTTCAGACGAACCATGGACCTGTTACATAATATTTTAGGTATTTCTTCTGTGGTATTACTATATGGTATTTTACAAGCAAATTCTAACGCCTGATTGTAATCTCTTAGTGCTCCTATGAAATCTTGCTGTTGTAATCTACATTCTGCTTCTAATTTGAACTGTTTCACTATATCACCTTTTTGAAATGAAAAGGACGAAACACAATTTATATTTTAATGCTGTAAATTCAGATTTAACTAGAGTCTGTCAGAGTGACAGCAAACCGGATTTTCCTGCAGAGGTCGAACCCTGAACAGTTGAGCAAGTATGGACACAATATTTAAGCTTAAAACAGCTCTGAACTTGGATTGTGATTGAATATTTGATACAGCATAGGTTTGTGACACAAAATAAATGTGGTCAAAGAACTGAAAATTTTTTTCTTTCATTTGTCACAAACTAATATCTTATCTGCAACTTATCTATCAATGTCAACAACTTTATCTACACAATGTAACGTAATGAAATATATCCTTTAATAAAAATAGATTATTATCTAATGAAAATGATATTTGCAAATCTGGAAACCCAAACAGGATCAAGTAAAAATTTAACATTAACACACACAACAAAAAGAAAATACCACATAACAACTGTGACATCTACCTTTAAAACACACATGACTTTAAAAAAAATGGGGAATGTGTCCATGAGACACAGATGATGCCCCCGCTTGCATATCATATAAAGTTATAAAGGGACATATCTGAAGATCGGTAAATGTGAATCTACCCACATTTGTACTTGATCCGAGTTTTGTGGTAATAAATATTGTGTATAAGTTTCATAGCATTTGGTTGAGGCAAACTTAAGTTAGAGAACGGAAACGAAAAATTCAGCAATTTTTCTATTTGTAAAGGGTCATAACTCTAGAACAGTAAAAGTGACGCCACCAAAACTCAAACTTGATCCATATTTTGTGGTAATAAGCATTGTGTATAAGTATCATAACAATTGGTTGAGGCAAACTAGAGTTAAGAGAACGGAAACCAACTTTGGGACGTACGGACGGACGGACCGACGGACGGACGTACAGACGGACAAGGGTAAAACTTAATGCCCCCTCCGCTATGGCGGGGGCATAAATAGTTATAAAATTTTGACAACTCCTGACTAATCAATTGAACAGATACAATCATTGATAGACTATTTATACATCTCAGCTATACATAAACTTATTTATTTCTGTTCAAAGGGAAATAACTCAATCACATAGTAAGTAAATTTCTGGTTTCTAAAAGGGTCCAAAATTCAATAACGAGAAAAGCTAAAGTCGTGAAAATTGAACTCGACCTTCTTTTAGTCACAGGAAACAACATATCAAAATTTGTATAAAAATTCATCAAAGCGTTTTTATGAAAATGAACGGACACTGTTTGGCAGCCGCCCGTCCGCCCGCCCGCCGTACATCCCCAAATCAATAACCGATTTTTCTTTCGAAAATCTGGTTAAAAAGTGTTATCTATATATATGTTGTTAAGAATATTTAGTTGTTTTGTTTTCGTGTGTTTCTAACAAAATGTATTAGCATATTCTCCCAGTCTCATTTTCCCAATTGATAAAAATAGTGATAATCCTGGATTATCGATGAATCGGCCTATATATGTTTTTTATGGTTTAAAACAATGAAGCAAATACAAGTGTGCTGTTATAGGGTCCGTTAGTATGGAAATTAGGCGCAATTGTCGTTTCGGATGTTTTCATTGGTTTAGAAATCGAATGCTCGGTCGAATAAACGAATGTTTATTCACACTTTATCCCAGTTATGTAATAAACTGGGGGAATTTAACTTTTTCCGTAGTAATGCATATTTTATTCTCTGATGTACACCTAAAAACCACGCTAACTTGACTCCAAAATCAGTCGGCTCCTCCTTTTCTATATTTTCCATTCAAACAACGGATACGCAAGTTATCAACCTGGAGCCATTTGCGTCAGACACAAGCAAGTACAGACGGACGGATGGATGGATAAAGCAATGATTATATGCTCCCGAATTATTTTTCACCTGGAGTGTAAAAATTCTATGATGTGTCCAAAATTGTCATTTATCATTTATAGGCAATAATAAATTTCGATTTTTAATAATAAATTTTCGTCAAACAGATTATTATAATAACAGTTTTCAACATGCATACTTTGGTCAAAACTGTTTCACCTATAGATCCCAAATTCCGCTATAATTTCGCATAGACACACTTTTTTTAAAAACATTGTCATAAATTAATTTAAAGTCCGATTTTAATGAAAGTTTTAATGTTTTAAAAAACCACAATCCTATATAGGAATTTGATTTTTTTTTCGTGCAGAAATTCAACATTGTCTTTAAACAGTGATTTCCCTAAAAATATAAATTATAGATATATTTCATAAGTATTGCAAAAAACAGCACACATCTTCTAAAATGAAACGAATCCTTCAATCTGGACAATAAATATCTACAGTAGAATTTTTAACAAAAAAGTATTTTTTTTTAAATAGTAAGGGAATGTCTAATAGGTGAAACACTTTTGACTTAAAACTGTAGAAGCCAACAAAAATATGTGTTAATTGTTTTATTTTTGACACCGGAAATCAATTTGCAAAAGCTGATTATACTAAAATTAAATTAATTTTAGATTAAATACTAGTACCCAAAGATGATTCTCAAAATTTAACCACACATTTTTGTAATAACGTATACTGTCTAAACTAGCCTCCATAAAAATCTTAATGATTTATGTTTCTGTCTCACTGAAGTTCATCTCACTTCTAGTTTCATTTATCAAATATTTTATTGTAAAATTTCCTCATTATTTGACTTAAGCCTTGATATACCAAAATATGAGAGATCACTTCTCAGAAAAATTAGAACAAGTGCACATTCACTTGCAATTGAAACTGGGAGATTCAGCAAACCAAAAACTTTAGCAACGGAGAGATTTTGCAAATCTTGTCGAGATAAATCAGAAGATGAAGTGCACTTCTTTTTATATTGTCCCCTATATAAAAACCTTTGATAAAAGTTTAATATTTTCCAAAATTTGATTAAAGATTAAAATATAAAATCAGTAATCTATTTACTTAATCCAAATAATTTAGCTAATGCCAAACAAATATGTAATTATTTGAGACAAGCTTTTGAAGTTCACAATAACACTTAGTGTCAGTTGGTCTACCATAAGTTATGGAAGTACTATACAAATAAAATTAGACTTTTAGTTATATATATATTTATATGCAGTCAGCAGGGTTTAAGAACATCCGTTGTTCGAACTGTTAGTCAAATGCGTTTTGTTTAAATATACTTTTTCACTTTTTGGCTTTTGGAAAATGTTGTTTGTGCTGTATTTAGACCCCTCTACCGAGAAATTTGTTTTGCATGCACACGTATAAAAATTGCGATTTTTATCCAACGCAATGATTATGATTGCGTAGGATAAAAACCCAAAATTTTTATACGTGTGCATGCAAAACATATCATTCATTGTCATTAATTTTCTCTTGCTATGCATTGTTTAATTTACACTATTTGTAATGTTGTATATGTCATGTATGTTGTACACTTTGATTACGCTATTTATCATATGTGCTATTGTTAATTTTCCTTTTTTGGATGGTGATGTTCCTTTGGCACCTCTTACGGTGTTTATATATCACTACTCGTTCGCTATGCCCGTGTCTGTTGTGACGTTTTGGATTTTAATGAACGTAATCTATGTATTACTGGTAAATTATTATGCCCGGAAATTTAGAAACTGGTAAACTTATCGATCCTTTAAATAAACTTATTCTAAAAGGTTGCCAATACACCTTATCGCTATTCCCGCCTGACCCGAGAATCTGTCCCGCTTGAACTTTTGACGTCATACAACAATCACTTTTCCATTGTGGCGTCAGATAGTTTGTATTATGACGTCGAAATTGTACGGGAACCTGTGTGATGTCCAGTAATGGCGGACAAATAGCGATAAGGTGTATTCAACACTGTAATTAGATCTTTGAATATTGTTTTTATTGGTATCAATTTTAATTTTGTTATCAGCAAATTAAAAGCAAACTAAATATTATTGTTATTATTGTTATATACATATGCACATTCACTGATTGATCTGCAATCTGTCGATACCTGTATCTTGGCATTGCAGAAGGTCTGTTTTTCTATGACTGTTTATGACGTCTTTTACACTAAATCCATTGGGTGTTGGATGTGTAATGATTGATAAGTTACTTAGTCTTAGATGTACGATTTTTTAAGTTGTTATTGGCTTTGAACTAGCTGTCAGTAACTGCGAGTACTCTCAGATCTGTACTTAGTGTCTTTTTGTTGTTGGGGATGTACAAGTACCCGGCCACGTCCACTCTGTGTTTTGTTAGATGCATTTCTATTCGTATCCATCTGATGAGTTAAGCCTTTTTCAACTGATTTTTATAGTTCGTTCTTATATTGTACTGTTACACCACTGTCCCAGGTTAGGGTTTCGTTCATTTTTTTGTACATAAATTATGCCGTTAGTTTTCTCGTTTGAATTGTTTTACATTTGTCATTTCGGGCCCTTTCATAGCTGACTATGCGATATGGGCTTTGCTCATTGTTGAAGGCCGTACGGTGACCTATAGTTGTTAATCTCTGTGTCATTTGGTCTCTTGTGAAGAGTTGTCTCATTGGCAATTATACCACATCTTCTTTTTTATATTTATCCAATAAATTATTTGAATTTGAATTTGAATTTGAATAAAAGATTCAATAGTTACCATAATCAAACTCTGGCAAACCAGGAAGAGGACCTTGATAACATGCCATTACTTTTTATGTTTTTCTTACTTAAAATCAATCAACTCAATACCTCAATACACATTATGGGATTCTGAAACGAAAGAACAAAAATAAAATCATTAGTGTTTTAAACACTAGGGCTGGTAGATTTGGCTTTGAATTAATTTTGTTTGTTTGGGAGTTGGGTGGGGGATAAAATCAAATACTAGTATTGTAAAATTTGTGAAGTAAACATACATAAAAAATAATATTAACACTAACAATGAATTTTAAAAGAAATAACTAGCTTGTTGAAAATATTGTAGCTTTCAGGACTTGGCAGTAAAATAAGTTTCGATCTAATGTCCAGCTAGCTGAAAAATCCCATATAACTTACTCTACAAACCTTTAGGTGAATAAGATAAATAGCTACCTGTAATCGATTACTTAGTTAAGTGTTGAACTTGGGAGAGGGTTCAATCATTTGCCAGATCAAGCAAATATCAGCTGCTTCTTTGATGTGCATAATATTATGAGTAAAATCAATTGAGGTCAGAATTATGAAATCAATGTAGAATAATGTGCCGTTGACATGCCTTCCTGCAAACTAGTATTGACTTGTAAACATACACATTAAAAATCTAGGTCAGTTAGAAAAAAAATTACTAAAAAAGACTGAATCTTAGGTGTAATGGGAATCTTCCATCATCTTGTATTGTAAAATAGCAGAACACAATAGTTCCATATTTTAAATGAAGTCAATAAATTCCGACGCCAGAATGCATTTTTCCTCAATATCTTCATTCAAATGGACAAATCTGTGTAGTATCATCTTATAATTACTATTAGTTTCAAACTAGGTAGAATATTTTTGCTTGATTTCAATTTTTTAAGGAGAGGTAACTCAGAAATTGTACCATTTATAAAGGAATCTACAAGGATTTTTACAGCATTCCGTTGTTATGCTGGCGCAGAAATTCTGCACACGGTCCTTGGGTTTTTAAGCACCCATCACTTCGTGTAAATCGTATAAATACGCGGACATTATCGAGTGCAAAATAACATTCCTTATCGCTTGTTATATATTATTTTCATCAATAAATATTCATGAAAATATTTTTAAGAACATAGATAAATGATATGTAAATGTTTTATCGTGAGAAATATATATATATATATATATATATATATCAGTAACAAATCATGCATAAACACCGAAAATTTGTGTTAACCCATGCGGAAGGATATCTCGAGAGATGATCTGCTATCTATATATAACTGTTATACAAATATTAATATAATATATAACCACAAACCAGATTATACTGATAACAAATGATTATATCACTACAATATAATAATTATTACGGTGAGGTTGAATTCCCTGTCATTTATTCATCATCTACACAGGAACTTGTCTCAGAAAAAATATATATCTATGTACCTTAATTCAACTTTCAGGTATAGAGATATGGTTTTTATTTCTGGGACAAGTGCCTGTGACCATCCACCAGAACTTGCGGTCATCCGATGTTCAGTACTTCAGTACTTTGATTTTCTATCTTATGTTATAGCCGGATAAAACCTATAGTTACCCCATTTTTCTTTCGATATTTTAAAAGCACTTTTTATAACAGCTATCTTCTCATATATTATTTTAAAATATTATCTACATGTATAAGCTTACCTGCTAATCACATGAGGCTTTTCTCTGTATAATCCGTACAAATTTTGTCATTTTTTTCACTACCTGTAGCTTGAAAACAAGCTCGGTGACCAATAAGTATCATTTTTCGAAAATATCACAATACAATATACTACCTTTTTTTATACATGGCACTGTAGGCAAGATTTATCATTTGTTGTGAGCAACACGACGGGTGTCACACTTAGAGCAGATTCTGCTTACACTTCTGGAGCACCCGAGATCACTCCGGCCCGTTGTTTGCTTGGGTTCGTGTAACACTGTTGCTCAGTCTTTAATTTCTATGTTTGTATTTTGTAGATTGGTGTAGGTCGTTTCGTATTTTTATTTGTTTTATTATGGAGAGATCAGTAAATTTGTTTTCGACTTATGAGTTGAATATTCCTTTGGATCGCTCCTACCATAGATCTTGTGCCGATTATTTTTCTCAATAGAGCTATTTTATTTCCCAATCGAGCTTCCGATATATATATTTAGAAATATAGCTAAAATTGTAGATTTTCTGAACTTGTTTACACTATAGGACTTAAATAGGTTCATTGTTACAAGCGGACAAACAGTTCTAATATTCCCAAAATCCAGAAGATTTTATCTTTCGGAAAATCTCATATGGCTATTTTCGAGGTCTAAACACTGCCATTTAATCTAATTGCTATGAACCTTAATTAATATAATGTACCATATATGTACACAATATATATAGACATACTAGGATCATTCATCAAATAGAGCCAAAATATCTTACCTTGTAATATCAAATAAAAATACTCACTTATGAAATGAACAGAGTATAAAACTCATCTGTAATGATCGGTATTGGATACAACATTTGTTATTGTATTAGGTGTCATTATAAATAGATTTGGAATTCCTACTTTCACTTTTACAGATCGCTGTAGCTTACCATCGAGTTAGAGTTCTCGTTGAAGTTAGAGCTAAAATAAGAATTACAGTTTGATTTTTCGTTCAGGTTCGAGTTGAAGTTTGAGTTAATTTCGAGTTCGAGTCAAAGTTCGAGTATAAAAAAAAGAGTTCGAGTTCGGTTGAAGTTTGAGTTGATCTTCGAGTTCGAGTTTAAATTGCGTTTTCAGTTACACTTCGAGTTAAATTTCGAGATAAACTTCGAGTTCGAGTCACATATTGAAAAGGAATTTCAGTTAAAGTTCAAATTAGAATTCGCATGATCAAATTTACATTCGTATTTAAAAAAAAATCCATTCGGGGATCCCATACTTTTAAAATGGGTATTAAAGACCCTCCAAAAAGAGGGGAACCGGCAGTCCAAATTATGAAAAAAGTAAGTAAAAAAATACCCAGTCTAAAGGGGCGGGAAAGCGGACTCTACTTCCGCTGGATAATTCCGTCTTTTTATCTATTTTCTTTTTGTATTCAAATAGTTCCTTTGTCGAAATAGTGTGTTGTATATCAGAAAAACGCAGTTTTTCAAAATAAAATGTAATATTCCGTATATTTTGAAATGATCAAAAAGTCTGAGAAAATCTGAGAATATCTCATCGTTGTTTTGTCACTACGCCATGCTATCCACGTTTCCATTTAAAACAAATGATCTCAAAATGGTAACTTGATGTGATTTATTGACAATTATGTTGTTTCATTTTTTACTTTGATGACTGCTTCCTGTGAACAGCTATCCATCTTGATAACATGAAAACCTGTAACAGTTCGGTTTCAAACTCTTACAGGTTTTTTTTTCAAAGGAGTGTTGCAGGCATGGTGAAAAAAACTTTCATAAAATAAGTAAAACACATGAATTAGCGTAACTATACTTTCTTGAAGTATCTAAACTGAAAAGTAATCATTTTAATAAAGAATAAATCAGTATAAAAATATAACGTCTTTTGGCTGATAATGAAGCAATTCTGATTTATTCTTTATTTTATTTGCATATTTGTCCAAAAATGCAATCATCAAATATATAATCAACTGATAAAAAAATATAAATTCTCAGTTATCCTCTGCAAATTGAAAATCATCTGATAATTTCTGTTTTAAAACCAGGAAGATATTTTATAAAAAAAAAAGATAACACGTTCACGGAAGAAATAATACGTAAAAATAATTGCTACATGATATATAGTAAACTGTTAAATAAATAAGTCTTATAATTTTATTGTTGATAATGTTATGTTATTTAGCTGTAATTAAAACGAATGTTAAATTAAAATTATGATGCTTACCAGAAAACAACCCTGAATTTCTAGTACTAACAAACAGGGACTCTTCACTGGAATGCTGGACTAGTAAAGAACATTGTTAACAGCAGAAGTGTAATTTGTTGTTGAATAATAAAAAACAAAAACAAAACCCAAAACACATATTTTCGATGCCTGAGTAATCTTTTGCACCTCTATAATATTTCTAATTCGTTATTCAAATAGAACTCTAATTCGAACTCTAACTCAAAACTTGACTTTTACTCGAAATTTTACTCGAAGTGTGACTCGAAACACAACTCGATCACCTACTCGAACTTTATTTCAACTTTGGCTTGAACTTTTACTCGAAACCGAAGCATAATTCGAACTTTAACTCAAACTCTTACTCGAACTTAAACTCGAACTATAACTCTAACTTATATTTGAACTGTGAAGCAAACTTCAAAAGAGAACTTCAACTCGAAATCTAACTCGATTGTAACAAACCTTGTACATAAACCCACTAAATTTTCTTTTATGGTAGAGCTGAGCAGCTTAGACCTCCAGTAACTCATCCATATTTTGAAACATGGTTACCCTATTAATTATTTAACATAAATTGTGTGCCCTCATCATATATTCCAGCGGTTCAATCCTACAACTCAGTATATAGTAAGTGACTGCCCTCCCCCACCCTTTTCCAAAAGCTTAAATTTTAGTCGTATGAACATCTTTTTTCTATCGGCTAAAATAGTGATATAACATTATTTGGTTAATATGTCATGATCATTGGTAGTTTATCTTTTTTTAGCATAAAGGTTTTATCATATACAGTAATCTATTCTCTTGGTTTGTGTAATCGCTTGCTCTACTGTACATTTTCCCGAGTATGTCCTTGATAATATTTAAAGTTTTCAACTTCTTAGAGTAAGTCCTCTGCGTGTCGCATATCTTTTCTATATTCGTCAACAATGGAGCCTGGAATTTCGTCCGTAAAACTCTGGAAATACTGTCGAATTAACTAGACTCCATTAAGCATTTGCGTAATGTCGTCCGGGATCTGTCGTTTGGATGTTCAATGATGTGATAAACAAATGGGATACAAATGTTTATCCTTAAAACTGTTCCGCGGTTTCACGATCAGCTGTTGAATTTGCCCTATGCCGTTGACGTTCAGATGTTCGCAGTTTTGTGATCGCAATTTCGTTCCTATTGACGATAGTATATGCTCTATTGAACAGGCCGTTAAAGTTCCTAGGCATCTTCTAGTATACCGAGAAAATATGTATATATTGTTCTAGCTTGAACATGTACGTCCATAAGATCACAGTTTTCAGACTGAAGTTTTATGTAAAAGAGAGAATCCTAAAAGGAGCTGGGTTACGACTGCTACCACTAATACCGGTATTTCAAATTTAAGTGAAGTCAGTTTATATGATGTTGTATCAATTTTGCCGGTTTTGGTTTGAATTTCATCTAGTAAACCAAGAACATAGTCATAGTGTTTCAACAGCTTTTATTTTCGAGTTGGCTATAATAAACCAATAATTCAAGTTCAATAGTGCATGTGTTATACATGCCATTTCTCTCTCTGTTTATTCGTTATCATTATTTTTGCAAGCTCGCAATATAGGAGGCAACTGCCCACATGCTTCCAAACAATTTAAGGCCCTTGTGTCATGATCATTTTTTAATGTTAGACCATTGAGCAGTTGTGCTGGTCTTGTGAAAATAATTAATTACAGCCCTTTTTCTTCACGACATATTATCTGTATGGTGATGCACATTAGAAATTTATAGTTAGCAAATTACAGATTAGAGTGGTGAATTTTTATATCTGATATCTCACCTAAGATTGAAACGCAATGTCAACGTTTATAATCATAAATTTAACAAAAAAATAGAAGTAGAGGGTAGCTATACTTAAATAGTCAATCTTTTAAATAAAGTCCGATATGTGTTGAATAGTTTTCAGAAGGGAAGGCGAACGCACCCCTCATACTGTGCACGGGCCTAGAATGATAACAGGGTTGCCCGTTGAAATGAAATGGATTTCAATGACCAAACATTTAGTTCTTGAAAAATCTCAAATACCTAAATATTTCGGCCACACTGGAGTTTTTATGGATAGCATTCACACAAATAAGGGAAGAAGTCAAACCCCTGAATAACCATAGCATCCAAATTAAATCTAAACCCCAAAAACATATTTTTACATTAATTTTGTTTAATTATTGTTTACCTCGAATGTTCTTTTTACTGCCTGTATGACCTTGGTAATTGATCGTTAATCGAAAACAATTTTATTAATTTATCGCATACGAAGATTTAAGTATAATTTTACGTACACTTTACAAAAGAAATACTTATCAAAAATATATTTTTTGTAATATATGAAATATTTTTATCAAAATAAAACGCCTGCCTAATTAAGTAAGCACAGGCAATTATACTTTTGATAGATCAATAAAGCAAAGAAGCTAATGAGTTGTGGAATATAACTTCTTGTTAAAAACATATTTTTCTACGACATTAAATACGTACATGTAAACGTGACGCACGAATGGATTTTATAATTGAGTATTTAAACAACAAATTGTAATGTTACAGTTAAAGTTCACAATGAATTTGAAGTTTCTACTGATTTTTTGCTTTGTCATAGGGTCCTCGTTACAATGTCCACATCAGGATCCTGATTTGCTAGATTGGAATGACCCCACAGCCTGGGAAGATGGAAAGGTAAGTTTACTATAAAAAAAAAAAATCTGATTGAATTTATATACATTCGAATCACAAGAAAATTCAAAACGATTTATTATATATTTTGTTTTTGTTTTTATTTTAGTTTAGAATCTCGAATCTTTTTTTTTTTCATTTCATAAGGATATGGAGCACATACATGACATATGCTTAAGGAAAACAATATGATGGTCACTCAATTTGACAAGGCGTCGAACATTAGTTCAATTAAAGTATCATGTAGTTTAAACCGCTAGAATTTGGAGTTGAACAGAAAATGCGAATTTGTACAGCAGCAGATTTTTTTTTATTAAATTTCCGTTTTTTATTCTGTTTGGCAACAGACTTGGTACAGCTCTCCAATTGAAAAACATTTCTGACTGCTTTTAGTTCTATATTGTAATTCTATTGGTTCTGTCATTCTCTAGTTTTATGAATCGCCCAATAGATTTGAAACCAAAATTGACTGTACAGTAAGCATGGTAAACTTATCATCTAATAGACAAAACTGTCAAAGAATTTTTCTCCTGATCTATAGTCATTTCTCTCTCGTATCAATTATATGTATAACGACGATTACAAAACAGATCATTCTTACGATTTCTAATTTAAATTAAAAAACAAGAAGGAAAAAAAAGTATATAAGTCGGATGTAAGTACTTTAGAGAGTACAATACAGTTTGCGATGTAAAATATACCAGACAGTGATTAATTTAGAAATTCAACTTCAGAGATGGAGTCAACTGTAGCCATTATCAAGAAAAACAACATGACTTGTTATCATTTAATCTAACGTTTGAATTAGTCAAACACCTGTAGTTGAAAACCAAATATTTTTCATTAATCAAGATAACGAAACGTTTTGACTCCAAGAGACAAGTGACACACAATTAAATATGCAAAAGGTTTCATCATCGTCCAGAAAAAAATTGAATTT